TCAATGTAAGGAAGCAATACACACTAGGGCAAAAGTTCCTGACTCCGTAATTACTAATAGGGTCAAAACTGGTGGTGACTGAGATCATGGGGTAATAGGGGAGAGCTTGATGCAACAGCTGTAAAATAGCTAAATTATGGCTTATGGGATCATTAGAAATGAATAAAAAACAAAACTGGTAATATCATAGTACCCTCATACAAATCTATGGTATGACCACATCTGGAGCACTGTAATAGTATTGCTGCACTTCAGAATGATACCGCACAGCTGGGAAGCTGGAAAAGGGCAACCAAACTTATAATGCGAGTGTGAGCAACTTCCCTTTGGGAAAAAAAGGATGCACTGTTTGGGGCTGATGCTTATGTAGCCAAAATGGCACCGCCGACAAACAAGAGGAACGAATTAGCAGCGCTCTGAGGTTTCCCAAAGTACAAAAAAAGAACATGATCTTCTAAAGGAATTTCCAAAACATTTTAACGAGGACTGAGCATACTCTGTGTTTGTGAAATGCAGACTGACTGTTGGGGAGAAGAAATGCAAAACCAAGTGGGAGGAGGAATAAAATCGAGTATTTAAGAAGACATAGCTGACTCATCCACAATACGGCAGCTAGACTGGTGACTGGGAATGGGAGTAATGGATTGAAATTTACCGCATGTAACGCTCTGAAAGAGAATGTAATGAAAATGATTTATAGATGGTATATGACCCCAGTCAAACTTGCAAAAATTTACCACCTGTCTGACAATAAGTGTTGGAAATGTAAAGAGTGTGAGGGAACGTTCCACCTCTGGTGGACTTGCCCTAAAGTGAAGGCGTTCTGGGAAATGATTTATAATGAATTGAAAAAGGTATTTAAATATACCTTCACTAAGAAACCAGAGGCCTTCCTTTTGGGTATTGTCGGCCAAGGGGTGGCAAAGAGGGACCAGACATTTTTATGTATGCAACAACAGCAGCAAGGATACTTCTCGCAAAATACTGGAAAACTCAAGATCTACCCACACTGGAAGAATGGCAGATGCAACTGATAGACTACATGGAACTGGCTGAAATGACCGGCAGAATTCGTGACCTGGGAGAAGAAAGGATAGAGGAGGATTGGAAGAAATTTAAGAACTATCTACAAAAACATTGTAATTTGAGTGAATGCTAAATAAGATGCTAGACTAAAACAACTGAGCACCACTAAATTTAGAATTTTCTTTAAGAAAACAAATAAGACTGTGAAAATTTAACTCCTTTCGAGAACTACAAGATTATGAAATATAGAAGGGATATAAGAATCTAAATAAGATGATAAATTGCTGATAAAATGTTATAACGATGAAAGTGGGAGCGGGAGATGTGAGGAAGTCCAAAGAAAATGTGAAACTATGTTAAGACAAATGTTATATTGTTCATCATGTTTATTTTTATTGTAAAACCCAATAAATTGCTTTAAAAAAAAAAAAAAATAGACTGGTGACTGGGAATGGCTGCCGAGACCACATAACACTGGTTCTGAAAGACCTTCATTGGCTCCCAGTACGTTTCCGAGCACAATTCAAAGTGTTGGTGCTGACCTTTAAAGCCCCAAATGGCCTCGACCCAGTATACCTGAAGGAGCATCTCCACTCACATCGTTCTGCCCGGACACTGAAGTCCAGCACCAAGGGCCTTCTGGCGGTTCCCTCACTGCAAGAAGTGAGGTTACAGGGAACCTGGCAAAGGGCCTTCTCGGTAGTGGCGCCCGCCCTGTGGAATACCCTCCCACAAGATGTCAAGGAAATAAACCACTATCTGACTTTTAGAAGACATCTGAAGGCAGCCCTGCTTAGGGAAGTTTTTAATGTTTGATGTTTTATTGTATTTTTAATATTTTGTTAGAAGCTATCCAGAGTGGCTGGGGAAACCTAGCCAGAAGGACGGGGTATAAAGAATAAACTGAAGTTGTTGTTGTTGTTGTTGTAACACTAAACAGGAGTATTCCACACTGTCCAATTTTGTTGCACTTGGCTGCGCCTTGCTCACTCAGTCTGCCAACTCTCAACATTTAACTCCTTAGAACTTGCCTTCCTCACCCCATTCGACTTCTAAGCTTGCTTTTCAGCTCCCCAACTTCATATCTGAAGCTACTTCTCTCTTCTGTTCTGCAGGCCTGCTTTGCACCTTCGGGTCTTTCTCCCTGCTTTTATGCATCTTCCTCCTCCCACACATTGCAGCTGCTAGACACCCTTTTCACCCTCTGGCCAATTATGAAGCCACCCCCCCTCCTATTCTTCAAATTCCATCATGCCTCTGCTTTTATTTTCAACCCCATCCCTATGCCTCCTATTCTTTTTTTTTTTGTAACCTCATTTGCACACCATTTTCACCTTTACCTCTTTTTCTCTCGCTCCTCCTCTTTCTCAGCTCCCCCTTGCACACAGACCACCCCTCATTTCCATGCCGATTCACAGCGCTCTTTGCATAAACACACACAGCATGATGATATATGTTACCGTATTTTTAAGATGAACATTGTTATGAGTTTGCAAGTGCCAGACGTATCTGATCCCTGACTGAGCCTGGAGATGGGAGGAATTGTGAGGCTCATTTGGCCGACATGTAGCATTCAGTTGGGTTTCTAAGGGAGCTTTCAACCCCAACCTCTGGGCACTCTCATCATGGGCACTGTAGTTCATAACATCTGGATGGTACTATGTTGGCTACCCCTATTTTACATAGCTACCTGTGGTCAAGCCATTATTTTTACTCAGACACACAGCAGTACGGTTTATGGCCATCCTTGAACAGTAGTCCTCTTACATTACGTCTTTTCTTTTACTCAACAGGATTTCAAAACTGTGCTTAGGGTGACGGAGGAATGGAAAAGTTGTCTGTGGCTCAAGAAGGACAGCAAATAAACATAATGCATGCTCAGGGGTTTTTTTTTGTATATGCATCTTTTTTATCATAAACAATACGATGATGACTGAGATGTAAGACGATATGCCGCAACTGGTGTCCTTTCTATAAGAAGCAGATGGAGGCTGTCTAATAGAACTAAACCAGGATATGATAATGTAAACTAGTATTTAACAAAATGAATGCTAACGTTTTCTTGAGTTCTGCATTCCTGCATGCATTTAAGTTGTTTTCCAGATGTCTTCAAAACAGTAGGGTTGAGCACATAGGCAGTGAACAAGCAGTGGTCAGGGTCTCAGCAGTGGATTTAGCTCAGTGCTCCCATAAATACAGGTTATTTGTATCATCTGGGCACCACACTGTACACATTTTTATGAACTCTTGTTTATGTATACTGTCCCTCTGTTTTCTCATATTAACATTTACTAGCTTTATACTTAGGAGAATGAGACATAAACATTTGCATTCTTGTGGTTGAAGGGGGGGGGGGAATCAGCTCCAAAAGTGTAAATGATTTTGCATTGCTAGTATAGTTTAAAATCCCTTGTCTGACTAAAGGTCCCTCCACACCCCCAAGCATTGCAGTATTTCTGGATTTTACACTGTGTGCTTTATGTCTCTGCTTGTAAGGAGAGTGCTTCTTTATAGATTTTGATATCCAAAAGTTCTTTACATGGATACACAAAACTGTTATCACAGGTGCATTACCAAAATATGTTTTGCATCACATGTATGGCACAGGTGCACATGTCACAAACTGGGACTGGCGATTTAGTTCCTTGGCTTCTGTATTCAGTGGTCTTAAGCACTGCATGGACCACCTACCTTCAAGGTTGCATCGAGTGCCAATGCACACATGGGTGGCTACAGATCTTATTTTTCCAAGTGTGCTTTTGTGGGCATTCATCCACACATGAGCACTTTAGACTCTTATCTCCATGTTTTCCATCCACACTCATGGGCAGTCCTTAATGGAATGTATTTCACTGTGGGTTGTTGTTATTGCCTCCCCTCAGTTTGTACTTCCCCACCGTCTCTGAGTTCAGGAAACCAGATGTCCATTGTGGGCATGTGCACAGGTATTTGTTCATCTGCATGCATGGCCAATTGTTTTTCATAGAATCGTGGAATTGTAGAGTTGGAAGGGACCCCAAGTGTCATCTAGTCCAGCGCTCTTCAATGCAGGAATCTCAGCTAAATGGGATAACAGATGGTCATCCAATCTCTGCTTAAAACCAAGGCAGGAGAGTGCACCATCTTTCGCGGGAGTCTGTTCCACTGTCAAACAGCTCTTCTTCTTGATGTTAAGTGAGAATATCCTTTCTTGTAACTTGAACCCACTGGTTCGGGTCCTAGCCCGAAAAACAAGCTTGCACCATCCTCTGTGTGACAGCCCTTGAGATATCTTAAGATGGACAGGGTTGCCATATTCTGAAGAGAAACAAAGAGGACACAGTTGCCGACTTTTACTTTTAACTATGGATTGCTATGACGACTCTACCCATGAAAAGGTGTCCTGGAAAAAGAGGGCATATGGCAGCTCTTCTCAATTATTCCAATACACCAGACTTATACAAAACAGCAGGTTAAAAAACCCAAAGCCTTGTGTTGCTTGGCCCAGTCAGCCGCCCACTGATGAGCACCTCTTCAATGGGAATAGAGTTAGATAGATGGCATCCAACAAAAATGTTATGAGTAAACAAACAAACAAACAAACAAACAAACAAACAAACTCACCTACACAATGCACTTCAGTACCTTCAGTTGGGTAACATATCATTTTATATTGTTGTATTTCCCTTCACCACATTATCCACGGATCGGGAACATTCAACTTAAACGGGGGAAAGTCCAGACTGTCATTTATTTGGATGAATACAAGGTCCTGCTGATGAAACCGAAAAGGGTGCACACCTGGGAGGCATCAAACCCACTTTACACAGCCCAGGACAGGAGTCCCCAACATGTGTTGTTTGGAAATATGATTAGGGAGAAAGAAAAGAGCTGTGTCCCTACCTTAAAGGGGCCTGAACATCTAAAGCAAGGGCTGAGGGAGTGTCCTACTCCCCCCTCAACCTTCCCTGCCCGATTTCCAAGCTGCATCAGAGGAGGAATGTGCCAAATGCCCCTCCTGCTGGAGCTTCCAGTATGGGCTCTGGGCTACAAGAGGAGTCTGGGAGGATGCAAAGCAATTCCAAGTCCTCCTCACCCTTCCAGGGAACCAGGGAGGGCTTTCGCCTCCAGTCAGCTGCTGGGAGATGAAGTGCAGATGAGGAGCTCCCAGGAAGGGAGGAAGAAGAGGCGGGGTTGAAGGAAGGATGGCTTCTTGGCGCCAGCCCACCTCAGCCTGCAGCTTGCTTGGCTCCCGCCCTGCAGTCCTGGCGCTCCCGTCTCCACCGACGACCCCCTGAGGCCACGAAGAAGAGGCCCTGACCCTTCCCCGTCTCAGAAGAGGGGGCCTTATCCTGTGCTGAATTTCTTCCTCAGTCGCTCAGGCTCCCCCCTGGCTTTCAACCGGCCACCATGACCGTCAAGTTGCGCTCGGGCTTCTACGTGGGCAAAAAGTCCGCCACGCTGCTGGCGCTGCTCTTGGCCGCGCTGCTTTTGGCGCTGCTGGTGCTGGCTATCCTGTACGGGCGCTGCGCGCAGGATTTGGAAGGGAGAGGCGACGAGGCGGCGGCGGCGGCGGCGCCCCCAGACCAGGCTCCCGCCAGCGCCGACCCATCTGCGCGGCCGCCCGGCGCCTGGGACGCCTGGCGCCTGCCGGGGGACTTGGAGCCGGTGCACTACTCGCTGCTGCTGTGGCCGCACCTGGCGCCCGGCCTGCCCGAGCCGCGCACGCACTCGGGGCAGCTGAACCTCACCGTGCGGTGTCTCCGCGACACGGACGCGGTGCTGCTGCACAGCGTGGGGCTCGCCTACCAGCGCGCCGCCGTCTGGGGGCCCCTGACGGGCGCCGCCGCCGCCGCCGCCGCCACCGCCAACGGCAGCAGCAGCAGCAGCAGCGTCGGCGTGGCCGAGCTGTGGGAAGCGCCGCGGAACGAGTACGCGGTGCTGGAGTTGCGCGCGAACCTGAGCGCGGGCGCCCTCTACGAGCTGCAGCTCGCCTTCCGGGGCAAGATCCAGCACGAGCCGGAGTTCCACGGGCTCTTCGCGAGCACCTATAAGGACGAAGGAGAGAGCAGGTAGGTATGCGGTTCCGGGCTTGCTTCCCAGAACCCTCCAAGTGCCGAATTTGCAGAAGCTGTCCAGGTTTCTGGTTTGATCCCGGAACGTCCCGCTTTTCCTTAAAAGGTAAAGGGAGCCCTGACCATTAGGTCCAGTCGTGGCCGACTCTGGGGTTGCGACGCTCATCTTGCTTTATTGGCCGAGGGAGCCGGCGTACAGCTTCCGGGTCATGTGGCCAGCATGACTAAGCCGCTTCTGGCGAACCAGAGCAGCGCACGGAAACGCCATTTACCTTCCCGCCAGAGCGGTACCTATTTATCTACTTGCACTTTGACGTGCTTTCGAACTGCTAGGTTAGCAGGAGCAGGGACTGAGCAACAGGAACTCACCCCGTCACGGGGATTCGAACCGCCGACCTTCTGATCAGCAAGTCCTAGGCTCTGTGGTTTAACCCACAGCGCCACCCGCGTCCCCCGCTTTTCCTTAGGACGTCCCTATTTCCATCAGGGAAATGTTGGAGGGTATGGTAGGATGTCTTTGCTTTCATTGGAAGGTATGCAATTATGTGGCCCCCGAACCAAGGAGATAGGGAACTATACAGCCTTTGGAAGACACCTGAAGGTAGCCCTGTATAGGAAAGTTTTAAAATGTTTAACATTTTATTAAGTTTTTATATACAGTGGTGCCTCGCAAGACGAAATTAATCCGTTCCGCGAGTCTCTTCGTCTTGCGGTTTTTTCGTCTTGCGAAGCACGGCTATTAGCGGCTTAGCGGCTTTAAGAAAAAGGAAACAAACTCGCAGGAACTCGCAAGACGTTTCGTCTTGCGAAGCAAGCCCATAGGGAAATTCGTCTTGCGGAACGACTCAAAAAACGCAAAACCCTTTCGTCTAGCGAGTTTTTCGTCTTGCGAGGCATTCGTCTTGCGGGGCACCACTGTATGTTGGAAGCCACCCAGAGTGGCTGGGACAACCCAGTCAGATAGGTGGCGTATTATTATTATTATTATGGAATAGGACATCCTTATTTTCTTCAGAGAAATGTTGGAGGGTATGCCTTACCCCTCTGATGGAACTAACAGGGGAGAGTTGCATGGGAGGAAGCGTTGAACACTTTCCCTGAGCCTGAGGCCCACGGGTTTAGCACAGGCCTTCCGACTCAATTTGGAACAATGGTGGTGCCTGTTTATATTTGGTTATTTGCCCCAATGCCATTCCTTCTGTCTTCCAAGGAGGATGGGATCTCCAAGTGGTCTTGCATCCAGACACAGCGATGATTCTTGATCCAATGTGCGTGACATGCCGACACCTTTTGCAGTAGAGCCTGGATTTTTTTAAGCAGAGGTTGGATAGCCATCTTGTCATGGATGCTTGAGCTGAGATTTCTGCATTACAGGGGGTTGGACTAGATGACCCTTGGTGTGCCTTCCAACTCTTAAAGTTCTGTGATTCTATTAGAGCAAATGGGGCACTGCTCCAGCAACCTCAGTCTGGCTTCAGCCCCAGGCCCCACCATCCTGCCTTCTTGCTTGCTGCCAGTGAGGGGGTTGTACTGCTTATTGCTTTCCTCCTTTTGCTTCTCCTCAGTCTCCAAATTGCTCTTATTGGACTTGTTGCAGGGAAGAGGAGGGGACCAACATGAGTTGGGTCTGCCTATCATTGGCTCTAACTGCCTATCACTGGATTCCTCCTACTTTTGAACCACCCTGCCTTCCACCAGCCCCACTGGACAACTGCAGTATTGGAGACAGGGGGGAATTATTATTATTATTATTATTATTATTATTATTTTAAATTTGTATACAGTGGTACCTCTGGTTACAAACGTAATTTGTTCCGGAGTCCATTCTTAACCTGAAACCGTTCTTAACCTGAGGTACTACTTTAGCTAATGGTGCCTGCTGCGCCGCCACCTCTTGATTTCTGTTCTCATCCTGAGGTAAAGTTCTTAACCCGAGGTACTATTTCTGGGTTAGCGGAGTCTGTTACCTGAAGTGTTTGTAACCCGAGGTGTTTGTAACCCGAGGTACCACTGTACTACCCTTCATGGACATGTTCATATCTGACACAATTGTGCAAGCAAGTGTAGTGATCTAGGATGAGAGTTTGAAACTTGAAAAAGCACGTAACTTTAAACAACTTCCCATATGGTAACTTCAGAATCCTGATTGCATTGCCATGCAATATGCTGACACTTCAGTTCCCTGAATTAACTTGAGTCCCTTTTCAGTGTTGTGTTGTGCTGTTGCCTGAAGGATGTGATTCTCCTGCAATGATGCTCTAACAGGCTGCCTGTTCTCCTCTTCCTCACAGCTGTTCTGTCCTTCATAGCCCAGGCTTAGACTTTTTAAAGCAAACTCTGTACAATGATTTTTGGGAAGAATGGTCTAGTCTTGTCAGGAAAGCAGATTTAATTCACACTTCTTGTAAGCGAGGGGTGGACTTTCGTGATCTATGGAAATATAAGCAAGGCCAAAATTGGGCGCCCCAAAATGGATCTTCTTAATTATGGATCTTCTAAATCTTCCACCCGCTTGGCTTGGCATCCTGCATTGTCCTGCAGCATAAATAATCATTTCTACTTTGTCACTTACTCTTAAAGTCCAAGTGGGGTATAAATGTGCTTATGTGGAAATACTAATATATATTGTGAGTCAACGTGAGCTATTTAACTTGAGAAGAGCATTTTTCTCAGTTTGGGGTTCAGTAGAACCGGTTAATTTCTCCCAACACACAGGAAAACAGAAACAAAAGGACTTCTGAGTCTGTCCCAATGTATATATTCCTTCTAGTAAAGCCGACTACTCCTTCCCTGACAATGGCTAACCCAATAGCTTTCACTTCTTAAGCTGTTGGGTGTGCTTGTAACTTACCGTATTTTTCGCTCTATAACACGCACCCGACCATAACACGCACATAGTTTTTAGAGGAGGAAAACAAGAAAAAAAATATTCTAAACGAAACAGTGGATGTATGATTTTTGTGGTTCATGCTGTGGCCACAGACATATGATCTGACGGTGAGTTTGGGGTAGCCCAATGCAAAAATCCTGAGGATCCATGTGGATCCGTGCTTTGTAACCACGTTTTTGCACCACTGCGGCCCCAGGCAACAGTGGGTGCGTGATTTTTTTGGTGCAAGCTGTAGCCATGGACATGTTATGTGATCTGATGGTGAATTGGGGTGACCCAGTGCAAAAATCCTGAGGATCCATGTGGATCCGTGCTTTGTAACCATGTTTTAAGTGGGGAGGGAAGGAAAAGCACTCAAGGGACAAGGAACACGCGTGTGGTGGGTGGAGAAGGATGCTGTTAATAATGCAGAAGAGGGGTATAAGAGGAGAAGGCTCCTCTCCTCTCCCGCTTTGCTCCTTTAAAGGCTCTGCTTCTCTCCCTCCTCCCCGGCTCGCTGAAAAACTTTGCTGAAAAACTTTGCTGCTATTAAGCCAGCTGAGTGGGGAGGAGAGAGGGACTTGCTTTGAAACAGCAAAGCGGGAGAAGAGCCGCTGAGTGGGGAGGAGAGAGGGACAGAGAGCCTGCTTGCTTTAAAGGAGTAAAGCGGGAGAGGAGAGGAGCCGCTTACATGAGTCCGGAGCTGTTTTTTTCAGTGAGCCGGGGAGCTCACTAAATAGCAGCAAAGTTTTTCGCAAGCAGGCTCTCTGTCCCTCTCTCCTCCCCACTCAGTGGCTCTTCTCCCGCTTTGCTGTTTCAAAGCAAGCCACGGAGGAGGGAAGGAAGGGGAACCATGGATCCTCTGCTCACGACTGCAGCAGATCCCCCCGCCATCCATAGGCATTCGTTCCATAACACGCACAGACATTTCCCCTCACTTTCTAGGAGGAAAAAAGTGAGTGTTATGGTGCAAAAAATACGGTATTTTAAAAACTGCACACAGCTCCAGGGATCAGGTTGTATAACTGCTCTTGCATACCACTAAGGTTGGGGTTGCATGTGGAAGTTTGTTTCCACACACATGACCGGATCGGGGCTATCTTATTTTATTTATTACATTTATAAATAACTACCCAGGGCAGTTTATACATAACTGATAAAACAACAAAAACTTCTAAAAACAATACCAATACAAATCCAGACTGGGATTTTAAAAAAACACCAAATCTCCATTTTTAAAAGTCTTGTTTAAATAAGAAATTAGATAGCCAGATAGACAGCAGAGATGGTGCCTGTCTAGTATTTAATGTGGGGGGGGGTTCCAAAGAGTAGGGGCCCACACTAAAGGCCCAATTCCTCCTTATAATATGGTATCCACAGGAGGATTGAGGATATATGAGCTGAGGCAATCCTTTATGCATCCAGGTCCCAGGCCAGGGGCTCTGGGGGGGGGGGGGGGTAAAAAGTTTGAAGCAGCGGGCTGGGCCCCCTCAATATTTTGCTGCTGTAATGGGCTGCAACAGGCCCCACTATGCCTACCCCCAGCCACAGCAGGCCCCATCAGGCCTTCCTGTGGGTGTGACGGGCCCCATTGGGCCCTCCTGTGGGTGCGACAGGCCCTGTCAGGCCTACCTGCAGCCACACCGGGCCCTGTCAGGCCACCCCACCACCACGTAATGTCAAAGTTGGGTGGAACCCAGTGCGTGTGTCCCAGTAATAATAATAAAATAATTTATTATTTATACCCCGCCCATCTGGCTGGGTTTCCCCAGCCATTCTGGGCGGCTTCCAACAGAACACTAAAATACAATAACCTATTAAACATTAAAAGCTTCCCTAAACAGGACTGCCTTCAGATGTCTTCTAAAAGTTTGGTAGTTATTTTTTTCTTTGACATCTGGTGGGAGGGCGTTCCACAGGGCGGGTGCCACTACCGAGAAGGCTATTTCCCTGTAACTTGGCTTCTCGCAGCGAGGGAACTGCCAAAGGGCCCTCGGCGCTGGACCTCAGTGTTCCAGGTTGTACAGAGCTTTGTATACCAACCTCAGCCTGGGCCAGCCTCAAGGGCAGATTGCATTGAAGTAATCCCACAGGTTACCCTCTCATGAAAGACTGTTCATCCTGGTGCAGAAACCACAAAGCTGGTAAAAGGGATTCCCAGCCACTGAGGTCTCGTGGGCCTCTAATGACCGAGATGGATTCAGGAGCATCCCCCAGACTACGAGCTATTGACTTTAAACTTATTCGTATTCTCAATTTAGGTGGTTGGTCGCATCGCACCTAGAACCGGCAGATGCCAGGAGGGTTTACCCATGCTTTGATGAACCTGCAATGAAAGCTACCTTTAACATCAGTATTGTTCACCACCCAAGCTATAAAGTACTTTCCAACATGCCGATTAAGGGTAAGTAAGGGAATGTGGGACTTTCTAATTGTGTGGTGGGACCCGTTAGTAATGGCAGTGGTACTAGGATTATTAATATTGTTGCTATTATAGTTGCTGCAGCCAGGATTGGAAAAATCCCAGGTGCCCAGATCATCTAGGTGCCTAAAATTTTAGTGCTGGAACCTAGGAATCTGATGAAACCCCGGTTGGCCATGGCATTTTTTACACAGGAAACAAGAGTACAGCTTGACTATTAGATCTAGCGGTCACTATATAGAAGGCACCCTTAGACTTCCATTCTGAACAGAGCAAATTTGCCATAATATTCAGTATTAATGCCTATAATAATTGTTCTTTTATAGATGTATCTGAGTATAAAGATGTGAATGAGAGCACATTGAGTACTTTGAGTAATGGGACTGCACTGATGAACTGGACTGTCACAACATTTGAAACAACACCAAAAATGTCCACATATGTCACTGCTTTTGCGGTCTGTAACTTTGATTATGTCACCACAGTGGAGAGGGGCAATGAGGTGAATAAGTCTGCTGAATTTATTATAGACTTTAGCAGCATATACTTGCATTTATGAGTGAATTATGTGTTGCGCAATATGCACTGATGTTTAAATTATAGTATAAGATTAAATGGTTTTTTTAAAAATAAATTGCATCCTGAAAACTAATATGCTACATCTACTCCCGTCTCCCACTTTGTCAATCTTATTCAGAACAGGGTTACTCCAGATCAGGTTTTGTTTAAGCACAGTACAACTAGATTCTTTAGTGGAGAAACATTAGTTTGTTAGAAGACTGCTTTCCACACGCCAGCCCACCTTTGGAATAGGGTTCTCTTACTAGAACATCATTCACAACGTGTAGGCACTGCTGTCCCAGACTTGGTTTACCAGATGAACCAGATCTAGCTGGCGTGCTGGATGCTCCTCTCCCTCATTCCGTGCAGGCCATCTTTGAGAGGTGAGTGGGACCACCCACCTGTCAATCACCTAACATTAAGAGGGCAGGTGACTGATAGCTGTCAAAGTTCAAATGAGGTTGCTGTAACTATTAAATCAGTGATTACAGGGAACTCCTTGGAGATATGCTTTTAGCACCAGTCGGCTGACTGGTGCTGGGAGTGCTCCTTTAAAGATTTATTAAATTGATGTAATCCCATTTAAAAGGCTGTCAGTCTGGGCCAGGGGTCTGCAACCCGCGGCTTCGTAGCCGCATGTGGCTCTTTTACACCTTTGCCACAGCTCCGGGGCGGATACTAGCGAGGGGAGGAGGCGCATTGTGCGCCCTGACACTCCCCACTGTGGCGGGCGCTGTACTGGCTGTGACGTCGCATGGGGGTGGTGCGTGCGTTAGTCATGCACCATCCCGACGTCACCTTCCCGCCCGCCTGCTACATTGTAAGGGGCACGTACGCTGGTCACTGCATTGAAAGGGGGCATGTACGCTGGTCACTGTTTTGAAGGGGAGTGAAGAACACACACACACAAAAAGGTAACTTGTTAATTTAACATTTATTTCTATGAGGAGGAGTAATTCTGAGGGGTCAAACAAAGAAATAATTTTAAAAAGTGACAAAAAAGTTATTTTTATAATGACGAGTTTTGCAGCTCCCAGTTTTTTTTTCTTCGGAAACGGGTCCAAGTGGCTCTTTTTGTCTTAAAGGTTGCAGACCCCTGGTCTGGGCCATTATATCATCGTAGAATCATAGTGTTGGAAGAGATCTTGAGGGTCATCTGGTTCAAACCTCTGCAACGCAGGAATCTCAGCTAAAGCAGCCCACAGCCTCTCGTGGGACTCTGTCCCACTGTCTGTTTTACCCAAACTGCCCATGCAGATTTGTCTTGTCATCTGCAAAATGGGCAGAACAGTTTAGGATCTACACCAGTGTTTCCAAAACTCGTGTCTCCATTATCCCTAGCTAGCAGGACCAGTAGTCAGGGATGATGGGAATTGTAAGTCCAAAAACCACTGGAGACCCAAGTTTGGGAAACACTGATCTACACTATGGGGGAAAGAGTAAGATGCTTGTGTTTCTGGGCTTTTCATTTTCCAAGGTCTTTATCAGTGCTTGTGTTGTCTAGCTAAGGACAACCTTGTCTGTAGCAGACTACTGATTATATAAAGTTTCACTCATGAAGTCTCATATCTCTAACCATTAAGCAGCTAGTACTCCCATTTACCCAAATGTCTGATAATCCAAAATATTAACAGAATGCACCAATTCAGAAGGCTCCATTCCATTACCCCTTCTACAGAATTTTGCCCTGCCCATCAAGAGTCAGGCAGCATTCTGTGGCTGCTTAGCACACTCGTACCTTCTCACTTATTTAACTCAGTGCAGATTTTTAAGTTGATTGGTGACTGGCTGCATGTAATCCAGGTGATAAATGGTTCTTGCAAATTGTAGTCACGACAAACATTGTGTGGAGCAGGCACACAATGCTTTTCAAGTGACTGCTTATGTAGTCCTGGATAACACAGAAATGAATTCATTGGTGTGTCGATTGTCAAATGTTTAACTGACATGGAGCGTGCACAAACCTAGCAACCGTTTCCCTTTTCCTTTCATCCTGCAAACTCATCCTTTTGTTTGGAATAATACATGGCACAACTGCATGCGGATGTGGGAGCAATTAAGCTTTTAAAGAACAAGACTTTCAGGGTGCATGATGTCATGGAAGAAAATGTGGTGGTCTGCAAAGGATAAGGCAACCTGAACAGAGGTCTAAAATGCAATGAAGTTTTAAGGAATTCTGCTAAATATCTGTTTTCTTTTTTCTGAAAGTCACTGTGCAAATTCATGGCCACTGAAGAAGGCTTAATGATATGAAACAGATTTTCATCACTTGTCCAAAATAACCATTTCTGTGCATATTCATAGATACGCATTTGGGCTCGGAAGGATGCAATTAAAAATGGATCTGCTGATTATGCTTTAAATATCACTGGACCAATCTTTTCATTTATGGAAGACTTACTTAACATCAGTTACCCTCTTTCAAAAACAGGTATTCTTGCTTGCTTCTTTTTTAAAAAGAAACAACCTCTTAAAATGTTTAAAACGGACAAAATTGTTTTTGCTTGGAATCATGTGATACGTCCCCGGAAATGCTTTTTTTCTTCTGACTTTGAATTAGAAATCCATACAGTGTTTGAGGAACAGCTGTTCTAAACAAAAGGCATAACATTTCTGTGACCCTGAAATTAACTGGTTTATTGTGGTCTGAGCTGTCCGAGACAGCCTACACCTTAGAATACACTATTTGTTTTATTGTATTTTTAAGACTTACACCCTGCTGTTCCATCTAAAATATCCCTGAAGTGGCCATCAACAGATAATAATAATAATAATAATAATAATAATAATAATAATAATTTATTATTTATACCCCACCCACTCTGGGCAGCTTCCATAGAAACCAAAAATACACTAAAATATCACACGTTAAAAACTAAATCTTCAGTTGAAAGCTTTGGTGGTGGGGCAGCTAAGAGAGATGTGGTGAGGGTGTGATATTAATGTCTCTCCCCAGCTCTCTGGTTGCCTCTGCTACTGCCCTTAGGAACCTGTGAGAAACCAAGAGTAGAGGGCCGGTGCCTTCAGGAAGCCCACAAACAGGGCTTGAAGGCATCTGATTGGCCACACTGCACAAAGGTGGACCTGAGACCTGATTAAGCAGGTATCTTTTTATGTTCTTTTGTACGAATACTTCCTTGTTTTTTTGTTATTAAAAAACACAGAGCATGGAAAAAACCTACATGGGGGCGGGGTGGGGGGAAAGCTCCCAATAGTATTTACAGTCATACCTTGGGTTACAGACGCTTCAGGTTGCATTTTTTTGGGTTACGGACCATCGAAATCCAGAAGTACCGGAATGGGTTACTTCTGGGTTTTGGCAGTTGCGCATGCGCAGAAGTGCCAAATCGCACTTTGCGCATGCGCAGAAGCACTGAATCGCAACCCGCATCTGCGCAGATGCACCGCTGCGGGTTGTGAACGCTGCGGGTTGCGAATGTGCATCCCGCACGGATCACGTTCGCAACCCGAGCGTCCACTGTACTAGGTTTCTTTTCATGCCAATATTTTTTTTAAAATAATATTTATTAAAAGTTTAAAGATTACAAAAAAGGAAAGAAAAAAAAGAAAAAATAAACAATACAAATCAATACATTGCTATACATAAAAAAAGAAAAAAGAAAAGACACAATACATCAAAACAAAAGCAAAAGCAAAAACAATTAAAAACACATCCAATATTTCCATATCTTTGTCTTTCATTAACTTGTTTCATCAACCTCCTCGCACCTCCCTTTTTTGTGTTCTAGTTATTAATTATTTCAGCAAATCCTTTCCATCTTTCACTATTTTCTGTCATATAATTGTCATAATTTGTTTTAACCTTATCTTACCATTAATACCCTAAAACTTATTTGTACTTAACTCCTTATAACATTTCTACTAAAGCTGTGTAATTTCATTCCAACATTTTTCTAACACTCATTAATTTTACAATGTTTCTATAAATAAATTTTAAACTTTTTCCCAATCTTCTTCCACAGTCTCTTCTCCTTGGTCTCGGATTTTGCCAGTCCTTTCTATCAATTCCATATGGTCCATCAACCTGGTGATCTTCTGTCCGAGGCTCTTAACTCTTTTCCATGTCCCTTCTGCAGATCTTCTTCATATTTATACATGCACTTTACTTTATCTTCTGCTGATCTTATTCTTAATTTCCTTCCTTTGGCACTGAGGAGTAGATCTCGGGGAAGCTCCAACCTAACAATGTCTTTATTCCTTCTTGACAGATCAGCCCATTCTCCATAGTCAAAACTAGAGTCCAAAAGATATTTCAGGACATGTTTCAACTGGCTTTCTCTAAATTCAATCGTAGAAGGCAACAGCTTATATTCATCAAATTGTCTCTGTAAGACTGGGGCTCTTTCCACTTGTATTACTTGAGGTTCTACAACAACTTTGTCCCTCGTCTTCTCCACAACTTGCCGTGTCGAAGTAGATTCCTGAATCGATTCCTGAGTAGTTTCCGTATAGATATTCACTTCTTGTCCCAAATCAGTCATTTTTTGTCCCAAATTATCAATTTTAATAGTCATCACATCGATCTTCTCATGAAGCTGTTCCAATAAAGCACTTATCTTGCAAAATGCAATCACTAAGGCTTCTTCTGTCGACATTCTTGTCCAAGGTCAATCTCTGATTCTCACGGTCTTTTATCTCTGCAGCTGGAAAATTCCCCAGCTCCACTCCTGCAACAGTTTCAAAAGCTCCCTCTAGAGGAAACAATTTCTATTTGTATCCGTCCTTTTAAACGCAGATCTAGCAACAAAGTTAGTTTCAATCTTTCAGTTACTTTTGCTCCTTTTTGAGTGCAAAAGGAAACAATGGAAACAATATATTTCTCTTATTTAACTATCTGTCAACGTATGTTTTATTCACAGTCAATGAACTTTCCCAAAACTTCGATCTTACGGGCAGCCCGTTCCCAGGTTCAAAACGGTGGTAATTTGTCTTTCTTTACTCTCTCTCCTGCAGGCTTAGGCGATCTAAAATTCCCCCCCTCTTCTCCTGCTTCCAAGGGGGGGTTTAATAATTTTAACCGATGGAAATTTAATCCTTTACAAAAGGCTCTCCAAGACTTTAGCTTGCAGCGTCTTTGCTCAATCTATTTACAAAAGAGGAAGGCGGACTTCCTGTTTGAAACCTTCCCGTTTCAGTGCCGAATTAAGATGTTTAAAGATCCAATTTTCCGTTTTACTCACGGGTAGTTGTTTAAAGTCCAATTGTCTACAGGAAAAAGTCAGCGCTCTCCGGCAATGGCAATGCGGCTTCACTCCATGAAAGAAGCAGTTGATTCGAAGCACTGTGCCGCTCACCCCACGTCGCTCCGGATCCCGAAACCGGGTTTCCCCGCGAGTAGGGGAGGTGCAAAAGGTGCCAGCCGAATCCCACGTCCACAGGCTTCTCCCGCCTGTGGTTTTTAGTGGGTCTCCGCCTTCATCGTGGCGGCCAGACCCTGATTTCCACGGAGCGGATTCCTCCCGATCAGAGGAATTCCTCCATTGCCGGAGGCGCTAACCCGGAATTCCCCTCTTTTCATGCCAATATTGTCAGCGACTGAAAATCTTGGGAAATGGCAGATTAAGCCAAGAGCACTCATGTAAACATATGAATTGTGAAATTGTTAAAGCTTCTCCTTTTTCTCTTTATTTAAACCAATCTAGATCTGCTTGTGCTACCTGATATGGGAGCTGGTGCTATGGAACACTGGGGGCTAATGACTTTCCAGGAAATATCCATGTTGTATCACCCAGAAGATAAATTCTCACTCCAGAAGTATTGGATTTGCAAAATTATTTCCCATGAGATAGCACACCAGGCATGTGGTAAAATCTTCTGCACTTTAATCTATCTTAAAAACAAAGGTGTTATTTTCGAAGTAGCTGTAGCTGCAATAGTGGCAATTTAATGTGAAAATAAATCCTGAGAACTGCCAAGTGTCTGGAATCGGTCATCAGGAGTACAGTTCCTGGGCAAGTGGAAGGCTCAAACAGCATATCACTGACTGAATACATTTTTAGAGTTTTATAGATAATTCCATAGAACTAACAAATAATAAAAGTGAACCCTGGCATGACCTTTAAAAAGCCCATAATCTATTTGGGTGTCTGTGTTGAGATTAACATAAACAATGTGGAGAGTTTTTTCAACAGACTGTTCACTGAAAAAAAGGTCACTGGTATATTGAGTACATTTACCGGTACTCACTTTTGCTTTCTCTCAGAGCCCTTAGATCATGTATGGGGGACCTTTGGGCCTTTGGATGTGGCTTAAATATGGCTCCCATGTAACCTGGCCATTGGCCATGCCTGCTGGTGCTGATGCAAGCAGTAGTTCAGCAGCATCTGAAGGGCCAAAGCTTCCCACGTATGACTTAGGTAAATGTTGCAGAAATGCAAGCAATTACTTGCACTTCTGCCAGCACACCAGAATTGTCCTTTTGACCTATGAGGCTTCCTGTGGCATTATGCTGTTTAACAAGATGCCGTTTAAGAGACCACAGCTAAAAGTAAGCCCCCCTAAATAGCATTTTTGGGCCGCAAAAGAGAAGGGGTACAGTGCTAATGGCCCCTGCTCTAATTAGCAACACAGCTATAATCTAGTCCCAGTAGAAGTGTAGGAGGATAAGTGAAGCACACAAGAACCACCTTTCTGGTTCAGTTTATAGTGCATTTGTCCCAGCATTTTGCTTCCAATAGTGGACAGGAAGGAATATACAGGAGCTCATAAGCAAGACAGGAAAGTGGTGACCTTCTCATATTGTTTGTCCCTATTACCTGATACTCAAGAGATTTTTTTTTTTTGCCTGCAAAATATGCCTGCAAATATGGAGGTTTAACTGTCATGGCTAGTCTCCATGAAGTTCCCAGCCATGTTAAAAAATAATTCATACATTTAGTGATTTCCATAAGTTCATTGTGCATTGTCCCTTTGAGCTTGCAGTCGGGCAGCTTGTAATAGATCCCATTCCTTGAAAGCTGAATGTAGTATGCAGCTATGGGTATGCAGTGCTTTTTTGTGATGGTACTCACTGATATGGAGTACCGGTACCTCATTTGTTTAAAGGGGGAGGGGGAAGGAAGTAACAAGGGGAAGCACAGAAGTGGGAGCAAGAAAGGAACAGCAGGGAACATTGTCACATTTGTTTAGCACCAGACTATTTTTTTGCTAAAAGCCTAAAAAGGAGTACTTAATGAAAGCATGTAAAATAAGATACTGGATCAAAACTTGATTGATTAGCATTTGCTCTACAAATCCGCAAACATATATCAGATTATTATAAACTTTAATACCAAACAAACCTTTTGACACTCCAGTATATGCTTCTGCTTATGTTGTTAAGCAAATCTATTTTTTCCTGTTGTGTTTCCCATTGACTTGTTTTTCTTTTCCTTATGAGTTAAGTGATAACAGTTTTATGTAAAGTGGTGTCTGAAAAAAGTGTTTGTAAACTGGGGGAACGCCATGCTTTACACGCTTTATCCTGACAAGATTAACAGGGTGGTAAAGCATAAACATACCTCTTTTAAATTAAAGTAGAAAAAGGATCAAGGCAGTGGGTGGGAAGGGTAAAGACCTGACCCCAAATTGCTGCTTTTTTACATTTCAAGAGAAGTCTCCATTTCCATTTCAATAGAAGCCTCCATTAGTGCTTATAGGAACTCATCTGGAAATGCATATAGCAGTTGGCAGGGGGAAAGTTATGTAATTTTCTCAGTAGCAGGTCAGGCAAGGTGGCATTGCTCATCTGCCTTCCCAGTACTGAGCATCACTGCTGCTTCCTGAGAGGGGAGATCCAGGGAGCTCAGGGTGATGCTGGAGATGCAGCAGAGCCAATCTGGTGCTTCCTGCTGCCGTGCCTGCACCGCATTCAGCTCCCCTGCACCTCTCAGGAACCAATAATAACACTCAGTGCTGGGAAGGCAGGTGAGTAGTGCAGCCTTGTCTTCCAGACCGTTATGGCTTCCTCCTCATTCCACGTGGTTCTGCTGTTTAAAGACATACAAATTCATTGCATTCGCACACTTGAATGCATCACACTTAGAGAGAATTCTATTTGGTTATGTTATCAAACCCCAGAATGGATTTTTAGTACTTTAACTGCTGATTTCTATCTTTGTAGCTTTTCTAAAATGGCATCGTCCCAGTGCTTTTTTTCCTGGGGGTACGCATACCCCTAAACATTTTGTGAATCTAACTTTGGCCTCATTGAGGGGCAGTATTTCAATATGAGTAGGAAAATGAGAGTACCCCTAAACATTTTTTTTAGAAAAAAGCACTGCATCTTCCTAAATTCATACAAACCTGTAAACATTATAGCATTCCTTTTTGATAACGTATGCCAATGTGAGACTATTAACTACAATGGTACCTTGGGTTACAAACACCTCAGGTTACAGACTCCGCTAACCTGGAAGTAGTACCTTGGGTTAAGAACTTTACCTTGGGATGAGAACAGAAATTGTGCGCCGGTGGCCTGGTGGCAGCCGGAGACCCTATTGCTAAAGTGGTACCTCAGGTCAAGAACAGTTTCAGGTTAAGAACGGACCTCCGGAACGAATTAAGTTCATAACCAGAGGTACCACTGTACACTCTTATGCCTGATTATTAGAAGAGCAGTTTGAAAACAATGCATTGAAAGACTCTCCTCTTCCTTCTATTTGAAGTGGTTTGGAAACCTAGTTACCATGAATTGGTGGAACGACATATGGCTTAACGAAGGATTTGCATCTTACTTGGAGCATCTCGGTACATATTACATAATGCCCACAATGCCTCTGGTAGGTGTGAACTATATCATCGTTTATATAAAGTTTATCCAAACTGTGGGATTGTTTTCAGTCCCTTGAAATTAATGGGATCTGTGCAATGGTTCTTTCAGGTCTTAGAGGGCCCCAGTTTAGATCCAGTCTCAGCATTCTCTTTTCTGCTGCCTCCACCTACTTTCCTGCTTACATATGAGCCCCTATCCACACACTGAACTAGTACAGTCCACGCACAGATTTGCCACTTCATCTCACCTTTTTGAGAACTCATCCATTAGCTGTCCTAGCAGCCTTACAGTTCTCCATCAAGGTCAGTAAAGGTAAAGGTAAAGGGACCCCTGACTGTTAGGTCCAGTCACGGACGACTCTGGGGTTGCAGCGTTCATCTTGCTTTACTGGCCGAGGGAGCCGGCATTTGTCCACAGACAGCTTCCAGGTCATGTGGCCAACATGACTAAGCCGCTTCTGGCGAACCAGAGCAGCGCACGGAAACACCATTTGCCTTCCCGCTGTAGCGGTACCTATTTACTTGCACTTTGAGGTGCTTTCAAACTGCTAGGTTGGCAGGAGCAGGGACTGAACAATGGGAGCTCACCCCATCGCGGGGATTCGAACCGCTGACCTTCTGATCAGCAAGCCCTAGGCTCTGTGGTTTACACCACATGGACACCCGCGTCCCAATCAAGGTCAGTAGGTGGCTCCAAATCCCTTAGCAGAATCCACTTTTTGAGTCCACGGCTCCCTTGACCAATTGCAGCACCCCTGTGGTTATGTCACCCCTTGTCTGCAGAGCTGGCAGCCTTTCACCCTTTTTCAAACACCCTCCCTTGTGGAGCGTCCCCTCATCTTCCTCCCCTCTCATTGGAAGTCCTCTGGGCAGCCACTGTTGCCGCTCCTGGTCTCTGAGCTGCCCCCCCTGCCCCAAAGAGAAGTGCCTCCTCACACTGCTCCACAGGGGCCTGGAAAGAGGATGCCCCCAGCCTTAGTGGCCCAACGGAGACTGGCTGAAGGTGAATGTGAGGTCAGCAGTGTGGTGTAGTGGTTAAGAGTGGTAGTCTCGTAATCTGGGGAACCGGGTTCGCGTCTCCGCTCCTCCACATGCAGCTGCTGGGTGACCTTGGGCCAGTCACACTTCTCTGAAGTCTCTCAGCCCCACTCACCTCACAGAGTGTTTGTTGTGGGGGAGGAAGGGAAAGGAGAATGTTAGCCGCTTTGAGACTCCTGAAGGGGAGTGAAAGGCGGGATATCAAATCCAAACTCTTCTTCTTCTTACCTTGAGAGGCAGCGGCAGGTGTGGCCAGTCCTGCCAGGCAGAAAGGCTCCCCTTCAGCACCAGGCACTAAGCTCCCAGGCAGGCCTTGCCCACAACAAGCACAAGAAAGGCCAGCGCAGTGCCTGCCTGCCTGCCCAGCTTCCCACTTGTCTATCCATTCGCAACAGTAAGGGCTGACGGACTGGCTGGCTGGGCTCCCTTGCCTGCTTACTTGCTTACTCCAAGGCCACCTCAGCTCCTGGCAACTAGCACCCCCTGGCCAGAGGCACCATTCACTTGGGAAGCACATTGTAGCCAGGGCTGCTGCAACAAACAGCTGTGCAAGCCTCTGGTAGGCAGAGATGCGAGAAGGCATTAGAGGAGGGAGGGAAGGAAAGAGGGACAGAGGTCAGTGTTGCCTGTGGCACCACTGATCATCATTCAAGGCATCCTAGGGTGCCACGGCACACTGGTTGAAAAACAGCTGCCCTAGCTAATAATCATGCCTTGTATACTAGGTCAAAGCTGTCTTCTACTGCTCTTTTGCGCTATGGTAATACTATAAACCATAGGTATTCTTTTTGTTGAAATTTTGTGCTATGTATTACTGAACTGATTCACACTAATTATCTGTTGCTGTTTAGTCGTTTAGTTGTGTCCGACTCTTTGTGACCCCATGGACCAGAGCACGCCAGGCTCTGTAATGCAATGCTACATTATCTGTAGCAGATGGTAATTAAAATTAGGACATGATACTGGTTTCCTGACAATTACATTTCACATGCTGGCATTCCACAAATTGACTTTCTGCGATAAGAATTTCAGCCAAATACAGATTTTCTTGAAAGGGGTTATGAATGCAATGACTTGAACGAAGGTTTTTAAATAGGAAGCCTATTAAATGTTTTATGAATTAAGTATAATTCTCAAAATAACTTAAAATGTGGTCTTTTATTTTTAGGTAAACATTGCTATTTTATGGTTATTTTCAGGACAACATCTTTAGTTACAAAGTGGTTCAACCTGTCTTGCGCATGGATAATGAACTACAAAATCAGTCTTTATCAGACACAGGTGATAGACAAGAATCGGGTGCATTACTTAAACTGTTTGGTTTAATAACATACAAGAAGGTAAAAACAAAATTTGTAAGCAGTATATTAAAGGATTTTATCGGTCACATGATTTGAAAAGTTAATATGAAATTGTCACTTTTTCATAACATGAGAAAGGGAATTCTCTGCCTCCATTGAATTGAATGGTAAAGCCTTTATGACAGTTTTCCCCAAGCTGGTGCCTTCTATGTGTTTTGAACCACCACTCCTGTTGCCCCCAAACTGTTTAGCCAATGATCTGGAATGATAGGAGGGTACCAGGTTTGAGAAGGCTTCCTGCTGCATTCGAAGTGGAGTCTGTATATCAAATAGCAGTGTACAGTGGGGGGGGGGGGGACAGACGAGTGGCTCCTATGCACAGTTATGTTGGGGCAAGCCCCACTGAGAACAATGGCATTTACTTCAAAGGAAGTATGTATAGGATCACACTGTAAGTTAGGTCCATTCCTTTCAATCGGTCTGTTCTGAATAAAGCTTTGTTGAATACCACCCCATGTTCCCTTCACCTGTGAGGAGACACAATATGTGCCCACATATCTAGAACTGGAGAGGGTTTTTAAGGAAGAGAATGACTGCCCAACAGGTTTGATGTGGTCAGCAAACTTCATCATTGAATGCCACAAGTGCCTTTTTATTCTCCAGTCTGTTACTTCTGATTTGTGAATTCGGATCAATGTGGCTGTTAGGCTGTGTGAGATATTTTTACTCTTCTTTGTATCATTTGTGAAAATTACCTTAGTAATTATATATGCCCATCCTAAATAAAGCATTCTGTGGCAAAATAGCCACCCACAAGATTCCATATAAAGCCATATAACAGTGTGAGATATACAAAATCTCATCACTTGGAGATGCAGGGAATCATTTTGAAGAAACTGTGTAATATAAAAAGACTTTATATGGTTTTGCTGCAACATTCACACAGCTACCCATCTGAAAACGCCCCCACAACAATCAATATATTTAATAAAACTACTGATTTGAATGTAATGTTGGTAGATTAATGTCTTGAGTTTCATGACTTGCAAAGTCTCATCATTCTAAATACATAAAGATAAATCATCTATATCTATATCTATTTTTCTCTCTCTTAGGGGGCTGCCATCATCCGGATGCTGTCCAACTTTGTGACTGAAAGGCTTTTAATGAAAGCACTTAATGTGAGTTTCAAAAACAACTTTACCAACAGTTGGATTCTCGACGACTATTCAAAATGTGTTGTCACTGTGAATTGACTAATTATACTTGTTTAATTACAGTCGTACCTGAATGCATTTTCCTTTTCAAATGCCAACCAGGATGATCTGTGGAATCACATTCAAAAGGTGATTAAAACCATTAGTGTTTTCGCTGCTGCTCTTGGAATATCCAATGTGGGGGCATTCTTGGTCCTGTCCTGAAAGGCCTTCGAAGCAGGGCTGTGCATGGCCTCTCAATAAGAACTGAGACCCAATCTGGCACTTTGTGTTGGCCCCAGGTCAATGTGGGGCCTAACTGACCCGTATCCATATGCCAAATCAATTTAGGGGCTAGCTCTAATGCTTAATTAGGGTTTTTCATCCTAGTTTAAACATGTGGTCAGGAGAGGGCTGGGAGATGAATGACCTGTTTGACTCTGCCTGATGTGATGTTCAGGGTTCAGCTAAAACCAGTGCACAACACTAGTTTGAACCAACAGTGCTGAACTTACTGTTCAGATGCTCTGCTAGTTTGGGCTCAGTGATGAGCAGCACCAAATACGTTCTGCATCAAGCCTCTTTGACATGTTTCCAAGTCAGGTCTTTCCCTGAGCAGCAGCTCATTTTTTTGATCTGATAGTTCAGGTGTGGGGAACCTTTGGCCCTCCAGATGTTGAACTACAACTTTCATCAGCCCCAGTAGGCACGTCAGGGATGCTGCAGTTCAGCAACATCTGGAGAGCCAAACGTTCCCACATCTATGATAGCTTATGTCTGGTACGCGATATTACCTTGCAGGCAGCGGTTAATAGCCCATTTGACACACACAAAAGTCTATATGAGTCTCAGTACATTTATATGTCTGTAGTTGTCTACAGTCCTTTCCACCACCATCTGTGGGCAGTCATGTGCCTGCAGTCAGCAAAGCATGGGTGTGTCAGAAAGCAGTGTGTGAAGTGCAGACTAATCCCACATGAAAAGTTTCTATTTACCGTATTTTTCGCTCCATAAGACGCACCCAACCATAAGACGCACCTAGTTTTTAGAGGAGGAAAGGGGGAAAGCCCCGTTTTTTGGGGGGATCAGCTCACAGTTGTGCAGCTTCTTTTGCAAAGGGGAAAAGCCCCCTTTTTTGAGGATCAGCTCAAAGTTGTTGAGCTTACTTTGCAAAGGGGAAAAATCCTGTTTTTATGGGGTTCAACTCACAGTTCTGCAGCTTCTTTAAGAAAGGAAAGGGAGCCATTTCTACAGTTTCCAGACAGATAATCTATTCAGCCAGTCACATGTCACTGGGTAAACAAACAGCCTTCATCTGCAGAACATTCAACAATGGAGGCCTGGGCAAGGGGGCAGGGCCAGAAAGGGAGCCAGCGATCACCCACACATTCACTCCATAAGATGCACAGACATTTCCCTTTACTTTTTAGGAGGAAAAAAGTACGTTTTATGGAGTGAAAAATACGGTAATAAAGACTTGGGGAATAAAGTAGGTGGAGGAAAAGCCCCCACCCCACTTCAAGAACTGCTTAGATCAGGCATCCTATACATAATTGACAGTTTCATCACCCAGGCCCAATCACAAATTAGTATGGTAATTGGCTTCACTAGGACAAGTTGCTCTGGCAAATTTGGAGCTCAACAGGGGCCTTTCATCCCTCTTGGACCAGGCTATACCTCCCAGGCTCCTGTCCCTTCCTGAAGAGTAGAGAGCCTTAAATTGGTAGTCCTTTGGCCTGAAGTCTGATACTCTGAGGGCTTTGTGTGTTACCTGTATTTGCAAGGAGATACCAGTGACCTAATAGCCTATGATGTGAAGAGACCAGTCACTCAGTCTTGCTTGGGTGGTACTGTCTCTGGACGTCTGTTTGAGGGATTCTGTTTCTTGAGGCTCCTGGCTGAAAGGGTTCAGCTCCACTCTAGAGTCAGGGCCTGGGTCAGGGATCAGCAATCCCACATCTTGCACTGCTCAGCCCCCTGATCCAACGGGATCTTCTTCTCCGAGTTGGACAACTCGTTGCTGCTTGAGGTGGGTAATGGCAACCTTGCTTATGAAAACTGATCTGTAAAGTTCGCCCCCCGCTCCATATGAGCTATTAAATGTTTAAGAATGCTGGATTTTACTTGTGTATGAACCAGCAAATAGTACCTGGAAAACCTGCTGTTAGTACAAGTAGAAACATTTATGTGAAATTAAATAAACCAAACTGTTTTCTAATCCAGACTTTTCTTGAAGGTAGTAGATGAACAGAATGACCTCCAGTTGCCGGCGCCAGTAAAAGTTATAATGGACTCCTGGACCTGCCAACATGGCTTGCCACTCCTAACAGTAAATCTGACCACTGGGAACATCAGTCAGGAACAGTTTTATTCTAAAAAAGGAACAAACAAGACCAAGTATGCTTAATTTAGTGCAATTGTTTTAATTTTGATTTCATAAAGTACTTTGGTGTATATTTGAATAGTAGGTAACTCTTTTTTTCTGATAATCTTCTATTTTTGCCTGAACTATAATTAGCCACAGCTTCTGACTCTGCAAATTATGTTTTGCACTTTCCTTCCAAAGTAGACATTGAAATCCACCTTGGATGTCAACATGAATTATGGGGTTGTGCCAAAAAGGAGATGTGAAACTGCACGCAAGAGGGGAGGAGGGAAATGCAACCCTAGGGCTAATTTCTGATCCTTCACACTGTGGTTTGGATGATCATCTGAAATGGGCCGTTGTATTGTTTTTGTTCTCTATTAAGAGCTATTAGTAGTATGCTGTAAACCGCTTTGAGATTTTTCTTAAAAATATAAAGCGGTATAGAAACTAAATAAATAGTTGCATTTTGTCAAAGCACTGTTGATTCTCTTCACATTAAACTGAAAGGCGTTTACTGGTGTCAAATATATGATATGTGTGCTGCCCCAAGTGTCGTGCACACACAAGGTTTCCATAACTCCTATGATCTCAGATTTTGTGTCAGGATCACCTGGCATTTAATGCAAGATGGATCTTTTGGCTGATGTGGGAAAAATGGTGTGCATAAATGCGGCACACCTGGAACCTTGGGACTGTAATTTCTGTGTTCAGTTTTCTGGGCTTCCAGGACCAACCATATTCATGTGAAGGCAATTTATTTTAACTGTTTTTATACCAAATTTTAAATTGTAACCTGTCCAGGGATCTGCTGGTGGAGGGTGAATAATAAATTTGATGAAAATTATGATGATTAAAGTCAGATGTGCTTAACAGTGCTTGCTTCTATATGGATTGTTCCCACTACATGAAAGCACATGGCACAGAAATCCATGAGACTTGCTTGCAAGTAAATCCAAGGGCAAGTCCCGGTTCGGAGTGGACCCGTGTGCACAACTGTGGCTTCCCAGTTATTAGTTATGGAAAGTGAAGGTTTCTCATGCATATACAAAGCTTGACTTTCCAAATCTCATTGTGCTGGTGCTGGGGGCTAACCGAGAGGCGAGGTCCAAGTCCAGTCCGAGGTCGATGGTGCGGTATGGAGGCGGTCCGTCAGAGCTGTAGCTGGGTCCAAGGCGGGGAGTCGGATGGGGTCAGGAACTCTGGCAGAAGAGCAGGACAGGGTGCAGGCAGGAACAGGCTAGCAACAACGTTGCTCCCGCAACCTGGGACTGGGGCTGACTGGCTTTTATCTGCCCTGAGGCATAGGGCAGCCCCGGTCCACAAGTGACTCGCCTCTCCTGGCCTGGAGGCGAGCACTCCTCCTGCAGGAACTTAGTTCCCTCCGCCTCTTCCCTGAGCCTCTGCAGCTCAGGAGAGGCTGGAGGGTTACTGGACCCAGATGTAACCTCCTCTTTCCCTGACGGGGCTGAGAGTGGAGCACCTGCAGGCAATGGGTCCTCCATCACCTCAGGGGCCAGAGCAGACTCAGCTGGTGCCTGCACCTGAGGATCCAGCACAGGTGAGGACCCTTCAGGCTCAGGCCCCAGCCCCGGCTCAGCTGGTTCTGGAGGCGGGGACTCCTGTGCAGGCTGGGATTCCTCAGGTTCAGCCTCTGAGTCTGAATCCCAGGCCATCACACTCATGGAAGTTGGAATTGGGGTCTGAGAAAGTTAGTGTAGCTTGAATCAAAACACACACCAAAACTCAAGTTCCAGAGTAAGCTCCTCTTGCTCATGCCCAATATGATTAAAGTGAGTATTCTTTAGGTGCTGATGCAATTTGAAATGCACATTTAAAACGATAAAGAAGTTAAAAGGAAAGGCTGAGAGAACTAGATTTTTTTCTAGAAAACGTTTCCTAAATGTAAGTTATTTGATTGCATTTGAACCATTTATTTACTTAGGTTCAATAAATAATCACGTGTTTTTGTCCTTAATGAAGCAACATGTGGACGATTCCCATTTCTTGGTTAAGAAACGGAACTGTACAACCTTTGGCATGGCTTGATAAGAGCAGCAGTAAGTAATTTTTTCTCTCTCTGAATTTAAGAAAGCCTCTACAGTATTTGCAAAACACAATCTTGAAAACAGGCTAAAAGCATATTAAGAGCAATTCAAATAGCAGGGAGAAGGGGAACAAAATGCCAAATCTAGAGCTCTGCTGGGTTTGTGGCAGTAGGAAAAGAGGAGAATGTTTTCCCCTCCCCTCCCTTGCCAGTCTGGTTCAGGGGCTGGCATATTTTCTCACCCCTAATGCAGGTGGAATAGGAACACTTTAGATCCATCACATTCAAGCACTCCCCAGCACATTCCCATTTTGCTTCTGCTGACATTGGAGCCTCAACATGGTTAGGAAAAGAAAGAGACACAAGTTTCTGCAGCAGCTGGGGGGGCTTTGTGATGTAGTGAGGAAGCACTGGTTTTAATAATCATACTCCCATCTCTTTTGGGATATACTAGCTATATTTCAGGAACTTGCTGTCTGGTGCATCAGTTTAAGATCCAGGCATAGTCCTGCAGTGTACTGTACTTCATCTTGTATTGATGTTTGGTGGGGATCGTTAACAACAACACATTATTTATATGCCGCCCAGCTGACTCGGTTGCCCCAGCCATTCTGGGCGGCTTCCAACAAATTAAAACACAGTAAGGCATCAAGCATTAAAAACTTCCCTATACAGGGCAGCCTTCAGATGTCTTCTAAAAGTCCAATAGTTGTTTATTTCATTGACATCTGGTGGGAGGATGTTCCACAGGGCGGGAGACACTACCAAGAAGGTCCTTTGCCTGGTTCCCAAGTTTTTGGATTTGTTTGTTTTTTGCTTTTTTGTGCATTGTAGGAAGCACATTTGTGTATTTTCATATGTTTTATCTTACCTTAGAAATGAGCCCACAGTCTTCACATGCCTACAAAGACCACTAAATTCATGCCAACTTTGTTTCCTTCATGCCACTTGCAGAAATATTTCCAGAAATGAAGATATCAGATTCAGAACATGATTGGATTATTTTAAATGTGAATTGGACTGGCTACTATAGAGTGAATTATGACCAGAAGTCTTGGAGAAGACTGGCCAAAGTGCTTGAAAGAAACCCAAAGGTAAGGTAATGATTATTATATAGTCATGTGACCTTTTATGTCAAGACAACTTCCTTTTTGGTGTGGGGAGTTCAGCTTCTTTTTATATGTGGAGAATCACTTTTTTCTTTTACCACTGGTGATTCACCTTCTAAATGCTGCCACCAAATATTTGTACTAAATATATATATATTTTACCAATGCCTTTAATTATATTCCAGTAGCTGTGTTAATTTAGACATGATATAAAAATAGGTCTGGCTGGTTTTGTAATTAAATAAAAGTAACAATATATTCTTTATTTAATATCAACTATACATATATGATGTACCTTCCCTACATTAATTGTGTATGTATGCTAACTGAAGTTTGCTTATCCAGCTAGGGATTGGCTGATTGTCTTGCCTGTTAATATTAGGCAGACACCTTTGCTGTACTGTTTTTGCTACCCCCATTTTTTTTTTGTTTAGTCAAGTCTACCCAAACTCTTAATTTTATTTAGTATATCTGTTATAAAACTTCAGATTTTAAAAAATATTTTGATATATTTTATGCCTACTTTAAGATTTTATTTTAATCGTATTTTGTTATGAAAATTTTACATTTTTTAAATGTAATTGCTTTGCTTGAGTGCTATGTAAACTTTGTTAAGTAAATGAAATCAATGTCCCAGTTCCAAATGTGCAATATCTCACATTACATTCATCTTGGAATAATTGAGAACCATTTCAATTAAAAATATGCATGAGCTTGACTTCAGATGCTGCAGATTTTTTTGAATATCTTGAAATGCAGTAGACGTATTTAATGAATTGTTTGGACCTTTTGAACACGTTGATTTAATGGATGCTCTTTTCAGGCCATTCCTTCTGTAAGCAGATTTCAACTGTTCGGAGATGCCTTTGAGCTGCGATGGTAAGCATACCTCCCAAAGACAGGTTTTTGCTATATTTGTAAATGAGCTCCATACTTTTCCCACTTCTGTCTGTTTCTTCACACACACACACACACACACACACACACACACACACCTTCTTCTGCACCACCTTTTGCTTTGAGAGTGCAGGGTGCTTAGCACAAAAGAGTTAAGGGGAACGTGGACATGGATAATGTTGTCCTATGTTAGGCTGCTGCAGTTTCCCCAGTTCCTTAGAATAGCCTCACCAGCTATGATGATCACAGCTGCAAATTCAGTGAAAGAGCTCCCTCCCCATTCCTTTCCCCTTGGCTTACTCCAGTGATGGCCAAACTTGTCCCTCCAGCTGTTTTAGGACTACAATTCCCACCATCCCTGACCAAAGGTCCTGTTTGCTAGGGATGATGGGAGTTGTAGTCCCAAAAAAGCTGGAGGGCCAAGTTTGGCCATCACTGGCTTACTCCCTCAACCAGTGTAAATGCACAAACAGATTAGCTGCTGGAAAAGGAGTGGGAAACCTTTTGGTTCCATGAGTCCTGGGATTCGGTCGACAGGCCCTGATACAGGAGCAGGGTCTCTTTCTGGTGTGCCTTGACTTCAGCCACTTGGGAAAGGGGAGCAGGGATGCTGGCTTCTCCCCACCTTAACCTCCCAGCAGAACAGAGTTTCAGTGGAGACTGGGGAGGGCTATGGATCACCAAGGGGGAACAGCAGCGTAGCAACCCCCCACTGGCACCTGGGGTGGACCAGTGCAGTATTGTAGCCTGAAGCTAGGCAGACCCGCCCATTCCAGAGGAGTGCTTGTTTGAAATCCCGTCATTGTCACAAAGCCAAATTTTGCAACTGAGCGTGCCATGCCTTGTCTTTAAAAACTTGACAGGCACTGCATGGAGACTGTTGGTACATCTTGGTTGCTTCTGTGCAGTCCTGAACATCTTGTGTCCACTGCCAAGCCTGTACCATTATGTGCTGGAATAAAGATCTCTTTCTTTACCTATATGCAGCAACCGTTATCTGCATGTATTGGGCATGAGGCATGACACATTTTGACCTGGTGGGCCAGATATTTCTCTTGCCCCACCACCATCCTGTGGGCCAATTCTGACAGGTGAGTGGGATCAATTATCTGAGGTCATAATGATGCCTGGCGATTGACAAGCAGTGGTCCCACCTCTCTCTCAAAGTTGGCCTATAGGGCTAGGGGGAGATAGTGACAAAACAGGATAGAGTTCTCTGCGCATTCGCTGACGGCAGCCGTTGGGTGTCAGTCCTGCTTTCTGCAGGGTTTTGGTGTGTGAGAACCAAGCAGGATTGAACCCTCTGTGTATCAGCTTTCTGCAGGGATCAGCTGTGTATCTGCCTGCCCCACACCTGATGTCAGGTGGTTAGGGAGCAATGACCTTGCAGACCAAGTTTGTCCCATGGGCCAGAGGTTCCCACAGATTTAGAATCACAGACTAGTAGAGTTGGAAGGAACCATGAGGCTCATCTAGGTCAACTCCCTGCAAATGCAGGAATCTTCCGCCCAACGCGGGGTTCAAATCTGCGACCCTGAGTCTCATGCTCTACCGACTGAGCTTCCCTACCCCTGTGCTACAATACACATGTCTATGGATTCTGGCAATATTGATGCAGCGTTACAGTAGAGTAGAGGAATAATTAGTTCAAATTTTTGACTGAAAAATATTTCTTCTAGAAGCAGAGCTTTGACTGAAAATAAAATAAATGTTTGGGATTTATTTATAACTCAGGATCTTTGTCCATAAATCTGAAATCTGGACTTGCTAGGACTCAGGCTAACAGCTTGGCTTCCTTAGCCTGTTACGGTTTCCCCTTCACTGTTCTGTTCAATCAACTAAGGTGTACACTGAACATAATGAAGGCCTGCCCTATTTGTCTCCCAAATATATAATTTGCAGCACACTTTTAAGCTGCTTACTCAGAAGCAAGTTCGACACAGCAGACTCTGTGGTGTGCTTAGAATTAGAACCTTACTCATAGAGGCTTTTGCCTGTGCAGCCAGCAGCCGATCACATAGCGAGTTCTCATAGACAACTTTGATCCTGCACTCCAAACATGCGCTTCCTGGTCTGCCTCTAGCCTGTGTCTTGCTCCTGCCCTCTCTTTGCTCCAGTTCTGTGTCCAGCCCACCTGGCCTCCCTTCTCCAGCCTCAACCTGCTTCCTGACTCTGCTTCCAGCTCCGCTTCCTCCTCCTATAAATTGCCTGCCTGGAATATCACCATTCAATAATATTTGAACTGTGAGTATATATACACTGCTGTCTGCTGCACCTAATTCTGCTGGGACTTCCCTCCATTTGAGTCCTGACACGTAAACCATTAAAGTTGGGGTCATAATGCCAGCGACACGATTGCCACATTAGTTACACTGTGTGGGGTGCAGCACCGTGTAGGAAGTGATTGGGGTTATGAAGCTTCCCTTGCTGTTGTGTGATTTCAGATATGTCAGTGTAGACCCTTCATGTGGGAAGCTGCTTCCATACGAAGTTTCTCCCATTGCATTGCTGTAACTTAAGTTCCTTAGCATTTTAACATTGTGCTTGAATCTGATTGATTTCACTTGGATTCAAGCCTAAATAACTTTGCCCACAACGTGTTAGAGAATTAAAAATTGGCCACAACTTTATTAAACCTTTCAGATGCAGGAAGACCTAGGCTTAGGCATCGGGTGTGTATCCCTCCCAGCCCCACAGCTGGTGGAACTGGGGCTCCTCAGGGTGAATGGGATAAGGGAGGGATCATGACCTTTGCATGGAAGCAAGTTCCGTGGATTTCAGTAGAATCTGCTTTCATATAAAGGACTCTTTGCATATCATTTCTAAATGGAGACACTTCAGCTTGTAAACAACCCAGCATTCCCCTAGCACAGGGGTAGGCAACCTAAGGCCCGCGGGCTGGATGTGGCCCAATCGCCTTCTCAATCCGGCCCACAGACGGTCTGGGAATCAGCTTGTTTTTACATGAGTAGAATGTGTCCTTTTATTTAAAATGCATCTTTGGGTTATTTGTGGGGCATAGGAATTCGTTCATTCCCACCCCCAAAAAATATAGTCCGGCCCACCACATGGTCTGAGGGATGTTGGACCGGCCCACGGCTGAAATAGGTTGCTGACCCCTGCCCTAGCAGAATATTCTTTTGTGAGCTCTCTTTAAAGTATTTCAAGAGCAGACCATTTATTTGCTTGTAATCATTGTCTAATAATGAAAACACGCATACACATATGTACATAGCTGCTTGTATGCATTGCTTAAATATGATTTCTTTTAATATAGGTCTGGTTATACTGAGTATGATACTCCACTATATTTAACTAAGTACCTTGAAAAGGAAGATGATACCTTAGTGTGGGAATCGGTACTGCATCATCTAGAAGTTGAGAGTTGGGGGCTCATTCAGAGGGATTATGAATTATACCCAGTTTTAAAGGTATCTAAATTCTGAAATTTAGGGTGCTTACTTTACAATGAGTACAGATACTTGTTGGTGTGACATTTCCCCATTTGAATGCATGCAGAAAAGTGGCCGTTAATGTAACGTCCAAAGAGTTAGCTATATGTCTTGCTGTCCACTTAGGAATTATGTGTTATTTCCATCCTCATTCTAAGTAGAAAAAACATTCACACAAGCAGCAGCAATATGTTCTGTTATTTCGTCAGTGAAATAATTTTTTTGAGATTACAGGGCCAAATTTTAATATAAATTAGATATAATAATCTCTGCTATAATCGTTGTTACAGTGGTGCCTCGCAAGACGAAAAGAATCCGTTCTGGGAGTCTCTTCGTCTAGCGGTTTCTTCGTCTTGCGAAGCAAGCCCATTGACGGATTAGCGGATTAGCGCTATTAGCGCTATTAGCGGCTATTAGCGGCTTTTAGCGGCTTTTAGCAGCTTATCAGCTTATCGGATAAGCAGATAAGCGGCTTAGCGACTTAGAAAAAGAGGGGGAAAAGGGAAAAAAAAAACCCAGGAACTCGCAAGACATTTTCGTCTTGCGAAGCAAGCCCATAGCAGATTCGTTTTGCGAGGCACCTCCAAAACGGAAAACTCTTTCATCTAGCGAGTTTTCCGTCTTGCGAGGCATTCGTCTTGCGGGGCACCACTGTATTGCCATTCAGTGTCTAAAACGCTAAATATTGTACAGAACACATGGGGGAAATATCCTTGTCCAAACAGGCTTTCTATCACATGTAGACAAAGGAAATAATAATAAAATAAATATTGGAGGAGGAAAAGGAGAATGCTAAAATGAAAACCTAGGTTAAGGTACTGTGGTTATCTACTTAAGGCTGCGTGCAGTCCCTATGTACACTTACCTGGGACAAAAAGAAAATTTATTTAAGTGGGACTTCTGAGTAGATATGAAAAGAGTGTGCTGTTTGTATTAGAAGAAACGTAATAAAAGTAGAGTTCATCTATATGTTACATCTTTCTCTTTTCTCCAAAGAAATATTTCTTAAAAAGGATTTCACCAATATGTCATCATTATACAAATCTCCTTCGTCAGAGCTTTGAAGTACTGGAAGGTGAATTTTATACTATGTAAGTCCTTAATTTTTTTAATAAACCAGTATCCTTATCATGGAACGTGCAACATAAAGGTAAGCCATCAGTTTATGTCTATCAGCTGCACCATGCTGGGTCTCTAGCACACTGTACATGATATATGGAAGAGGAGAAATAAGGTCTGTTTAATTATAAATGACGCATAAATTGCAATGGCTAACAAAAACCAATGAGTAAAATCTGTTGTTTTATGTAATACTCTTCACAATCCTAAATTTGAAAGTTCAGTGCTGAGAACTTTAGAAAATGCAAGTAGCAACATTGCTACTTCATTACTGTCCTTTCCTTTAAAAAATCCCTGCTAGTTACAGCTTCAAATCCTTCTGTGATTTCCCACCTCCACCCTATCCTGTCCCCGGTCTTGTAAATTTAGTGCTAGTTGTTCGAGTCACCCTCTCATCCAAGCATATGAACATAGACTGGGAATCTATTCAACCACGGGGTAGAATCGCAAATTTGGAAGAAATTAAAAAGCCACCTGGCCGAACCCCATGCACAGAAACAGAACTATTCGCTCATCAATTACATCCTACTTCTGAAATCAGATTGTGCAGTCCCGATGAGAGCAGATAAACTGGACAATAGGAACATAGAAAGCTGCCTTATTGGTTTATCTAGCTCTATGTACTGTATACATGTAACTGGCAGCAACTCTCCAGGGTTTCAGACAGGTAACCTTTCCTAGCCTTACCTGGAGATGCTGGCAAACTGGTACTTGAATTCAAAGCAGATGCTCTACCAATGGGCCGCGGCCATTCCCTATAAATAAACTCACATAAAAACTCAGGTGCCCAAAGGTGCCTGCAGAGGATGCAGTTCCAGGTGACTCCAGTGATGGTGCATTAGTTAACATCAACTCTCCCCCCTTTTTTGGGGGGGGGGAGTGCAACACATTTACTGTATTTTTTGCTCTATAGGACGCACCCGACCATAGTACGCACCTTGTTTTAGAGGGGAAGAACAAGAAAAAAAATTCCTCCTCCTCTCTGCTCAGCGTCCCTTCAGCGAAGCTGCAGGAGAAACGGAGCCCCTTCCATTTCTCCTCCCGCTTCGCTGAAGGGGCGCTGCGCAGCTCTCCCTCTTTGCTCCCTCAGTCTTGCTCTCCTGGCTTCAGCGAAAGGAACCTGAGGCCTCCGGAGCGCAGCGGGAACTCAGGCTATCCCTGAAGCCTTCGGAGCGCAGCGCGAGTTCCTGCTGCGCTCCAGAGGCTTCAGGTTCCTTTCGCTGAAGCCAGGAGAGTCTTGCTCTCCCGGCTTCAGCAAAAGGAACCCGAAGCCTCCGGAGCACGGAGGAAGCGCTCCCTCTGCGCTTTGGAGGCTTCGCGTTGCTATCACTGAAGCCAAGGAGCCTGCATTCGCTCCATAGGACGCACACACATTTCCCCTTAATTTTTGGAGGGGAAAAAGTGCATCCTATAGAGCGAAAAATATGGTAATCTTTTTTCTGTCTGTCTCCTTTTATTTATTCATTTACATTTTGTTCTTTCTTCCAAAAAGGGGCATAGGAACCATTATAAAAACTGCATGTTGGTTGGGGGTCCGTGACTGTTTAGACCTAGCTTCCGAAATCTTCACCAAGTGGATGAACAACCCTGATTTTGAGTGAGTATGGTGCATAATATCTGTCTGCAAATTTACGACTGAGAAAATACTAGCTGGTTACGGATGATTTCTGCAGGAGTTCAGTAAAAAGGATTTTCTTCCCCTTCTGACAGGTCAGATACATATTTGGTAATAAAGAATCATAGAATTGGAAGGGACCCCTAACACCCCTGCAATGCAGGAATATGCACCTGTCCCGTACGGGGATTAAACCTGCAACCCTGGCATTATCATCAGCACCATGCTCTAACCAACTGATCTATCCAGGCTGTCGTGTATTGGAGCAAGTGAAATTGTCACAAAACGCTTCATCAAAAAAACGGTTATTCAGTACACAGAATGCCTGAGTAGGTTTTCCTTTGCGTTAGGTGTTGATTCATTTGGAAGGGGCCACAATTAGAGTGTGAACGAGGGGTGGAAGTTAGCTTCAGACTTGGCAATACAGTAGCACATCAGTTCATACTAGCAAAGTAATAGTTATAGTTAAAGAAGTTCAGTTGTTCTTTGAACAGCATATTGCTGCACAAATAAGTGAAATTGTAATAGTCCAAGTAATGTTCATCGTTTTCTCCATTGACTGCTTTCCATCATAATTAACAAACAGTACAAATACTAAAGGCTTTTCAATAAAAACAAAAGCTTTTCAATAAAAAGGAGAGATCGTAAACACATTTCTGAAATATTCACAGAAGTTTCTTAGTTGAAGATTTGAAAGATTTTCAGAATTCTCAAGTTAAATATTTGAAAACACAAAATTTCAAACTTGGCTTAATTATTCTCATGATGTTGTCCCCTTTGTACGTAGGTCATGTTTTTATAGGAATACTCCATTTTATCAGAAAAGAGTATAGTATTCCCAAATGTGAATCTTCCAACTAGCAAATTCTCATTTTTTGAAATGGAGAACTTTAAATTCCTTTTGTCTCAACCGCAGTGTATGATGTGAAATTCCATCAGCCATAGTGACAGATTTCATTATGTCAATAGGTTATTTTAAATTGTGAAACAAAGGACTGCATGGTGCCCGTTCTAAGTGATATTCCTTCTCTTGCAGGGTTCCCGTTTCTATTAGCAGTGCCATTCATTGCTTTGGTATTCAGCTGGGTAGTGACAAAGAATGGGACTTTGAATGGCAAATGTACAAGCGGAATGATAGTCAAGGAAATTATCACCTACTCTTCGCCATGAGCTGTACCCGTGAGCCATGGTTACTTCAAAGGTGACCGTAATTAACTTACTGTTTCAGTGCATTTAAAAAATGTTTGCCAAATTTGTTGTTGGCATCCGTCTGTCTCAAAAGACAATGGAGTGCGCCTGGGGGTGTGGGGGGTGTGCAGTCAAACCGCTGTTTTAACAGCACTGAAGTGACCTCTCCAGGGCTTAAGCCGTATGGAGGTCCTGGTCTGCCCAGGTGACAAGACCCCATTCTCAGCCTCACTGATGTGGTCCAAAGGAAAGCAGAGCAATACATTTGGCACCAGCTTGGCTCCAGGAGTTGCTGGAAGGAAGCATACAAAGTGCCGTTCAAATGTCTTAGGGACTCCACTACAGATTTGTTTGAAAATCAGTAACATTATACATCTTATTCATTCAAGTTTTTCTCTGGACAGGGGGAATTCACTACTGAATTTTGTGATCCCTTATAATACTACTGAGCGACGCGGGTGGCGCTGTGGGTTAAACCACAGAGCCTAGGACTTGCTGATCAGAAGGTCGGCGGTTCGAATCCACGTGACGGGGTGAGCTCCCGTTGCTTGGTCCCTGCTCCTGCCAACCTAGCAGTTTAGAAAGCACGTCATGTGCAAGTAGATAAAATAGGGACTGCTCCGGCAGGAAGGTAAACGGCGTTTCCGTGTGCTGCTCTGGTTCGCCAGAAGCGGCTTAGTCATGCTGGCCACATGACCCGGAAGCTGTCTATGGACAAACGCCGGCTCCCTCGGCCTATAGAGCAAGATGAGCGCGCAACCCCAGAGTCGGTCACGACTGGACTTAATGGTCAGGGGTCCCTTTACCTATACTACTACTACTACTACTACTACTACTACTATGTTTTTTGCTGGGTTATCTGATCAGTTATCGTGAATTTATGCTTAGTAACTGAATGGTGCACTGAGGACAAACAACAGAAATGGTGTGAAAAGCATTACTCTTTTTTGTTTTGTTTTACACAATCCATTTCATGAGCTCTCCACAGCTGTTGCTCCCCTCTCTTGATGTGGGTGTAACGCCTAGCAACACAACTAACACAAACCCTAGCTGTCCAAGTCTAGCACACAATCTTGCAGAGTTTGTTAGGAAGGCAGTCTTCTTCTCAGGATAAAGTTAGCTAATGTGCACTCGGAAATCTTCCCTTCCTCCGCAACACTTCAGAACTTGCTCCTTGATTATCAGTTTGGCGGGATATCACACATGCACACAAAGGATTTTTTTCTTGAACGGGACATTCTTGGATGGAAGTTGAATTACTCTCAGCACTTTGGGGGGGAGGGGAGAAGAGAACAGAACTGGTGGTTTGTCTGTTAACTAGGGGCCTGAGTGGTCTAGTTAAGAAAGTCCATCTTTAATTAACAAAGTGGTCTCTGGTGCCTGCAACTTTAGGAGAAATTGTCCACAGCTGCACCTCTGCGGTCATAAGACAAAAATTTAGAGCAAGTTTCCATTTTACTTAAAAAAAGACAACATTTTAAGGATTCTCTAGATAGGTCAGGCTTCAGCAGGGGCTTCCTCTAAGACAAATAATACGTATTCCAGTGGCTTTGTGCTGGTCCCGTGGGTTACTCGAGAGGCGAGGTCCAAGTCCGGTCCGTGGTCAAAGATACAACGGGAAGGCAGTCCATAGTAGCTGAAGCTGGGTGCAGGGCAGGGAATCGGGTGAAGTCAGGAACAGGCACGCAAGCAGGGAGCCAGGGCAGGTCAGGAGCTCAGGCAGGAAAGCAGGACAGGGTTCAGGCAGGAACTGGCAACCAACAATGTTGCTCCCGCAACTTGGGACTGGGGCTGGCCAGCTTTTATCTGTCCCGAGGCATAGGGCAGCCCTGGTCCTCTGGTGACTCGCCTCTCCTGGCCTGGAGGCGAGCACTCCTCCTGCGGGAACTTAGTTCCCTCCGCCTCTCTGCCCTGAGCCTCTGCAGCTCAGGAGAGGCTGGAAGGTTTCCGGACCCAGAGGCAACCTCAGCTTCCTCTGACAGGGCTGAGAGTGGAGCACCTGCAGGCAGTGGGTCCTCCATCACCTCAGGAGCCAGAGCAGACTCAGCTGATGCCTGCACCTGAGGACCCAGCACAGGTGAGGACCCTTCAGGCTCATGCCCCAGCCCCGGCTGCAACTGGTTCTGGAGGCGGGGAATCCTGTGCAGGCTGGGATCCCTCAGGTTCAGCATCCAAGTCCGAATCCCAGGCCATCACAGGCTTACAGAAAGCTACCAGGTTGGTCAGATTTTGCATTCACATGCAGGTTCTTCATGTTCCTTGTCCATTATGCTTTATCTCAGAAGTGGGGAATCTTTGGCCCCTCAAATGTTACTTGAACTTCAACTTTCACCACCCCTAACAAACGTGGCCAATGATCAAGTTTGGTGGGAGTTGCAGTTCTGCTGCGCACATTCAAAGCAATGTACAGTGGTACCTCTGGTTACATACTTAATTCATTCCGGAGGTCTATTCTTAACCTGAAACTGTTCTTAACCTGAAGCACCACTTTAGCTAATGGGGCCTCCTGCTGCCGCCGCACCGCTGCTGCGTGATTTCTGTTCTCATCCTGAAGCAAAGTTCTTAACCTGAGGTACTATTTCTGGGTTAGCGGAGTCTGTAACCTGAAGCGTATGTAACCCAAGGTATCACTGTAGTAGCAAAGTCTCCCTGGGAGCATTAGAACTTGATGATGACATTATTTGGAATGTACATACAGTGGTGGCAGGAGCCCTGTGTGCTAGCTAGCCACTTGTAGGCAGCTCTGATTAATTCTTAAAAGGCAACCAGGAGGACAAAGGGGCAGCTCTCTGACCATCTCAAAGAAAAATCCATAAGAGAGTTGGAGCAAGGCAATGGAGTAAGACACTGGACGCCACATCTCAGTAGATCAGATCTGATGTGTCCACTTTGCAATCCCAGTTCACTGGATTCCTCGCCCAGCCCTATTTGTCTCCCCTCCAAAATGTAAAATGTATGAAGATGGAAGTCTGGTGCTCATGTTAGAAGTGTTTTGGAAATTGTTTTCTTTATTATAATTTTTATGTTTATTTTGAATAAACTTCTCTTTAGATTCTTGCAGTATATCCTGAACGATTCTGTAATTTCACCAGATCTTGTATCAGAAGTAATTAGACACGTGGCAGAAAGTGAGGCTGGCCACTGGATAGCATGGAAATTCATAACAGAAAACTGGTCACGTTTATATAAAAGGTATGGCAAGCAACTGTTTTATGTAATTTCCCTTTAACTTGATTTTCTAATGTTAATCTGCTGGGTCCGGTAGAGTTGAAGTGTTAATTACTTTGCAAATGTTTTGTTTTACTTGGCTATCAACAGAATAAGGGATAAAATTCCTCCCCCCTTAAAAACCCAGACACAATGGTGGTGTGCTTGAGAATCTATTAAGCACATTAATATACTAGAAAAGAGAATAAACACCACAGCACTAAAAAATGAACAGATATTTAAAGTTATATACTTGAATATATAAATGAAAAGTATCCAAAACTCATTGGCTTGGAACCAACATATCTCAAATCCATTTGCAGAAGAAGTGGAAGTTCCTAATCATGGAAAACAGTGGGGGAGGCCACCCCCCTTTCCACTTTGTCATGGGATATTCCAAAGTATCTCCCATACTGTTTCAGAGTTTTCTAACTCTGCAGATTAGGTTTTTGTTGGGCACTTGGGGATGCAGGGAAGGTTGGGGGGGGGGATATTTACCTGCCTCCTTTCTGCTCACACAAGCATTTCATGAATGAAATTCAGCTCATGGGAATCTCTGGAGCCAATCCATTATCTAGAGCAGGGGGTGACAAACCATTTTCCCCACTGAGGGCTGCATTCTCTTCGGGGGGAAGTGGGCAGGATACATGCATCCCTGATACCAATATAATCCAGAGACGAAATACTCAAGAATCACACAGAAAATAGGATACGGAAAACATAATAAGGGTGTTAAACATGGGCAGAACCTCAGTTAAATATTTTTATTTACTTGATTTAGGGGGGGCCCCCTTGGCTACATCCGTGGTGTTAAATCATAGAACATTCATTCCCTTAACAAGGTGAATTGTTTACTCTGGTTAATACATATGAACGTTCTGTCAAACTTTTGCAAAATATGCTTGAGTGAAAACAGACGAGTGGCGCACGCACAACATTTTTATCAAAACGTTTTCTCTTTATAAACATGCTTTCTTTTATAGGTGCTCCTTTGAACCATTATATGCTTTCATGAATTCTGTCAGTACAGACTTCGAGGTTCAAGTGGTAAGTAGAACAGACACAGCATAGAACGGTAGCTCTGAAAATGAAGGATTTAAGCCCTTAAAAAAACAAAAAACTTAAAACCATGTGGAATAGAAAGAATAATGCAGCTGAGTTTCTTAGGTCGTTCCGTTGCTTAGAAGCCTTTGCCCATCTCTGATCCATATCAGCAGGGGCTGGAATCTTCTCTTCAATTGCCCCAAAGCCAGAATGGATAAGAGTCCTGTGAATTCCTTTTCTCTGTTCTTCAGTGCCCCCCCCCCCAATGTTGTCCTTCTGTGCAGAGGAGGGTAGTTAAATGAGGGTTGGAGGTGGCAGAAATGTATGTAGGATTTTTAAAAATAATAATAATTAAAGAGAGAGAGTGGAAGTGAAAACGCAATACTTTGAATAACATCTGCCAATTTACCACAAACATTAATTTTAGGTCCAGGTTTTTCTTAACAATACCCTTGAACCAGAACAAAGAACAACCCCTACAGAGATGCTGCAGAAAGCAAAATCTAGAAATGAAGAAAGAAAAGAATCGGTTACTAAAATGGTGAAGTGGCTACAAAGAAATATGGACATTTGACATTTGATAATTCTTCCAGATATCTGTGTTTTTTGGTAACTGCTTTAGTAGGAATTTTTTTTTTTAAGGAGCACATATTTTGTGCGTAGAGCTCCTACTTCATGTTTTAAATGGTGGTAGTCTTGCGATAGTGTCTGTGTAAATCAGGCTACTGTGGAGTCAAATTTCTACTCAGAACATTGCCATACAAGACAGAATGAACTAAAAAAATAACCCCGTGCCTAAACAAAGGTAAAAGGAAACTCAAGGAATATCTTGACGCTTATGTCAAATGGATGGAATGTAGCAAGCCTTACCAACTGAAATGAAGAATAGCAACTAGAAGAAGCCATTGTTGTCAGTTTGCTATGTGATGTGGGACTCTTTGGGCTACACATCTGTAAAATTTCAACTTTCTTGCCTTTTAAAACGCACTAAGGGGGGCACCTCAGCTCACTGAACTTGCCAACCCCCCAGATATTCCTTCCACATCAACCTCCTAGAGCTTCCCCTTCCTACCCCAAGTAACTACTAAACTCCCTTTTCACTTTCCCTGCCCAGTTTCTGAAGCCACTTCTTCTATTCTGCAGCCCCACTATCTCTCCCCCCCACATTGACACTGCTAAGCACCCTTTCCACATTCTGTCCAGTTATGAAGCCACCATCCCCCTTGTTCTTCAGAAGCTTTCATCTTCAACCCCATTTCCATACCTCCTCCTTCTACCTTGCACCCCCATTTTCATGTTCACTTCTTTATTTCCTACAGCCCCTACTTTCCTCAACTCTCCATTGCACACAGATCACCCTTTTCTAGGCCTTTTTCTCTCCTATTGTCACTCCCGTTCTGCGCACACACACCGTTAACCCCTTCACTCTCTGCTTCCTACCAACTCTTTCCTTCAACTTTCCATTGCACTCAGACTACCACCCCATTTCCACGCCTCCTCTCTCCTCCTATTCTGCATCCCCTTTTTATGCACACTCCCCATGCTGGTATTTGTTACTGTGCCACTAAGCCTATCAGCTTTTCAGTTGATGGATGTTGTACAACATGGATGTTTGCTTGTTAATAAAATATATCTTCTAAATTACTACACGGAATCTGGAAGTTCATGTCAAAGACAACGCACGGTGCCAGGAGTGAAATACATGATTGTGTGATGGAACTGTGGAATAGCTGAGGGCTCTGAATCCTTTTCGCCACATGAAAAAAGATGGCCATTGACTCTCCCTGGGCACAAAGTGGTTTCCGTTGTGAATTCAGCCTTGCCTGAAAAGCAAAGTCTTCCTGGCTTTAGTCCAGTCACAAGTAATTGGTTTGTTCAGTGCTCATTTTTAGGTGCTTGCTTGCTTATTTGGTACTCACTCTGACTTGTTTACTGGCACAGATTTTCATCTCTGACCTGTTCCTTGGTTCCATTTCCTACTTACTCCCAAATTCTGGCCTACACCTCTGTGACAATTTCTCCTTGGTCCCATAGATCTCATTCTCTGGCTCAGTTCCCGGCTCCTAACACAGTGCTCTAGAGCCCAACCCTGGAAGCCTATAACCACCAGCAACATATTCAAATTAAAGACTTGTTGGGGAACCTGACCTAAAGCCAGTGTCACCAGCTTACTGACTGTGGCCTGTTGTTCTTTGTTGGGCTTGGCTGATCTTCCAGTCCCTGAAGATCCCTGCTTTGGCCAGAGCTGTGTGATGTTGCACACACTGAATGCACAATTGATATGACTTCTGATAGTGTGTGTTGTAGGCTTGAGTCCTAACGGATGGAGAAGTCACATGAAGAGAATGGTCTGTTTTGTGTTTATGAGAGCTCTTAAATTTTGAACAGTTCCTAGCTGATTTAACTCTTTTAACAAATCAAACATTTGAAAACTGCCATCCACACTTTTAAAATGTGCACTTTCTTTTTGCCATACAGTATTTTTCTCATGCAGTCTACAGAATCACTGATTAAATCATGTCTCAGGTGCACTAACAATTTTAATTGGCAGAATCGGCGGCCCATTGTGTCCAATTACATTTGTGTATAGCAAACAAGCAGCATCGCTACCAAGAGACTATCTGTGGACCATTGTGTAATTCTACCATCATTTGAATTTCTGCTCTGTGCAACTCCAAATGGAATGCAGCGATAGGTTGCTTTTTGCAGTTTAATTATCAAATTAGGTAAGATATACATATATATATATATGCACATAAAAATGCTAACTTGGTAGAAAATAATAATCTACGTATGTATCTGTTTGCATAACATTCAAATTTCAGTTCTAGCTTGTGGGGTGGGATGATTCTTCATATTCTGCAGAAAAGAACAGGTGGGAACTTGTGGTTTTCTCTCCTAAATTCTGAGCTGGCAAAGCTTACGCTATTGACATGGCAGTTCAAGATAAAATGTACAGTGGTCCTTTGATATGGGATATACGCATTTTAACTTATTGAAAAAGTTTGATCTCTCTCTAATATGCCAAATGTGCCGGAAATCTGTGTCCACCTTTAAAAAATAATGACATGATTTTAGGTCAATGCAGCTAACTTCAGTAAATGATCAGTTACTGTCATTGCATTCATGACACTCAGAACATTTTCTGTGCATATTCACATTAAATGCTGCATTCTTCCCTCTCTGCTGCAAAAATAGAGAAAAGTTTTACATGGAAGAGTTAAATATAAAAAAACCCTTAGTACAAGTGCAGGTTTAATTTGTGGACTAATATGCTTCTTCCAAGTAACTAATTTGCTGTGAAATTTGTAAGAGGGAAAAACATTTACAGAGCATTGTTTCATCCTTCTGTTGTCGAAAGGTTTGGAATAAGAAGCATTTCTGTTTCGCCCTGAATGATATGGTTTAGTTTTGAAGGCAGGAAAGCACATTATTAATGCAAGCTTCTGCACAATTCCTTTTAAACCAGCCCGGAATAAACTATCCAAATTTTTATATTTAATGGTTTATGAAAATAATATAATAAACTGAAATGGTGTCAGTCCAACTAACTTTTTCCAGATTAGCTTTTTTGTAAATGTGCATTTGGCAATGCAATATCATCTGGTAGCAGTTACCTCTGTGTGCAGTTGCTCTTTCCGAGAAATGTTTTTGTATTACTGGCTCCTTCGCAGATTTAAATGCACAGCTGCAGTATCAGTGTAGCTTCCTCCTTCTTGTTTGTGGCTTGAGCAATTTTGTTTACAATAGGCTAAAGTATCTTCCTTCTTCTGCTCCAGTGTCCGATTTCCTGGAACTATCTTGCAGTCCTCTTTCTCATTTTGTACTACTAGGTCAGCAAAAATCTTCAGTGATTACACATATAGCTGCCTTTAAAGGTAAAGGTACCCCTGACCGTTAGGTCCAGTTGCGGATGACTCTGGGGTTGCGTGGTCATCTCGCTCTATAGGCTGAGGGAGCTGGCATTTGTCTGCAGACAGATTCTGGGTTATGTGGCCAGCGTGACTAGGCCGCTTCTGGCGAACCAGAGCAGCGCATGGAAACGCCGTTTACCTTCCCGCCAGAGCGGTACCTATTTATCTACTTGCACTTTGACGTGCTTTAAAACTGCTAGGTTGGCAGGAGCTGGGACCGAGCAATGGGAGCTCACCCCGTCGCGGGGATTCGAACGACCGCCCTTCTGATCAGCAAGCCCTAGGCTCTGATTTAGACCACAGCGCCACCCGCGTCCCTTATAGCTGCCTTTAGATAATTTAACCGAAATACATCTTACCTTAATGAGGAAGTCCTGTGATCAAGTCACCTTGTGTGCCTGCAGAGTTCACTGTCTATGTCGACAAAAGAGCCCTGTTTTCCATCCTTATGGTTTCATCTGTACTTGGACCAGGTTGTCAGGGAGGGGGTCACCTTCCCAAGTCCTCCCTCCAAGCTTCCAATAACTCAAAGGTAGGGGATCGGGTTACAAGGCTTTACTGCAATCTTCTCTGGCAGCAGTTACAGACATCAAACAGCAGTCTTATCTACAGCGTGTACTCTTCCCCCCCCCCCCCCCGCAGGTTGACTCCAAGATTTATAGGGCAGCCCCATCGCCTGCTCCCACTTTGGGGACTAATTATTCACACCTGCCTGAGGGGCCGCACCCAGCGATACTTTACAGAATCACTCCCAGGTCCGGATTTAGGTTTGATGAGGCCCTAAGCTACTGACGGTAATGGGGCCCTTTATATGTCCAGCTGTCCTTTGTCAACAACAAATTGTCACTGTTTTTTGTGTTGAATATATGCTATATGGTAATTTATGGACCTGATGGGTATCTAAAGCCATTTGCACATAACAAAACATGTATTTTATCAGAGAAATTGTTGAACTGAAATACAATTAAGAAGAAGTATATTAATAGTGACATTTTTGGGGGCCCCCAAGAGAGGGGCCCTATAGCTTGTTTAGCTTGTACGTAAATCCAGCACTGATCACTCCATGACACAGGTAGCTTTTCAGATAATGGACTCCTTTAAAGAGAGACATATATTCCACGAAGTCGGACATATGACTATCCAAGAGAAGCATTAAGACTATACTGAAATCCTCATAAGTTTGAACTGTTTATGCTTGATTACCCAAATGAGTAGTATCCTTTTTCTGTTAAAATATGTAAACTGTGTATAAGTCATAGCAGAGGATATGCTGGGTAGACTTTTGTGAAATAAGGAAAGCTGGCCCAGGGCATTTTATGCGAAAATGAATATGTCATTTCTCCAACCACATTACATGTACAGAAGCTGACTGTTTAGTTGATTCTTATTTCAACACTGGCAATAGGACAGCACCCTCCATTTTACCTGAAGCTGTGTACACCTTACAGCTAGGTCCATCCTTTTTCTCAATTTGGATTGAAGCCGGTTTGCAGGAAAATGCATCAAAACGCAGTGCAGGCGACTCTCATATTATGCAGGGGTTAGGTTCCAACGGTTGTGTGCAAAGCCACCATTGCGTATTGTAAAAAAACCATTGGGTCCAGTGGTGGGTGGGATTGCCGTAATCAATTTTCCTAGAAACCCACCCCCTTTGTATGTATTTTTATTTTTTTGCCAGGTGTGTAAAGCTGAATGTGTACAAGTTAAATGCACTTAAGTTGCAAATTACTTGTATTTCCTAAGGAACGACAAGATGGATACAGGACAGATAGGGATTGCTGCAAACATGAAGTGTGCACTGCCTCTCATGCCAGCAGTTGGAAGGCATGGGATGGCTATGTTGTGGAGGCAAGACCTCCCTTGCTGCCTTTTTGTCACAATAAAAGACAACGGGCAGAAGGTCAAAAGAGCTTATTCAGTGCTGCAGCATAGAGGTGTGGCAGGATCTCTCCAAAAGACCAGTCCCCGAATGCACAAAACCCAAAGCATTTATACTATCCTAGCAAGTGCATGCCCAATTTCTTCCTTTCTTGTGTTACTATTGACTAAGAACTTGAGTAGACAAAGCATGCTTAAGTCAGGGATTCTTTCGATTGGCTACAGGGCAGTTCTTTCCTATCCCATCCTTATCTCGAGCTCAGGGGCAGACCAGGTGTGACCAGCCTTGCAGTTATCACTGTGGGGACATGATTATGCAGGCTCAGCAACCTGGCAGGCTGGGGACAGCTGGGTACGTGATGTGCTTGCTTCAGGGTTATGGGGCCCAGCTATCAGTTATGGAGGAAACGGGAGTGTGCAGGCTACTTTAGGGGATGTATGCCAGGTTTTGTGGCATACAGAGAGCTCTGGTCTTCCAAGAGAGAGCAATTGTCCAGGGGGCTCATGAGGAATGCCATAGGGGGCTGCTGCTGCTGCATCCTCTGTGCCGCCTGAAGCAATTGCCTTGCCGCAATAGTAAGGCTGGCCCTGGAGGCAAGGGTTTGTGTGTTAAAGCGGGTATTTGGGATGAGAGAAATAGTGGCTGGTTCTGAAACTTGCACTGGGATTTATGCGTGTGTTATGTATCAAAATAATCGTTGGCAATAATTTTTATGCTAACGTAAAAGCTGTGTGAAAACCTTGCAAGGTATTTGATTTGTAAGTGGGATGGCAATTCAAACGAATGCTTCATAGTCTGTGTCAAAAAGAAACATATTTTTCATTCCTCGAGTGGCATGATACTGTCCCTGCACTTTCATAGAACAATAGCGACACCTAATGGCATATTAGTTTAGCTACATATTACATGTTGCTGTACAGGTTTTTTGTTTGTTCGTTTTTAAGGGGAAAAAATCATTTTTTTAAAAAGTCCTGTTTCTTACTTTAAATTGACACAGGGCCTTTCAGCGTGACCAGTCAGACAGCCCCCAATTTCAGTTTTTAAACTTTGTGAATACTTTTCAGTGACCACTGATGGAAATAACATTGCAATGAAGGGAGATGGCACAGCAGGCTTGTGTTATATGTGTGGCCTACATAGCAGATGTAAAGACAGCAGAACCCATATTTAAGATAAAGAATAACACAGTGATGCCACTGCTTCTGGAATTGGCCCTACAGTGAGAAAGAGTGTTGTGGTCAACTTCAAATATCAGAATTTGGAGTACCATTTAAAAACAGCAAATTGTCAGTTACTTAGTTTTTTATATATATTTTACCACAGTTGAGAGCACCATTTGGATTTTTTGTCTTAGGTGCCAGAGTTTTTGGCCTCATCACTGCAAATGGAGTTTGGTGTTTCCCTTTTGGGCATTATGCAACAGGGAAGCACATGAGTTTCAGATAAAAATAAAACTTTTGCAGGTAAATGAAATGTGAGAGTTGGGTGTGTTGACTTTTGAAACTTCCAGCTTCCAAAAGCGAAGGGTGCTAAAAAGTTCTGACGCGACTTGGGAATTCAAAACATATTTGGGTTAAATTAATATAATTTAGTTTTGCTTGGTAAGTAAAATGTGTGAGAAATTGCATAGAAGTCTTTAAAAAGCATGGCCAAGTATTTGCAGTTATGTATTCTATATTACCTGACATTTTCAGAAGGTAAAATTAAAATTCTTTAGTTTTTAGGAGACTCTTAATCTCAGGGCTGTGGGTTCCAGCCCCATACTGATTCCTGCATTGTGGGGTTGGACTTCGTGGTCCTTTCCAATTCTGCAATTCTATGATTCTGTGGTAATCTTAGATTTACCAAGCTAAATGTTGTCCAGTCACAAAAATAATAGCAGGTTTAAATTCTTCAATCCAAAAACAATATTTTAAAGGCCGCTCACTGAAGAATTTTTTTTTGGGGGAAATAAGTTTCACCCCTTAAAATGACACGCCCTGCTGAGAGCCGGATTTAGGTTTGATGAGGCCCTCAGCTACTGAAGGTAATGGGGCCCTTTATATGTCCAGCTGTCCTTTGTCAACAACAAATTGTCACTGTTTTTTGTGTTGAATATATGCTATATGGTAATTTATGGATGTACAGTAATAGGTATCTAAAGCCATTTGCACATAACAAAATATGTATTTTATCAAAGTAATTGATATAGAAATGAGCAAACCAGTGATATTTTAGGGAGCAGGCTAGCAGGCAGGGCCCATTACTTACACCATAGGAGCCCACACAACACAAAACACTGTTGCTGTATGTAGGTTTTATTTTATTTGTTTTTTATCTTATATTTTGGAAATATCGCCACCTTTAAGGAAAGCTGTCTAAAGCTGTTTCGTCATTAAAAAGTCCCTATAATTACCCCAAAATGCAAAACGAGCGAGGTCCCAACTAAAGAAGAATGGCAACAACTTTAGTTGACAGAATGCGCACAACTCGCAGACTTAACACACAGAAGAGAACAAGAAGAACATACATTTAAAGAAGATTGAAAAAGGTTTATTGAACATATGGAAATAATTATGTACAGCTAAAAACGCTGGAAGCGTTAAGATAAATTCAACAGTGTAAACAGGTTTGAATGGATGCAATAATGGAATAGTTTTTTTGTAAAATATGCAGGGGTTTATGATATGAAAAAAGAGCCACGGAAAGAGAAGAAAGGAAGTAATGGTATCTTAAGGATGCAAAATGAGTATTTTAAATTGTAAAACAGAAAACTTAATAAAATTATATACAAAAAGAAATGAAAGTATATAGTTAGAATGGATAGAAGAAGTCCCTGTAATTAACTGAGCTTTCTAACTATAAAGAGGGAGAAGCCAGATACATTGTTCTCTGAAGTGGGATGGGATGAGAGGAAGAAGGGCTTATACAGTGGTACCTCAGGTTAAGTACTTAATTTGTTCCGGAGGTCTGTACTTAACCTGAAACTGTTCTTAACCTGAAGCACCACTTTAGCTAATGCGGCCTCCTGCTGCTGACGGAGCACGATTTCTGTTCTCATCCTGAAGCAAAGTTCTTAACCTGAAGCAATATTTCTGGGTTAGCGGAGTCAGTAACCTGAAGTGTATGTAACCTGAAGTGTATGTAACCCGAGGTACCACTCTACACACAAGGAGAAGCAGCCTATAACAAATCCTGGAAGATTTCTGTTTTGGTGCAGAGGAATGGGGACAGGAAAGCACATTGGCCCAATTCCAGCTCCTGATTTATTCAGCTTATTTCCATGACCTCCATTCCTGATTGTTACAAAATTTGACCTAAAAGAAACCCTGTGTGTGTGTGTAATTTTATAATATATTCTTAGCCAAATATATATTTTATTTTATTCTAAGCCAAATTAACTGCAGGCGTGAGAGCATCTATGAGGCTGCCTTGGGGGTCTCTCCCACCAAGCCCCCACCCCCTTGAGGAGATTAGTATATAGCATGTATAGTATCTAGATCTCCTTAAGGGGGTGGGGGCTTGGTGGGAGAGACCCCCAAGGCAGCCTCAGAGAAGCTCTCATGCCTGCAGCTAATTTGGCTAAGAATAAAAGCAGCCGCTGTATTTCCTCATATTCTTTTTTTTATCTCAGATTTCTGGTGCAATTCAGGCCAAGCTCCGCCTCCTTCCTGAGTCCTCTATGTTGGGTGGGGCTGATGGGAGTTGTAGTCCAATATAGTTGGAGGGCTTCGGATTAGGGAAGACGGGCTCAGACTTACACATCAGGGGTAGAAATTTAAAGCTTATCCTTATTGCACTACCCCCAAAACCTGGTGTCTTTCAGAAGTCGTCTTCTGCACGGGCCAGAGAGGTGGTGGGTGAGGTTGGATTTAGTACTGAGGATTGTTGGTGGCTTGGCTAGAAAGCCAAGCGAACATTTGTAGACCTTTATAGTATACAGTGGTACCTTGGGTTACAGATGCTTCAGGTTACAGATGCTTCAGGTTACAAACTCCGCTAACCCAGAAATAGTACCTTGGGTTAAGAACTTTGCTTCAGGATGAGAACAGAAATCACGCAGCAGCGGCACGGCGGCAGCAGGAGGCCCCATTAGCCAAAGTGGTACTTCAGGTTAAGAACAGTTTCAGGTTAAGAACGGACCTCCAGAACGAATTAAGTTCTTAACCTGAGGTACCACTGTACTGGCTTCAATACCTTTTAATATAACTCTAATGTGTACTTGTCACTGGCTTTCTGATCATTCTGTTAGTTTGTTTGTCCACAGCCAGCAGAGCTTTGTGACACGTTAAACACTTACAAATGTATGTATTACGGCATACACATCTGATGTAGTTTCCTGACGTAACAAATTTGTTAGGTGTTTTTTTAATGTGCCACAAGGCTGTTTGGCATTCTTGCTGATAATGTTATTAGATTTAGCAGCCCTCATATTGTCCTAATCTGCCGTTGTTGTTTTTTAACATTTTCGTTGTGCCTTCTGAAGCTTTAGAAGTACTCTTGCAGGAATTAACATGTGGAGATGAAGTATATCCATGGGATTTTTGGGGCGGCCATGGGAGTAATGTAAGAAAGAATGAATAATAAAAAATCTGGGTTCAGTTACTATGGGAGAGAAAGGGTTATCTAGGTTAATGTGCCCTATAAAATGTCTCGTTGCTGCCATCTTTGAAAACCTTTAGCTGCCTAAAGTCTGGCACATGCTTCACCTGTATACATTGTACACCTGCCATTTTAGGTTTTGCGTACCTTTGACAATGGATGGTTCCTCAGAAGGAAATGGTCCAGCAGGAGAACAATCTGCAGCTGCGGGGCTGGTAGGAGCAATTAGCACTTGCACTAAAGAGCAAAAACAACAGGTAGGATATCTGAGTGCACACATATTATTTATTTCTATCTTTCAAAAGGTGTCTTCTAAATTACACTATAGAAAATGAAATTTTAAGTTGATCCACACTGTGGTTTTTATATTGTATTTTGTGTGTGTGTGTGTGTGTGTGTGTGTGTGAACTGCCCTGAGGATGAATGGTGGTATACAAATTTAGTAAATAACAATAAAATAAAAGTTTACATTTTCCAACCAGGGGGATCCTCCTGTTAGAAATCTGTCTGGAACCTTAGTATTGATACAAATGTATAACATGCCTAGATCTCTCTTGGGTTTGGACCCCTCAACCTAGCTATTTAGCAGCTCCAATATTCCTAAGTGCTGCAAGATGCCCATATTTTCAACCATCTTTCTACTGACAAGGGTCCTTATGGGACAAAGGAAATGGAGGATAGACTATGCTGTCAATAAAGTGATGTGTACTTTTCTTCATCATCTTAATGGGAGGGGGGATATATAGCTCAGAGACAATGTGTCACAGGTTCAGACAGTAAGTACTAGGCTGTTGATTATTTATTGCATTTATTTGAGTTGCATTTTGTAAAAGGGCAACTAATAAGTTTGATTAATATGAATAATTAATAATAATAATGTTTTCCCATAGCAGGAATTCCCTGGATGGCTCACAAAGCAAAAACAATATTTAAAAACAGTATAAACACAAAAAACTATAACAAATTAATTTTAAAAAACCCCTAAAGCACAATTCAAAACTCAGCTTAAGACTCAGAGATTGAAACTATAAAGTGTTAATTAAAGAATAGATAACTCTTCACCTGGTGCTGGAAATTTCATAAAGATGGTGCCAGGCAATTTTTTTTTCTAAAAAAATGTTTAGGGGTATTCTCATTTTGACTCAAGAAAATGACCTTTTTATTGTTCAAATCGGGAAAAATAAATACAGTAAATGGACAAAAGTACAAAGATTCACAAAATGTTTAGGGGTATGTGTACCCCTGCGTCCCCCCAGAAAAAAGCACTGGTGCCAGTTGAACCTCTCTGAGAAGGCTGCTTTGAAATTGGGATACCACCAATATCTTCTCCTGTTTCCTGGTTGGCATGGTGTTGCAGCCTGCAGCTTGCCTGCCAGTACATCCTTGTTGCTACAATGACCAGGTTCAGATGTTTAGGCAGCCTTGCTGCTGCCTCACCCCTCCCAGAAAACCACAGCCATACGGGTGTCAGGTTAAGTAAGCAGTACTCCACTGACCACTACTGACCACCCCTTTTCCTGTCAGGCGCTCAGCCTACACTCGAGTAGGATCCTGGCAGAGACACATGCCTGACTGGCATGTTCCCTCCCTCCTGGCCGATCATTCGGGAGCTTCAAAAGCTTTCTTCTGCCCGAACATCACAGCGACCAATGCCAACCAACACCGGCACACTTAGGGATCGACAGAGTTTGTGCATTTCGTGTGACAGACCTCAGCAACTCAGCATTTTGGCTAATCTACTTTATTTACATATAAACACACACGGAGCACTGCAACATGGCTCCCTCTCTCTCTAGCATCAGACAGCAAAGAGGGAAAAAACAAAGGACAATAGTCCCACTTCACGGAACACAAACATCCTGTCTCCGTCACTTCCCACTCTGTGGAGTCAAAGCATATACCGTCCTGTGAAAGACAGAAATCCCATGACTGCAATCATGGAGCAGGAATTCTAACACTTCCTTCCACATGGGACAGGTTCACAGTTTTAGTGTTATGTACATGAGCTGGAAGAACTCCAAGCAAAGCTTTGGGTTCATGCCTCTCCCCCTCCTCCTCTTACTGTGCTACCAGAAGGACTTTGCCAGAATGTTTAAGATTCACTTCCCCCTAATTTTGGCTTGCTGTTGTGTATGAACCAGAAGTTGAACTATTGTAGCTGTCACAAAGAGTTGGGGTCAAATGATAGAAAACTGAAATGTTTGTTTGACCTTTTGCTACACCCCAAGGCCCCAGTGTTCCTTCCTGCCTCCTTTCCTGAATGGACCATCAGAGATGACCTTCGTTTCATCCCAGCCAACGTCCGGGTGCAGTTTAGGCCTCAGTTCATTTTACAGGCAAATATTTATAAATGCTCGGGGCCTTCAGTTGGAGTTACCTGGTGAGGCGCAATGCTATTCATCTGCCATGAGAGCAGCACAAAAGACTGGTAATTTTAGACTCCACTATTTCTGAAGCACATAAGAAACATTCACTGCCTATGTCAGTAGTTAGAAGCAAGTTCAGAACTCAGAGCAAACTTTTCTTTTTTTTGTAAGTTGGCTTCAATACCATGTTGTGTATAATTGGTTTATAAATCAAATTCGGAGATTTAAGCGCAGCTGGTGTGGTTTGAGACAGTGGGATTCCAGTATCTCACCCCCTGTCCTGATCTTCAGCCTTTTAACCAAACTATGGTAAAGTTCTATGGCTCTATATGGTAGCAGTTAATAATCCATTTGGCTAATCTATTGTAGACTTAATTCTGTTTACTAAGGTGGGGCCTTTAGGTACACAGTTAAGTTTGTCTTGTGACCCCCCAGGATGTGGCAGGATACAGGGAAGGGTAAGAACTCTGTAAATGACCTCAGAGTATGTCACAACCACAAGATCATCAGTTTCAAAACAATATACTTCACACCATGAGTTTATTTGCCTATTGCATTTATATACCACCTCCATTCCAAGATAATCAAGATGGCATGTGTAGTTCTCCCAGTCCCCACATTATCTTCCCAACAGCCCTGTGAGGTAGCTTAGGCTGAGATACTGCCACTGAGCCAAGGTCATACAGTGAACTTCACTGCTTTCCACACCCTAGTCCACAACTCTAACCACTCTGCCACAGTGTTGTTTTAACTGGGTCACTTTGTAGTTCCACAAGTACCCAAACCAAGAAATTTATGGAGGGACTGATTCAGCAACTAAAACATTCTCTGTCTTAGGGTGAAAATATATAGCCGCTCTAGGGTGGGCTAGCGGCATCATGTGTTTATGATGACATGTGCATAGAATCCAGTTTTACATATGCTGTTGCTTAGACAAAAAGTGGATTAGTCAGGGATGTGTGATGCAGCAAATGGTTTTGTTGGGGTCATATAATAGGTTGTATTGTGCATAGGTACTGTCACTGTGCAGACTGCTATCCTTTGCACACAACACACATAGAGTTATAGCTAGTTTATTCTTCTCTTAATTGGTGTATTAGCTGCTTTTACTTTATCTGCTTTCTTATATATTGTAGCAGTTTTCTACCAGTGGTTGTTTTCCATTCTGCTTCCCTGAGAAGCAGAAATAAATACTCAGCTACATGGTGCAGTGACCCATCTGACTTTTTTTTTTTTTTTTGGCAACAAAGGGAATGCTTGTCAAAAGAACCTATCCATATGTGTGTATCAATGTTGTCAGCGATGAGGGTGTGGCAATGCAAACCACATGGATAGCAGTAGCAATCTAAAACAGCAGTGGGGAACCTCCAGCTGTGAGGCATCCCAATTTGACCTACAAGTGTGTTTTGCCACGCTCACCTGCCCTACTCATGAAGTTATATGTGGTTGCCTAAAAAAAATATCCTTTGTGGGATGTAATCCATTGGAGCAGTCAAATACAACATTCCTTGTTTCCCTAGAGTGGACACAGGCGGGGTTTGTGTGTTACTCCAGCCAGTACAACTTCCTGTTCCCCTGGTCTGTAGCATCCTCCCCTTGCATGTGACCAAAAAGATGGGCATGACCCTGGCTGACTCCACAAAAGAGCCAAGTCACGCAGCCATCTTTCCCTTGATGCCATGCTGCTCTCCATTTTGTACTCCTGATGCTGCTCTCTTAATGTATTTTGCTGTCTGCTGGCTCTCAGCCAGCAGCACATGGGCTCAGTCACCATGTGGGATTAATTCACACTTTGTTATGTAATTACAAGCTAAAGCCTGCCTTCAGGGGTCATACCGTGAACTGAATGTGAGTAAAATGTGAGTTACATTTAAGGAAAGACTCTTGTGTCTTTATTCTTTTAAGAGGGATAAAAGGGGACACCAGGAATAATGCATCTGGGCAAGCCAGATTGGATTGCTTAACTAAAGAGAATTCAAATGAATCTTCAAACTAGCTTCCTGCTGTATTGAGGGGATAATGTTTAATCAATATATCCTCTTCTACTATCCTTAACATTCCCACATCCTTGTACCTGTATCAAAACTTCATGTGTCAGTGATATCACCAGGTGACCACCTACACAGATGCCGGATGGCATTGTGATGTCACGTGACAGACAGGTGAGGGGTCCCACCCACCTATCAAATGCACTTGTGCGTGATGGGGGAGATAAGGATCTGGCCCAGATCCTGACATAAAGTTCCAGACACAAAGAAAACAGTCACACATTACAAATATACAACGCAGGTTAACGCTTTAGCATCTGCAAATACATTTGCATCCTCAATCAGCTCTGAAAAGTTTGTGATAGAGAGGGGAGGGATGTATCCAGTACAGCTAGCATGTGAAGGCTGCTTTAAATCCTTCCATGTGGCACCTGTTGTTACATGGTGAGCTGCTTGCCCATAGTGATTCATCTCACAGATTAGGCAGGTTTGGCCATGTAACCACAAATATTGGAAGAGGGAGGTTAGCAGTTCCCTGGTGGAACTTGCTCGGACTTTATGGTTAGCCACGACGAACAACTTGTCATGTCACAACAGTTTCCACATGGAAGGATTTAAGGTGTTCAGCCCTAAGCTGATATTAGGAAAAGGTAACAGCCCGAGAGCAATTTAGTCAAACACAGGCAGGTGATATATTTTTAGCCACATAGGCACATCATTGCACAGTTGATCGAGCATAAGTCTATCTAATTCAGCAGACTGCATGTGTTTGGCATTTTCTCCTTCAATGTTGCTCCTTATCATTTCGCTTTCATTGTGCAAGCCTTTTATTAGAACAGATGCTTGTTTTTTCTGCAATTCAATCATTTGACTTGTCCCTCCTTCCCCCTCACCTTTTCGAACAACTAAATTAATACAGTAGTCAACTACTGACTTAGATATTTAAAAATAAATAAATAAAAGCACGACCTCATTCTTAGCTCCCGTTTTAATTTGTGCACAAATTTACTAGCTTACTTGTATTTTATTATGTATCAAAATTCAACCCTTTCTTGCTTCTGAAAATAAAACGGCCACCCTGAAATACTTTCCCTAGCTATTAATGTGTTGGCTTTTGGTTTATTCATTTTTTTCAGTGCTTTGCTGTAGCACCTCTGCCTATTTTATTGTTTTTGCATCAGTGATTCTTTCTGTGCCTTTTCGTTGCCTTCAGATTCTTGAGTTGCCAGGCGAAGGGGATCAGTGGAAAAAGAAGACGGTAAGAGTTTGGAGGGAGGCAACTACCTAGCAGAGAGTAGCAGAGTTCAAGCATTTCCGGGGGGTGGGTATAAATAATATATTATTATTATTACTGTAGCTTCTGAGCTGAAGCCCTTGGTGTTTGAAGAAAGTAATATGACCTTTTCAGGCTGAAGATGCATGTCACAAGTGGGTTCAGAGGATGCATTTCCCTCCCAGTCAGAGATATCCTCTGAATCCATGGCCTTTCCCCCTGTAGATAAAGTGTCAGGGCCCTTGGTCATGACACCAGTACATTTTGAGTGGTTGTCTTGGCACCTAGGCAAACTGAGGGTCTCTTAGACATCCCAAAATTAGCCTAAGTGAGCAACTCAATTATCATGCCTGCCTAGCAGCTTCCTTACTAGTGCTAATAAAGGTAAAGGCAAAGGACCCCTGACAGTTAAGTCCAGCTGCATACGACTCTGGGGTTGCGGCGCTCATCTTGCTTTACAGGCCAAGGGAGCCGGTGTTTGTCCGCAGACAGCTTCCGGGTCATGTGGCCAGCATGACTAAGCTGCTTCTGGTGCAACAGAACACCAAAACCAGAGCAGTGCACCGAAACACTGTTTACCTTCCCACTGGAGTGGTACCTATTTATCTACTTGCACCTTTTGGCGTGCTTTCAAACTGCTAGGTTGTCAGGAGCTGGGACTGAGCAACGGAAGCTCACCCCATTGCGGGTATTTGAACCGCCGACCTTCTGATTGGCAAGCCCAAGAGGCTCAGTGGTGCTGCCCTGTGTTTTCTTTGTTGTCATTTAACTTTGATCTGGTTCACAAGTAATGGTGAGCTATAATCAGGAAAAAAAACTATGAGGAGTGTGCTGGTGTGTTCTACTCAATCAGCATCTCTGGGACAAACAAACCACAAGGCTTGCCTTAGTGTTATATGTGAAGAGCATTTGAGGTTTGTTTCTCTCTCAGTAAACCACAAATGGATTCAAAGGTTTGTTCTTGGCTTACCAGTTAGTGGTTTGCACGTAATGTTTGTTTCTCCTATGGGTAGGCAAGGCAGAGTGGACACGAGTGCTTCTGCACATTGCTTGTTCATTAACTGTAAACCGTGATTTGTTTCTGATGATGACTTACTGTTGACACCCATAAGTGTTGGTTTATCATGATTTTGTTCACCATTTCCAGTAGCAGTTAGTGCAGCTGCCTGCCTGGCCAGGACAGGTTGGCTGGCATTGCACCTAGTTTCTCCTTTGTGCATTGGCTATCTCCCCACCCCTGTGTTTGCCATCTGCTCTCTCTGCTAAATTATGACAAGATGAGGGGAATTTATAATTCATAATTTATATTATGGCTGATGCCATCATGGTAAAAATAATCCTCCCCCTTGAGCATGCAGAAATGGTGAGCAAGAGAGGAAAAGAGAGTGATGGATGATTGAACCAATCCTTTCTCCTGCATTGCAACAGAAATCAGTTGGCTGCCTTTTGCCATCCTGATCTCGTCTGCATTGTGATGGTCGACCATCCTTCCCTCCTTTCCTTCATGCACCCAGCAATCCACCACTGCGATTCATGAAGCAATAAAGTGGGTTCAGCACAACAAACAGGTTGTGGGAATGGCTGGAGCATCTCTTCGCTGTGTTGTCCCCTCATCCTGAAGTGCAGACGCTGGCTACAAGGGAGAGAGAGGGCCTTTTTGGGGGTGGCTCCTCTGTTGTGGCTTTCCTGATGTGCACAATGAGTTTTTGGGATAGGCATTGCTTTATTGCTTTTTGTTGGTCTGGCATTTAGTGTGAGCTCGTGTCATCATTGTTACATTTCAAATGTGGTTTTATTTAACTTATTGTGCATCATCTGGAGGATCTATATTCTCAGATAATAAATAAATAAGTGTGAGTGATATTGAAGTGGCCAGGTATATGTAGGTGTGGGTGTCAAACTTCAAATGGGGAAGGTAAGAATGTGAATGCCTTCCCTGTACAAAAGCATGTCACACCCCCAGAATCCTTTAAGTTTGGGTCTGGCTTGAAATGGGTCCACCCTGTGCTACTGCCTGATTTAGAGTATTTTATCACTGTAACTCAGAACCGCTCGTTTTCTCTTAGCAACAAATAGAGCGTCAGCTGAAATGCCTGGCATTTCAAAATCCGGGACCGCTTCTAGCAGACTTCAACCCTGAAACCCGAGAGCAGCAGAAGAAAGCCTGCCTGTCAATGATAAACCAGGATTGTTTTAACAATACAAAGAAGTAAGTAACATGCGGCATCTTATTCTATATTTTAAATTAGGAGTAATTACAGACCATCATAATAATTACCATAAGATCATAAGGCTGGGTCCTGATGTTCATAATTTAAGACAGCAGTACAATGCAAACTGTCTTTTAAGCCCCACCGGTTTCTCTGGAATTTGCTTTCTGAGTAAAAAGGCACAGAATTGGTAGTTGATTAACATTCATTAGGCAGACAAGGGAAAAATCAGAAGTGGGGCCCAATGGTAACATCCATCTTCTCTTGTTCTCCATGCTCCAACATAGACTGTATCCTTTTTAGTAGCCCCAGTAGGCAGGTGTTCATCTGGAGTAGAACCACAGTTGATCATAAATATTACCTGCTCATCTGAGGGCAGAGCTGATTTTTCTATCTGCCGAGGCTGCATTCTCTTTAAAAAACAAGAGAAAAGTGCATAAAAGAAACTGCCATAAGTTATCATGCCATCCTTAGGGTCACTGCACTCAACTGGTTTAGAATTTTTCCAGTTATAATGGTAAAATAGTAACAGACAGCTTACATCTTTATGGAGACTACAGTGGTACCTTGGTTCTCGAATTTAATCTATTCCAGGAGTCCGTTCGACTCCCGAAATGGTTCGAAAACCAAGGTGCGGCTTCTGATTGTGCTGCAGGAAAGCTGTGCTCAGTTGGAAGCTGTGGAAGCCATGTTGGACGTTCGGCTTCTGAAAAACGTTTGCAAACCGGAACTCTGACTTCCGGGTTTGTAGCATCTGGGAGCCAATTTATTCGGGAACCAAGCCATTCGACTACCAAGGTACCACTGTACTTGAGTGCAGCAAAACTTTCTCATTCCCCTTCTTCTTTACATGATTTATTTAGTACAGTATAACAAACTCCATGGAAAATGTCCAGGATTTGGAGAAATGAGCCATCAATATGCTGATGGTACCCTTCTCTATTTTGTTTTCGCATCTGAATCGGCAGCAAATAGCAGCTTTGAACTGACTCTTAGAGACACTAATAAATTGCATGAGGAGGACAAAAAATAGTCTGAATCCCAAGAAAACTAGAATTGATGGTGGTTGTGAATTCTGCTGATAAGGAAGCAGGATAGGCTTATTGATAGTGCTCATCAAGATCAGAATCCAGGACACCTCTAATTTATTTTAAATATGCTGTTTGCAAGACAGTACAGGAATGCAATTCCCTATCTCTAGTTAATTTGGATTGTAATTAATCATGCTGGCCAGTCTTTGTGGCTAATGTTCCTGGCTGTCCCCTGCAGAATACTCTGCTGAACCCTAGTTTGTTGATACGTGTGCCCATTTGTTAGGTAAGTTGTGCAACTGATCAGATTTCTGATATTTAGGGTCCCTTGCTAACTGCACAAATGACAGCTGTTCCTATATGGCTACAGCGCTTAACTGCATAACTTAGCATGAACATCTAGGTTACCTGTGGAAAATCTTCCAGGGCACAGCAGTCCTTAGCAAACATCTTCCCAAAACAACCCCCAACTCATCCTTCCAAGTTGGACTTAGGTAATATGGCCTCAAGTTAAGGTCTGAGAATCAAAACTGTTTTTTCAGTACAGCAGTACCTCGGTTTTCGAGCATCTCGGAAGCCAAATGTTTTGGTTTTCGAACACCAAAAACCAGGAAGTAATTGCTTCTGTTTTCAAACTTTTCTCAATTTTCTCCATTGACTTTGGCAGACTTTGGAGACTGCTCATTGTGCCTCGGTTGTTGAATGTTTGGGAAGTCGAATGGTCTTCTGGAACGGATTACTTTCGACAACTGACGTACACTGTATATTGCAGGAGTATCAGGAGAAAGTATGGAGGCGCCCCCGCCGGCTTTCCCACTTTTATTTGCTTCGTACTCTGAAAACCAATGGCGATTCCACGTTTTCTCTTTTACAGACTCGTAAAGAAATATGACAAACATGGCCGGCTGCTTTCCAGTAAAGCGGATTTGTGTGACTGCCTGGAGAAGAACTGCTTGGGCTGCTTCTACCCCTGCCCTAAATGCAACTCCACCAAGTGTGGGGCAGAGTGTCGCTGCAACCGGAAGTGGGTTTACGATCAGATTCAAATAGAGGCCGGGCCGGTTATCAGATTTCCGTTTTGAACGGCTATTTACCTGACCACAGTTGTTGTGAAACAGAGGCTGGACTTATTTATTTATTTAAGAATAGAGAGGGGTGTTATTCCTCCTGTTAGAGGAACAAAATGCCTGACGTGCAAAGACGGGTAGCAGAGTTGTCAAGGTGTGACATGCAGACCATAATATTGAGTGTGGAAGAGAGCGGAGCTTAACACTTTCACCACCCACCACATATTTGCTCCAAATCACTCCCCAAACAGTCTTTTCCGCCTGTGGGGGCCAAAATACATGCACAGCCACATTTTGAACACTAGGTGTGTGGAGCTGGAAAAGGGCAGATGAAAAAGTTCAAGCACTTTCTCATATCTTTTTGTTCACGTTTGCTCTGAGCCAGGCGTTGGTTCATAATATGTTGCCTAGCCTCTGAGTTTCTTCAATTTAAACAAGTTAGGAGTTGGAATTGGCTACTAGGAAGTTTATTTAATCTTCCTCATCTGTTAAGGCTTTAGAGAAGGAGGGGGGGCGAGATTTGAACATTTTCGTTGCACAGATCCAGCTGCCTTGGGAATACACCAATTCAAAGCCAGCAGAAGCAAATTAAAGAAAAAGCAGGCCTCCCCTCTTTAAAAGCTCATTATTACTTGACTGCATCTATACATGCCTCATATAGACTATTGTACCCTGTTATTGCTCAGGTGAAAAGACTGTGCCCTCCTGAAAATCGCATTGCAAAGTGACTCTTGCAAACAGAAGGAAGAAAGGGGGAACCAAGGAATTCAAGATTAATGAAAGCTTCTTCTTGTTCCCCAACGGGCTGCTGCACAACTCGAAAATTGATTCCTTCTGTGTTTATCATCTGTGCAGAACGAGGGGCTATCAAAGTAAATGTTTAAGTCCTTGAGCAAAGTTGCAGAAAATAAAGTTGGATCTAAATAATGTCAAGCATACAGTTTTTATTGGTACGAAGACCCGGGTTCTAAATGTATTTAAGGAATTCATAGTTTAAAAGTTACGTTCTCAACCATTTTACACTAGTCTGCCTGTAATGTACATAAAAAATGGACATTTGTATTCATAAAAGGAAGCATGCAGGTGATTTTTGTTAAAAGTGTCATTTCCAACTTTGAGTCCGTTCCCTCCCCCCTTCCTTAAATGAGTTGCTTACTCTTAAGATACTGTGGTCATAACAAACTGAAATGGATAACAAGTCAAGGCTTCTTGACTGGAAAAAAAAAATCAGCGACATAGAGGTTAGTGAAAGGAAATGGGCATGTATGCTGGTAATATAGTGGTGTATATGAAGAGGTTATCAATGATATACCGTAGTGGCTAAAATCACAATGAAAACTTAATTAGAATTTTGAGAGAGCCCCACCTTTCGCAGTGAAGAGAAACGCTGACATGTTTAATTGTTATTCTGTTTAACCAAGGTTTCTGCAGTGGTTGCTTCTCTTTGCAGTTTACTAATGCAGTTATGCAGTAGCTGCACACTTAAATTGTTAATGTAAATTAAAACTTTAAAGAACTTTGGGCTAAATCCCATGTGAAATCCTGTGAGAGTTGATTGGTTCACCCCTCCCCGCAATGCCTCTTTGCTTGGTTGTAGTTTTCTTTTGACTCCAATTGACCTCCACAAAATTGGCTAGGTGGCCTTGACCCCTTTTTCTTATTTCAGAGAAAAATAGAGCCATTACACTTCCTATTGGGAGGCTTGGTTGTTCACTTTCATTTTTCCCTCATTGGCTTTTAATGTGAGACAGGCAGCCACGGAAAATCACTTCTGATATGCCAACTTGGCCAGGTTTTCAGCTGGTGCTGTTTGGTATAGCTCCAACACGAGTCAATGTTTTGCTTAAAAGTGTGCCTAAAATTGAATTTTTAAAAATAGTCAAAGAAACCTAGTTTCAATAAATGAAGGCTTGCAAAACTCCATAACTGAGATTGCAACTTTACTAAGCCGTCAAGGGAAGCGTTGAATCAACAGTTCACTTCTTACTTCAGTACCTTAAATTACTGTAATGTACCCACAAGTCCCTTCAGTGTCACACAAAACAATGTTTTGGGAAGTGCCCAAGTCACACTTCTGTGTTTGTGGTAGATTTGCAGTTTTAAATTTTTTTATACTTTTATCCGGTACAAATTGTAGGGTTTGCTGCATAGCATATGGGCTTCCCCTTTGCAGACAAGCATGACCAAAGACCAATCTCAATCCTTTATTGGCATATAGAAAAAATTCTGAAAGGTTCAGTACAATAAGACTACTCAGCAAAATCTGCATCTAACAATTCAACAGAAGTATAGTGTACAGATCAAGTGAAGTAATAGTGCCACTCTATTCTGCCTTGGTCAAGCCACACCTGGAATACTGTGTCCAATTCTGGGCACCACAATTTAAGAAGGATATTAGACAAGCTGGAATGTGTGCAGAGGAGGGCAACCAAGACGAAAAAGGGTCTGGAAACCAAGCCTTATGAGGAACGGTTCAGGGAGTTGGATGTGTATAGCCTGGAAAAGAGAAGACTGTGAAGAGATATGATAGGCATCTTCAAATATCTCAAGGGTTGTCACATGGAAGATGTAGCAAGCTTGCTTTCTCCTGCTCTGGAGGGTAGGACTCAAACCAATGGCTTCAAGTTACAAGAAAGGAGATTCCGACTAAACATCAGGAAGAACTTTCTGACAGCAAGAGGTGTTCAACAGTGGAACAGTCTTCCTCAGGAAGTTGTGGAGTTTTCTTCCTTGGAGGATTTTAAGCAGAGGTTGGGTGGCCATCTGTCATGGATGCTTTAGCTGAGATTCCTGCTTTTCAGGGGGTTGGACTAGATGACTGATGGGTCCCTTCCAACTCTAAGATTCTATGATTCTAAGTGAAGCTGGTGGCTAATGATATAAGACCTCAGTGGCAAAACCCTGGTTATGGCATGTCCTTCCCAGCAATGTATGTTCCCTGCACCACCTTTATGTTCTTTTCAGCACTAGGTGAAGAAACTTTTGTTCACTCAGGCTTTAAACACCTTGTTGTTTTACAATCTGGGCTTCTAAAATTAGTAGCTTTTATTGTATATCTGTGTTATTAATTATTCTTCCTCTTCTAGAAAGCACTGTTTTTGTGCTGCTTTTCACTGTTTATATTTTTAGAAATAGCATTATTGTGTTAAGAATAGCATTATTCTGTTAAAATAGTATTATTGTATTAAAAACAAAAAAGCAGAGAACTTAACTTAAAAGGCAGCCAGATACCCTTCACTCTTTGACTCCAAAACTCTAGTGTGGAGTTTGGATTGGGCTCAGTTGACAAAGCCACACTACAACTTAAGTTTTGTATCAGTTGCAAGATTGCAGAGACCCAGAAAGAAAGTATCTGGATCATATCTTGAAACGTTTGCCGAGGCTTTGTTCCAAGTTTAACTGATTTTGAGACTGGCGGTCCTCAATCAGATCTACTTGGGCTTGGAAATATTACTTATGTTCAGTTTTGTATTGTTAGGTAATGCTATTGAAAAACAAAGAGAGCTTGGAAAGCGGTTGTGATTTGTGAATTTTCTGGCATAGTTATGCTCTTAACAGGCCAAGGCTGGTGAACATTAACTATGAAGCTCTCCCCTTAGCAGACGTTGAACGGTACGAGTGGTTGAACAGGCCAGACTCATTTTCCATCAAGTGATGAAGTGGGACCAGCTGGCATTTTGCCCAAAATATATCAGAATCACTCTTTGAAACCCAAAGGGGTGGCTTAATGGTCAAAACCTGGGATTGAAACTACTAGACTTTCTGGAGCCATAGGTCTCCCTGAGATGACAGCTCATCTTTTTAAAAACAGTGCAGATATGTTATCATGTAATATTCTACCCAGGAATCTTTCGGGGATTGTACTTTTAGAGCCAGAATTGTTCTGCTATCATTATGATGCAAGTACCACAGTGCCTTAGGAGTATGTTACAGGGGCCTATTATATCATGTTCAAGTTACATAAGAGGGCCAGTTAAGTCAAGAGATCCCTCCCGCTGTTTATTGCCCATATTTGTTTCCCTCTGTAAACTCTGGGTTATTTTAAAATAATGCTGAATAAAATGCAGATACCAATCCTTTTTGTACTCATACATTCACAATGCCTCTTTAATGTGGTGTGCAGACCCAGGAAGGTGCCACAGTGGTGCAAACGCAGAAACAGTATTCTGCACCCAAAATAAGAAACTAGGAAGGCACCTGTTGATAGATGGGCAGGTAGAAAAACTTCAGGGGAGGAATGAAATAACACTGAAGCAAGCCAGTTCAACATGCAATTATTGAGTATGTTTTCATAATTCAACAGTTTTGAAAAGACATCTGATGGATGTTTAATCTGATGAATGCCTAAAGGTAAAGGTAAAGGGACCCCTGACCATTAGGCCCAGTCGTGGCCGACTCGGGTTGCGGCGCTCATCTCGCTAAGCCGCTTCTGGCGAACCAGAGCAGCACACGGAAACGCCATTTACCTTCCCTCCGGAGAGGTACCTATTTAGCTACTTGCACTTTGACTTTTGGCTTTCGAACTGCTAGGTTGGCAGGAGCTGGGACCGAGCAACGGGAGCTCACCCCGTCGCGGGGATTCGAACTGCCAACCTTCTGATCAGCAAGTCCTAGGCTCTGTGGTTTAACCCACAGCGCCACCCGCGTCCCTTGATGAATGCCTAGGACCCTCATAACTATGGGGCCGCCTCTCCTGGTATGTCCCACAGAGGACCTTACGGTCTTCAAATAAAAACATCTTGAAGGTCCCAGGCCACAGAGAAGTTAGGCTGGCCTCAACTAGAGCCAGGGCTTTTTCGGCTGTGGCTCCGATCTGGTGGAACGCTCTGTCACAAGAGACTAGGGCCCTGCGGGACTTGACATCTTTCCGCAGGGCCTGCAAGACAGAGCTGTTCCGCCAGGCCTTTGGCCAAGGCACAGTCTGACCCCCTCCTTTGGCAATCCTCACAGAACTCTAGCCCAATGGTTGCCATCAATCTGATTTGAACTGATTTTATAATGAACTGATTTTATAATGTTGCATCATTTTACTGTTGTTAGCTGCTCTGAGCCTGGCTTCGGCTGGGGAGGGCGGGATATAAATAATTCTTCTTCTTCTTCTTCTTCTTCACGCTGAAGATGAACAATATCTGTATGGATAAAGGCTTCTGAAATTGAATAGTGCCCTCTTGAAATGACCGTGTTGTAAGATCTGGACTCCCTCCGTGCAGACTGAAGGTGCAAATAGGTGAATAAACCATATTTCTTAAAGCTACGGCAGACCCTGCCGTGTCTCAATTCTCCAAAGGAACACAGATCCTAGGAACCTTCTTTTCTCTTGCAGAGAGTAAAGCTGGCACCCAACTTTTATAACAACCACCACCTATGTGTTGTACCCAGTGCTTTTTTCGGGGGGGGGGCACACACACGGGGTACACACACCCTAAACATTTTGTGAATCTAAGTTTGGCCACATTGAGGGGCAGTATTTCAATGTGAGTAGGAAAACGAGAGCACCCCTGGACATATTTTTAATATATAAAAGCACTTCTTGTACCTACTGAGAAGTTCCATTAGAAAAGCAATTGTACCAAAAGGAATTATTGTGAAAATAAGAAATATTTCAAGGGGGGCCCCGCCACATTTTGTCCCCGCTCAGGGCACCTTGTCTCCCAAACCGCCCCTGCTGGGTATTATTATTCCTGAGCAGTGACCCATTGGCGTAAAGTGATCTCGCATATGCGAACTAAGGACTGCGCCGCCTGGCGGACAGAGAGGAGACGCCCCGCTCTCCGCCCCGCTTTGTATCTCCGACGCTAAACCTCAGTCCTGTGGGGGCGGGGTTGAAGTCAAAAGGCGGAGCTAGCTCGAGGCAGCCTGAGCCGGGATTGGCTCTCGGCTTTAGCTGCCTGGCTATTGGCTGGGCGGGGACAGTATGATCGACAGCGACCAAGATGGCGGCGCCCACTGTTATTCCGGACACTGTCAGGTAGGCTCTGCTCTGCCGCCTCCTCCCTTGTGGGTCTGCCAAAGGCGCTGCCAACCCCGTTTCCCCCTTTAAATATGGCACGGGCAGTGGGGGGGGGGGCGGCGGCTTAGAACGGTTTCCAAAGCCAAGGCTTAAAGTAATAAAAACAAAGTGGTGTCTGGGCATGTGCAGGTTTCTTTACCTGCACCAGCGTTACCTACCTAGTGGGGGACTGAGGCTGGGTCTCCGCAGCTGCAGGCTTGCCGGTATTCCTGTGTCTGAACAGTCCCGTGGCAACCGGGGTTGCTGTTCTGCACACGGTTATTGGGGAGCAAACTCTCCTGAACTCAGCGGGTCTTGGTTTCCGAGAAGTCCCATCAAATTGTGCTGCAAAGAAAACCTATTGCTGATTCCCCCCCGCGCTTAGCATAGAAGTGCAGTGGTAGGGAAAACAACAATAGCAGCAGCATTTGCTGCTGAAAAGCCTGTGATGTGTGTACGGGTCAGCAAACTTTTTCAGCAGGAGCCTGGTCCACTGTCCCTCAGAGCTTGTGGGGGGCTGGACTATATTTTGAAAAATAATAATGAACGAATTTCTATGCCCCACAAATAACCCAGAGGTGCATTTTAAATAAAAGCACACATTCTACTCTTGTAAAAACATGCTGATTCCCGGACCATCCGCAGGCTGGATTTAGAAGGCAGTTGGGCCGGATCTGGCCCCCGGGCCTTAGTTTGCCTACCCATGGTGTAGAGAAATGAACCAAAGAAAAAAGGAATCGCAGTAATGAGCTCAGCGACACACACTTTTAGGCAGGACGGAGGATGGTATGCTGGTTGAAAAGCAGGAACTAGTCAGCCCAAAACCAGATGTAAAATTCTGCTTGGGTATAACCCCCCTTCCAGTCCTTTGTTCACAGTTCTAGCATTTTTTATTTCCAGCTTCCCAGGTTGCTAGAAGCTGAAGTACAATGCTAGAGCATAGAATAAAGTGGTAATTCCTTCTTCTTTTTTCTATAATTTTTATTAAATTTTCTGTTTTACATTTTAGAATATTCATTTAAACAACCTTAAAATATCAGTGGCTTCCGTTCTTCTCTTTCCATGGTTCATTTTGCATGACATAAATCCCTGCATATTTTGTATAAACTAAGACATTCAGTATTCAATTATTACATCCATCAAAACTTATTTACACTGTTAAATTTATCTTAATTCTGCCCACGTTTTAAAATGTATACAGTTCCTCCCCCCCACCACATATTCAATAAACATTTTAAATAAAGTGGTAATTCCTGATCAGGAGACTGTTTATTTTCTTTTCTTCAGCAACTGTGTCTCTGGTGGGAGGTTTTCCCACAACAACTGTGTGTTCAGGAACTTTACCTGGAAAAGTAGGCAGCCCTTTTCATTGTTGTTTAAACCTCTTCCTGGCATCAGAAAAGAGCAGAGAAAAACTTATTGTGCCCACCAAGTCCCTTGTCTTTAACTGATTCTTGCCATCCTCTCTTCCCCTTTTCTAGTGTTCGAAAGGCTGTGTCCCTCATCAATGCTATAGACACAGGAAAGTTCTCTCGGTTGCTCTCCCGCATCCTTCAGAAGCTTCACCTAAAGGTTTGTATACATAGAGAGAAAATGACTGCACAATGTACAGTGAAATCTCTTAAGCTGGTAGTATCCATGGGCTACATTTGAGTATAGATTCTAGAAAAGTACAAGTACAATTGCTTGTCCAAGTGTCTCTGCCAATGGGAGCTTTCCTTTGAGAGCTCTGTAAGGGCAATATTTTCTGCTGGGAGGAACACCTGGGGGGAAAACCATTCAGTAGATTCTTCACAGGTTTTTTAGCTTTGCGGGCAGACTGATGGGGTTAAAAAATGCTGCTGTGGTCTGCTGTGCTCTCCTTCAGGCAATTTTATTTTGTGAACCACCCTGAGACATGCAGGTATAGGGTAGTATATAAATTTAATTACTACTACTTCTGCTACCACCAATAGTAATTATTATTCCACTCTCATGGAAAATGGCTGAAAGCTAGTTCATTTTTTTTGAAAATAATATTTATTACTTTTCCAAAAAACTTAAACACTGAAAAAACAACTACAATACAATACAATACATTAAACTAGCAAAACAAAACAAAAACAATAAAATAAATCAAACAATTTCATTATCCCATCTTTCATTCACTTATTTCCACGACCTCCTCACACCTCCCTTTCGTATTCCACTTCTGTTAATTATTTCAGCAATTCCTTTCCATCTTCCTCTGTTTTCTATCCTATAATTATCTTAACTCATTCTAACCTTATTTTTCCCTTTAATACTCTATTAATCTATTTATACTTAATTCCTTATAACATTTCTACTAAAGCCATGTAACTTCATTCCAACATTTTTCTAACATTCATTGATTTTACAGTATTTCTGTAAATAATCTTTAAATTTTTCCAATCTTCTTCCACCGACTCTTCTCCCTGGTCTCGGATTCTGCCAGTCATTTCCGCCAGTTCCATATAGTCCATCAACTTCATCTGCCATTCTTCCTGGGTGGGTAAATCTTGTGTCTTCCAATATTTTGCAATGAGTATCCTTGCTGCTGTTGTTGCATACATAAAGAAAGTTCTATCCTTCTTTGACACCAATTGGCCGACCATGCCCAGGAGAAAGGCCTCTGGTTTCTTCAAGAAGGTATATTGGAATACCTTTTTCATTTCGTTATAAATCATCTCCCAGAATGTCTTAATCCTTGGGCATGTCCACCAAAGGTGAAAGAATGTGCCTTCAGTCTCATTACATTTCCAACATTTATTATCGGGCAAATGGTAGATTTTTGCAAGCTTGACTGGTGTCATGTACCACCTATAAATCATTTTCATTAAGTTTTCTCTTAGAGCATTACATGCCGTAAATTTCATACCTAGTTCAATGACAGCCAGAGGATGAGGTTGGAAGAGATGGGAATGGGAGAGGGAGCTATATAAAAGATGGTGACTCCTGTTTGAAGCTCTGGAGAGATTTTGCCTGTCAGTATAAATAATAATAAGCTAGGTGAACCAGTGGACTGACTCAGTGTAAAACAGCTTTTGCCAATATAATTGACATTTATGCTGTTTGTGAAAAGGCATGAGACCAATCAATCTAGTGAATAAAATAGTATCTTAATTTTTGGTAAATGGGAATCTTTTTATTTCAGGCTGAGAGTACTTTCACAGAAGAGGAGGAAGAAAAGCTTCAAGCTGCTTTTTCAGTGGAGAAGCAAGATCTCCATCTTGTCCTTGAAACCATTGCATTCATTTTGGAACAGGTATCTTCTATTATAGTTCTATACTTTCAGTAAATTGATGCAAAGTATAATGGATAATCCTCCTCCTTTAAGGTACTGCATCATTAAAAACACTTGGGATTGCTTCTTCGTGCTTTAAGATTCCTGTACCTGCATGCTTATTAGTGAGTAAGCTGCATTGATCAGAATGGAACCTACCTTCCAAGAAAACATGCATAGGATTGTGATCTAAATTGGGATTATCTGGGGTTGTAATTCAGAATCCTGTGTGTGTGTGTGTGTGTGTGCGTGCACACATGTCACACATGTAGTCTTCCCTGGTTCTTGCAGTGGTATATATAATGGTGTGCTGTAGCGCATGGAACTGAAGAACATATACCCATATGTTAACTGGAATGGGTGCATAGGAAGAAATAATAGAGATGCAATTTGTTCCTTTTAGGCAGGCTTCCTCAACCTCGGCCCTCCAGATGTTTTGAGACTACAATTCCCAGCATCCCTGACCACTGGTCCTGCTAGCTAGGGATCATGGGAGTTGAAGGCCAAAAACATCTGGAGGGCTGAGGTTGAGGAAGCCTGTTATTAGGCATGTAAATAGGTTTACAAGTAATGCAACCTCCTGATCCTAAACATTGACTTAAGTAGGATTTTATCCTGGTACTGTATATCATGTGTCAATTGTACAAGGCCTTTCCAGACAGTCTGTTTGCCCTGCAACAAATGTGCAGCTAATCATTTCAAGGGTTCCTACAACTTTAAAGTATCCTTTCTGTTGCAGAAATATTTTGTTGTTAAAAACATTCTGTTCTTCCTTCAGCCAGTGCCCTCATTGCTGTTGTAAATTTTGTGCTAACTTTTTTTGTGCATTTTGGACATACCTACCTTGACTTAAATAATGAACCGTGAGTGTCAAATATTTACCATCACTTGGGTTGTTTAGCATGTTGTCTAGCGTATCAGCTAGGGAAGTGTGTGTATTGCATTATTTTTCTTTCTTTTTTTGCAGGCTGTGTATCACAATTTGAAGCCAACTGTTCTGCAACAGCAGTTGGAGCATTCCAAACTGGATCATGACAAAGCAGAAGTGTTTGCCACCACATGGGCTGCTGCAGGTCCAGAGACAGTGGAAAAGTTCAGACAGAGGACTTTGTCACCTCAGAAGGTAACAGTTACAGAAACACATAGAAAATACTTTTTTATTGGGACAGAAGGTACACAGTAAATGGTGAATGTGATGCATATAAGCTAAGAACTAGGTGTGTGCCAAAATTAAAATAAATATTTTAATAGTGAAAACCTAGATTTTATTGCTAGCGAAGCAATGTAAACATTCTAGTGTGTGGACATACATATGCATAAGTCATTTTTGAGAGTTTGACACATTATGTTCAAAAAACAGCAACAAACCTTGCTTTGAACCCATTAATGCCTTGTAGAGAATCCAGTAGTTTACGTGAGTGGCTCGTTGGTTGAATAAGATACTTGGCTGGTGTAAGAGAGTACAGCATTAAATGATTCAAATAAGGCAATGAAACCATTTATTTAAGAATAACATATTACATATTATTATCGGTAGATGTGGTTACTGGTTGAATTGTGAAATGTACTTGGGCAGTGTGCCCAAGTTTCCTTAAGGCAACACGTACATGTAGCAAGATCAGAGCGTTTATTTATTTATTTATTTGTTCATTTATTAATGTCGCAATACATTAATAAATAATATTCAGAGCATTCGTTTCTGTTGTATCACCACGAATCTTATTCTCTGCTGTGCCTCATCTTATTTTAATTGGTTGTCGCTGTACTGATTGTTTACAGTTTTCATTCATGTACAATTAAAAAAACATACATATGAGATGGATGCATAAGGGAGATGGGAGGAAATTAGAATGTACTGAGTATTAAAACCTGGGACTATTAAAAAAAAATAACCACCTCTGTTACTATTAAGAGCATAATTAAGGTGACAAATGAGTTTGGAAAGGTTTAAGCAAAAACTACTCTAATGGTGCTCTATCAAGAGAGTTGTGTTTACTTCTGTGCCTCATGTGGGATAGATTGCTTCTTTAAATGCTCTTACATACCCCATTAGGTAAGAAGGCAGGAAGGGGAACATTGTATTATGAGCTTTTATTATTGATCCCGTGGAGTAGCTGCCTTAGTCCAGTAGATGGTTGAAAGGCTACACACTTTTAGAGAGGCAGAAGATCAGAGCCACATGAAAAGGCAGGAGAATGTTAGCTCGTCCTTCGCTCTGACACATTTGTTTTTTGGGATTTTTTTAGTATTGGGTGCTATTTTAACAAGAGCTACCCTCGTATTGCCTGGGAGAAGTACCAATCTGCAGCAGGCTCCATCAGCTGTTTCTGCTCTTAGGACTCGTGTCAGCTGTTCTTGCATGGAAATGCCATATGTGTGAACCGGGTTGAATCGGTGTGATAGACATACACATACACATACACTAACATGATTTGTGACAACTTGAAAGGAAGGGCTCAGATTATAGTAGAGTCGTTAATGAAATCCGCAAGCCAAATCTTCTCCCCTGGTAATTTTTTTAGAGGAGGTATCACTCCCCCCCCCCCGCCACTCAGCTTTCTAAAACAGTAGAAGGGAGCTGACAACCAAGTTTACGGGGCTGGGTGCCCTGTAGTCTACCTATGTTTGAGCAAAGTGTTGCCTTTGTCACTGAGAAATTGCAGGTGTTGCTCAGATGCAGTTATCTCTCCCCTGTACGTGGTGAGTGTCGCCTGGCTGCAAGATGGCCTTTGCCATGCTAGGCTCCCCACGTATTTGCATAGGAAATGCTCGTGAGTGTAAAGCAGCCCTTAGTTTGCTTCATGTTGCATAAGCCAGGACAGGAGGGGCTGCGAAGGGAGCTTGGGGTTGCTGGTGCTAGAAGAAATGGTGTAGGTTTGAATACAACAAACCTAGGACTATAAAGGACGCAAGTTCAGTAAAAGGCAAGCAGGAGTCACGGAAAGGAGGTGGGAAGGAGAATATGGGAAAGGGGCTTGAAGAGGCAGTGTTTGGAGCCCCATCAAAGGCTTCGTACATGGCCTAGGGGCAAAAGGGTGTGTGAAAAGGGATCTTTTGGGACAAGGAGGATGCCATGTGTAGCGATCACACAGGGTCTCTGGACGTTTAATGGTCTATTGATCCCTGTGCCACCACTGTACTCGCTTCCCCGCTGCCACCAACCCGTTACTCTCGGGTAAAACACTGAGTCCAGACAGTTGTTAAAAGTGAACCAAATAAACAAGTTTATTTTATAAACATTAACAAGTTTATGGTTTCTCAGATAATATTCCTGTCTTAACTTTAGTTTCTTTACCGGCCTATACCTTCCTAACACCTTCTGACTGATTATCTCAACTGTTTGACTGACTCTTAACAAATTCTCTCACTCTCTCACATCAGACTAGCCCAACCCACAGACTTATCCTCTTTGTCTCTTCTAACTCCAGACTGTCTTCGCAACCACCCTAACTCTAACTTCCTTCTCCTCCAAAAAAACCTGTGTGCTTAAACCTTATACACAATTAACTCCGCCCCTTGGGTTCCCATTGGTTAGTCATTTTACAATTAGTGAACCCTTTCCTTATGAACCCAGTATGATGTCGCACACCTAGGAGGGCAAACGCCACACCATGCCTCTGCTTTTTTATTTGTATTTCCAAGATTGGGTACAATAATTTAAATTGGGTCGGCAAAGTTTTTGTGGCTTGGACCAGTTCACGGTCCCGCAGACGCAGCTGTTGGCCGGAGTGCCACTTCCTGCAGCCAATGGGAAGCCAGCCAGCATCGCGGAAGGGGGTCTCTGCTCTGCTCCATGCCAGTTTAGCATGGCGCACAGAAGCTGACCGAGTGGGCGGCAGGGGTCCATGGGCCAGTTAAACAACCCCCATGGGCCGCTTGTGGCCTATGGGCCTTAGGTTGTCGACCCCTGACTTAAATGAACATGAACCTTTGCTCATTTGTATGGATAGAACACAGGACGATATTTATTCTCACTGCCTTCATTTTGTGTTCCGTGGGTGGGTGGAGGGAGGTGGAAGCAGTTATTGGCTTCAAATGGCTTCTTGTACAGGTATTTAACATAGATTAAAATCTCTGTCTGCCTGTAGCTGTTTGGAAGCAATGCGTTAGAAGCTGCCTTGAAATTAACTGGAATAAATTCAGAGCATGAGTGTTCACATTAACACCTTGGTTAGGGGTACTGCTAATGCCAGAAGGAGCAGAACTATTAGAAGTAGATCCAGATACATGGCTAGATCTAATATAAAAATAAACGTTTAGTTTTATTTTTCTTTTGTGCTCAAGGGATGACATAATGAGGGACTGGTGTGGTCTGACTGATAGTTGATTATAACAGAGATCAATACGAGATTTATTACCGTGCCATAACTTTGTGGTTGCTCTTTTTTCATTGTGCTTATACTATTGCTGTGTTAGCAATCTTTTCTTTTTTTAAAAAAAGAAGAAAAATTCATCGAAAGATGATTGTACAGCTTTAACTTTTTATATATATATTTTATGCTGGCAAGATTCTACTGCTAACCTGCTGAAGGTTGACACACAAAACAAAAATCCACAAAAGTTAAGTGAATGAAACCAGCCCATATTATGCTTTATAGCAGTGGTTCCCAATTAGCTAAGTACTGTGGACCTCTGCTTTTCAAAAGCCAAGCCATGGACCCCTTACTTTTGAAAATGTTGATATTTCTATGGTAGTTTTTGTTAGGTGAAGGGTGAAGCCCTGGGTGGCTTACATGAACCTTCTGGGGATCAAGGACCACCAATTGGGAAGCACTGCTTTAAGAGGCTCAGATTTGCTCACAGTTCTTTTCTTGACATGATGATGTGTTGGATCCCAAGGCTACAGTCCTCTCCCTTTCTCTATGCCCATCGTTGCAAGTAGCCAGGCACTAAGAAACCTTATACATTCCTAGGAAGGGGGTACTGTGTGGCCCATTGGCTGCACCATAGCCACCAAATGTGATGTGATTGGTTTAAGCAGCTGCAACAGTTTGAGTCTGGGCTCCATGTCTGAAAGAAGCTTGCTACTGCTCAGATGAGATGCTTCAAGATTGGTGTTTAATGCATATGTAGCCACTGGCTCTAGTGGTATCCCAGTTCCCAGAGATGCTTTTGACACAGAGAATGCCAGTCCCTTCCTAGAGGAAGGACAAAAATTCATTGCTGAGTTTTCTTTAAATATGGGTTAGTAGTTTTAACGGGTGTTTGAAAAATAGGACATACAAAAAAGAATGGGAAAAATTAATAACCTCCCCAAGAGAACACTGTAAGCAAATCTAAACATAAGCTGGACTTTAAGAACCATTTGTAAAGTAACGGGTTTTATGTACAACTTACACTTATGAGAAGTATGGAGAATATATTGATATGTAGATTGGTAAAAAATTGTTATTAGGACCCATGTAAGGGATGGGGGAAAGTCACAAGATTCAGAGAATCTCATGGCTTGATTATATAAAGAATTTTTGTTACCACTTTGTAATTATAAAAACTAATAAAAAATATTTCAAAAACAAAGAAAATAAAAATAAAAATAGGACATAGAGTAGTGAGAAAGGTCCTTTAGAAGACTCTTTTGGAAGAAGCCTTTTTTGCTGAAAACGAGAAACATTTGCTGAAGAGCAGGTGGTTTGTAGCTTCCCATATTTTTTCTGGCAATGTCCTCCTTTCAGGAGCTTAGAGCCACTGTCTGTTTAAAGATCCTCCTGCGCTAATGTTTAATGATGCTTATCTTCCTCTTTTTAGCTTGATTCCTAAAATGATGTTGGGCTTTGTCACCTTTGTCATTACTACAGAGGCTGTTTTAACACTGTTATAAATCACATTAAGTTCATTTTTAAATGCATCATCTAACCTGTCTACAGTCTCTTTCTCACTCCCCAGTCTCTTCACCTGTTCCCGCCTCTCGGGAGCATGAATCCTTCATGCGCAGATTCCTTAGCTTAAAATTGGAGCACAAATAAGAAATTTATGCAAGTGTGACTTTTTGGTGCTGGAAACAAGCGTTTCTGCCAATATCAGCTTCCATCCAAGGTCAAATAGCACCTAGAGGAAGGGATTCTCATCAGGATCCTGAGGGAGGAATTAACCCTAACCCCCCCTCCACTATGCCTGCTATTTAAGAAGAAACAAATGCAGGTTTTTCTAGTTTGAGCCACTGCTGTACTCTGTCAGGTTTTTGGGGAGATGGGATTGGGAGGAATATGTAAACTGGATTGAAATTTGTATATCAAAAAGAGGACTGTGTAGGCCAAGAATGTGACTATAAAGTGTGTTGGTATAGGGTACCCCGATGCAAAACATGGGTGCCCGTAAATAGTATTTAGGGTTCCCAGTTCACAAAAAATGCTTGCTGAACTGGAAGTAGCTTTCAAGTGTTCAGGGAAAGCTCTAACAGTTGTATTCTTTACGGCAACCCTGTAAAATAGGTTGATATTACTATCCCTCATAGCGTAGTTGGGGAAATGAAGACAGAGCGAGATGGGGTGGCCTAAGGCAGAGATAAGATTCAAAGCAGAGACTGATTCGCAGTTCATTCTTTTAGCTGCTGCGCTGCATTGTTGGTTGAGGTTATCTGCGGAAGTGGTGGGATGTTGTTCCTAAATAAAACAAAATATTGTGCGAACTGCAGCAGTGAAAATGGTTCATGGCACAGGCTGTTGAAGGAAGGAAAGGGTGTGTGTGTATATATATATTCTCATCTTTCTAGTCAATTGTTTTTATGACTTTGTACAAGTTTGCATAAAACTGTTTTGTCATCCGTTATATATGTTAGTAGGGTCCCAGATTTTTCAAGCACCTTTAATTTAGATACTGTGAGGTTATGCAGTGCCCTCATTAAAGAGTGCCGTTGCTTAATGAAGGGTTACTCACTGCATATGTATATAGTTTTAATTCTATCAATGTTTAATTGCTTTTTAATTATTGTTTTCGTTTTGAGCAGTTCTTGATTTTATCTGTAAGCAATCTTGAGTCCTGGCAGGGAAGAAGGCAAGGTATAAATATAATGATGATGATGATGATGATGATGATGGTATTTGCAGAAAGCAGCCTGCTGGCCAGTTTCTACTGAGCTGCATAGTCTCTGTCGGTGTTGGGATTCCTCCAAAGAGAACTATGTAGAATTTGGTCTGATCTTGCAAATACCTTGTTCTTAAGAGTGTATGGTTGGAATACATTGGCTGTTAAAGAGATTGTGTATGTGTGTGTACATTGGTTTTTGTTGTGTAAATTCGAAACACATTGGTGGACCATGGGGAGTCTTTAAAGCAGGGAGGGACATAGACCACTCAAGAATGAAGTCAGCCCTCTCCCATTCTAATGTAATACTGAAGGTTATCCACTGTCTGATAAGTTATTGCTTCTGGGAAATGATTTTGAACTGTGTAATTCTACATATTAGGTGTGATAATTTTGCACGCACACATTCAAAAAATAAAACCCCAGCCTTAAAACTTGTGTTTGGTAAGAGACCTGCTGTATGTAACAATATATTGTTGTATAACATTTTTTCAAAAGCAAATCTCTGTAAAAAATAATTTTGCTTACTTGGAGGGTTCCTTAATTCTCAGCATGTGTTAAGTAACCCACTTCTCTATGCCTATATGCCTTGTCCCATTTTATTGCAATCATATATCATGTACTCTTAGCAGTCAGAATTGGATGGACTCTATTATATTCAATCTTCCTTTCAATAAAATAAATAGGTAAGCCATTCTGAAGCCCCAGGCAGCATATGGTACATTAATCAAAGATTTTGAAAGCATAGCTGTACTTCTAGAAATGTGGGGTGAAAACTCCACTTGAATTGCGCTGGAAAATCAGACCATCCAATCTATGAAAAGGTTACTTGTATTTTCCTTTGCTTGCTTACTCCGTTAATCTGCAGTGTAATTTGTGATTGTTCCAGTGCTTCTGTGGTTCTCTGATATTTTTTAAAGTGTGCATTAAATCTGAATATATATTTTTTCTAATAGTTTTCAATGCTACTGTGGTAAAATAACCATACGTCAAAGAAAGTGTAGTTGTGAGAAAAACCTGTGTTCCATGCACAGCAATGCTCGCATGGTGTACAGTGGTACCTCAGGTTAAGTACTTAATTCGTTCCGGAGGTCCGTTCTTAACCTGAAACTGTTCTTAACCTGAAGCACCACTTTAGCTAATGGGGCCTCCTGCTGCTGCCACACCGCCGGACCACAATTTCTGTTCTCATCCTGAAGCAAAGTTCTTAACCCGAGGTACTATTTCTGGGTTAGCGGAGTCTGTAACATGAAGCATATGTAACATGAGGTCCAGCGCCGAGGGCCTTCTGGCGGTTCCCTCATTGCGAGAAGCAAAGCTACAGGGAACCAGGCAGAGGGCCTTCTCGGTAGTGGCGCCCGCCCTGTGGAACGCCCTCCCACTAGATGTCAAAGCGATAAATAACTACCTGACATTTAGAAGGCATCTTAAGGCAGCCCTGTTCAGGGAAGCTTTTAATCTGTGATATTTTACTGTATTTTTTGTTTCTATGGAAGCCACCCAGAGTGGCTGGGGAAACCCAGCCAGATGGGCGGGGTACAAATAATAAATTATTATTATTATTATTATTATTATTATTATTATGAAGCGTATGTAACCCGAGGTACCACTATATTGACACAACATCACATTTCATGAGTTGGGGATGGTAGAAAAGGGAGCCAGCATGATGCAGTCGAAGAGCTTCTGAAATGGCTGATAAACGTGTGGAATTGTTTATGCCACAAAAGGAATTGTTGTTATTTGTATTTATGAATTTCTCTTCCACCAAGGGACCTTGGGGTGATTCACAGCAAAATATTCATAAAACAACAACTCTTTAAACCTGCTCAAACCACAGAGTCAGTAAGTGAATAAAAAACCTTGGCTATAGATGTGGGTTTTTTGGAAAAAAACAAACCATGGTCTCTGGGTTGGACATAATGTTAACTCAGGGACCATGGCTTGTTTCTTCTGTGAGCAAAGCAGCCAATATCTGTGCATTCATTATAAACTTTCATTATGGTTTACAATGACATGTGAGCAAGATATCTTGTGGCTTGTGTGTCAGAAATGAAACATGTTTTAAGATCACTAAAACCAGGATGGAAAAATGATTATGTGACACTAATACCTGTGTATTAAGTCTCTGTTCTGACAAGAACATTCCATCTTTCATCTCCTTATTTCCATAGGAGACAACTATACTTGTAAAACAGAGATATATTAACATTAATAAGGTCAAATGTTTTATTTCTCATATAGTGGAAGCCCTAGGGCTACACTGGTAACTTTTCACTGAAAGTCTAAGCCCAGCTTAAAAAAAAAAGTTATCAATTCTATCTCAAACTTTTAGCAAAGTTGAAGCTTTAAATATCCTGATTTACAGTATTTAAACTGGTACACCATATGGTGTTCCTGTTTGATTTCCCCCTGTGGAAGTCGCGCATCTAAATAAATGTGATATATGAATGAAAACATTTATAAATAGCCTGGCTTTCAAGTATTTACATAAAAATAGAATTTTGGAACAGTATGGCTATGAGGACCCAGTTGCCTTTTAGACAATGACCCAGGATCCTCTGGGGCCAAACAGATTCTGAGAGATTACGGTAACTCATTTAGGAAAATACTGTTTGCAGCTACCAGTAGTACCACTTGCTCACATAATCAAAATTGTCTAAGGGATGGTTAATATTGTAATGGGAATCCAGAATTCTCTACCCACATACTCTGGCTTACTGTTTCTGTTTTATTCATACCCAGAGAATAAAAATCTCCCTTTTCAACTTTATAGCACTTGATGGAAACAGTAAATATGGCCCAGCAAATAATACCAGTTTCCCCTCCTTTTTAAATAGGTCTATATCTATATCATGTATATCTATATATATCTCTCTATGAATCCTGGAAGTTTTTGTTTCCTGTAAACATGACAGTGGTGTTTGCCATGTGATACTTGCTTACAAAAATGTTTGGAAATAGAATACGGAAAAATCCCTGGGTTTAAAAACCGGTAAAAGTTTGCAACTTTGCCTTCAGGCTTGCATTTTTATCTGCTCAAGGAAATGGCTTTTGAATTTCATGCTCTTAGCCCTGCAAACCAAAAAATGGCTGACAAGTCAGGGATCTATAAATATATTTTCGTTGCTAGAATAAAGGAAAAGGTAAAGGACCCCTGGACAGTTAAATCCAGTCAAAGTGACTATGGGGTTGCAGCGCTCATCTAGCTTTCAGGCTGAGGGAGCCGGCGTTTGTCCACAGACAACTTTCCGGGTCATGACTAAACGGATTTTGGTGCAACAGGACACCGTGACACCGTGACAAGTGCCAGAGCGCACAGAAATGCTGTTTACCTTCCCACCACAGTGGTACCTATTTATCTACTTGCACTGGTGTGCTTTCGAACTGCTAGCTTGGCAGAAGCTGGGACAGAGCAACGGGAGCTTACTCCATCATATGGATTTGAACAGCCGACCTTCCAGTCAGCAAGCCCAAGAGTCTCAGTGGTTTAGACCACAGCACCAACAGTGTGCACCTCATTGCTAGAAGCCAGTAGCTTTGACTGAATGCACATAGGGAGCAGTTTGGCTGATTTGAGAAGGCCCTGTTTTCACGTTGTAACCTCTCCAGCACAGGCACTTTTTATCTTTGCAGCTCTCACAGTTAATACCTTTGAGAACTAGGAACTAGCAAACATCATTTGTGGTTTGTGGTTTTAATCACAATTGCATACTTTTAGGGTGCTTGAAGTCTATCCTCATGAATAGGGTGATTGTCCTGGAATAAGCCTTATCTGTTACTTCATATAATTGCAGTGAAAACGACCCAGGCTTTAGGTTAAGGAAGAACTGAGTAAAGTTTCTAGAAGTGTGTTTCTTGCAGTCTGTAGGCTGTTGGCGTTTGCTTAGGATCAGCCTTGAAAGCTAAAACATTGATTTACCTGGGTGGTTGTGGCGCATCTTATTTTAATTTGCATTTGTGTTTCCTAGCTTGAGTCTGTTGGATGGCAGCTTAACCTTCAGATGGCTCAATCAACCCAAGCAAAACAAAAATCTCCTCAAGCTGTTTTAGAACTTGGAATGAACAATGAAGATTCAAAGGTAAGAAGCCTCAACTCATATCCATTGCTGCATTGCTGCATTGCTGCTGGTGATGATTCAGCTGGCTCCAGTTTTCAGATATCAAATATAGGTAACAAATTTAAATAGGCCTTGGTGTGTAGAGCTGCTGAGGTATCACTGCCCTGCTGAATGATCTGGGTTTCATGATTCTTATATGTGTGCCATGCAGGGAAACTCTTCTCTTGTTTTTGTAGTGAATTACTGTATCAGGGCTTTCTTTGGATCATTAAGGTGAAAGATGCTTCAAAACCGTTACACAGAATATTTATTTAAATTGCCATTTTCAGATCACCAGTAAATCTAAAGAGTATACCCTTAACCATCCAACTCAACTGTTGCAGCAGTTCAAAATACCTTTTTAATAAATTCAGGTAGGTAGCTGTGTTGGTCTGACACAGTCAAAATATATATAAAAAAATTAAAAATTGTCCAGTAGCACCTTAGAGACCAACTAAGTTTGTTCTGGGTATAAGCTTTTGTGTGCATGCACCCGTCTTCAGGTAAGTCCATCAACCTCACAAAGAAATTTGCACAGGTACAGACTGATATCTCCTTTCTGACTAAATGCAAATACCTAAGGACATTATACCTAAGGGTCTTAGAATTAAGAACCCTGTACAATTCACCTATCCTACTAGGTATCTGAAGAAGTGTGCATGCACAACGAAAGCTTATACCCAGAACAAACCTAGTTGGTCTCTAAGGTGCTACTTTTTAATAAATATTATGAACGGCCCTGATTGTTGATTGAATCACAGAACTCTCACCTTCTTGAGCTACTTCAGAAGAATACCCCGGTCTGTAGTCTCGAAAGCTGCTGAGGGGTCAAGAAGAAAGAGCAAGTTTACATTCCTCCCCCCAGATGCTGTCAGCCACAGCAACTAAGGCAGTTTCAGTGCCCTGAATTGGCCTGAAGCCCAAAAAGGATCCAGATATTCAATGTCCTCCAAGCATGCCTGAAACTGGACACACACACACACCGAGCACCTTGCCCCAAAAGGGAACAGTTGCCGCTGAACAATAGTGGGCACTTCTGAGTCCAGGAAAATCCTCTTCTGGAGTGGATGTATCACTGCCTCCAAGGTTAAGTACAAATAAATAAAATAAATACTACAATATCTTAACCATAATACAAAGATTACACAATCCTAAAGGGCACTCAGCACATTTGAGATAATAGTCGATACCCATTACAATGAACTTCAATTTAGAAATATAAACTGTACCAATCTGTGCAGCTGAATTTGTGTTGGGGGAATGAGAACTACTCATTACTGGTGCTCCTGTCTCCTTTTCTGTCCTTTCTGACCCGTTCCCAAAATAGTCGGCCATCATTACCCACATAGGCAGGACTTCCGTAAAATGAATGGCATATTGCGTGTTCTTAGCATCGTCCTGATGCTGAACTCCAGAGCTCAGCACAGTCCCGTCTTTTGACCTTATGGGATGCCACAGGACCAATCCTAGGGAAAATGCCTGTTGCCATCCTCTGTGATCTCCCTGTTAGAAGTGGGGAGATTTCTTCCAGAATAGGCTCTCTAGCAACAGTTTCCCTTCACCATTACGAGCGTTCACAGCAAAAAGTGGAACACAGTACAGTGGTGCCTCGCAAGACGAAAAGAATCCGTTCCGCGAGTCTCTTTGTCTTGCGGGTTTTTTCGTCTTGCGAAGCAAGCCCATTGACGGATTAGCGGATTAGCGCTACAGTATTAGCGGGCTTAGCGGATCAGCTGATAAGCGCCTTAGCGATCAGCTGTTAAGCGGCTTAACGATCAGCTGATAAGCGGCTTAGCGATCAGCTGTTAAGCGGCTTAGCCGATCAGCTGATAAGCGGTTTAGCGGCTTGGGGAAAAGGGGGGGAAAAGGAAAAAAACCCCGCAGGAACTCGCAAGACATTTTCGTCTTGCGAAGCAAGCACATAGGAAATTCGTTTTGCGAAGCACCTCCAAAATGGAAAACCCTTTCGTCTAGCGGGTTTTCCGTCTTGCGAGGCATTCGTCTTGCGGGGCACCACTGTATTTTGGAATGCAGCCTGTGGCTTTGCAAAGCTCTCTTATAGCCTATTGAAGTGGATGCTGGTACAACTTGCTCCTTGCAGAGGCATGATATGTAACGTTTTGTGCTCAAGCCCATCATTTTAAAAGGATCCTGTGAGTTCCCTTCCCAGAGAAATGGGACCTGGTAATCCTTATCACTTTTCCTATACGGATTATAAACAGGATTCTAGATTAATAGTGCCCCAACTTGCAGATTTACCTCCAGTTAAGCAGATAATCTCTTGCTGTATAAATTTTTCACTTGACGTAGGAGTTCCTTTTAAAATAAAGTGTTTTTATTATTGTTCTGGAAAGTTTCCTTGCCCTTTCCCTCAGCCAGTAGGTGTCATGCTGATTCGAATGTGCTTAGAAAGGAGTGAGGCAGTATGTTGTACTCCACCCTTTCCCAAGGCACAGTGAGAGGTCCCTCTCTTCCAGTCCTTTGTACTGAACTCTTAAGAAGAGGTGTGGTAAGCAGTGAAGCATCTTTCTGCTTTCTGAGCCCTTGGAAGACTTAGTGCCATGGTAACAACATACACCCTGTTCCTCTTGCCTGTTTGAGGCAAATGTGCAGTCTTGACTTTGCAGTCATGTGGACTCTTGAGAGATGGTCCACGTGATCTTGGGCAGGCACCCCCCCTCCTTGGGAGAAGGGTAGGATCTGTGGCAACCATGAGCTTTGGCTGACTACGTGGAGCTCTGATGGCATATAATACACTTGTTCTTTTGCAGGCAGTTTTTCAGTCCTCCGTATGTTTGCAGACATTAACAACTTTCTGCGTACATTGCATCTTGAATCTTAACAAAAACCAACTGAAATAAACTTGAACTATGAAGAGCCTTTTGTAAAAGTATGTCCCCTCATTAAATGAATGCTCTGAATTTATTTTGAGGAATGTATAAAATCTTGCTTTCAAGTGCGATGAAACACTTGTGCCTTTATTCTTCTAATCCTTCTCAGCTTCCTCTTCCTCTTTTAAAGCTATGCTGTCATACATTTATTTATTTATTTATTTATTTGCTGAGGAAAGCAACGACTTCAAAATCTGATTTTACTAATAGTAGTTGGTGGATAGCTATTTATTGACCGAAATGTGTGTTGCATTGGCTCGCTAGAGGGCAGTAGTGCTCTTCCAAGTGTCTGTGTTTCTTTGACACATTGAATGCTTTTTCCCCCTCCCTCAAATAACATTGTTGAATTAGTTGTGAAGTTAGTTGTGGTGGGAAACAGTGTTTACCTTTCTAATCTACATACAACAATACGGTTCTGTTATACCTGCCTGCTCATTTTAATGCTTTTTAAATCAATGCAATGCTTTTCTCATCAGTGGAAGCCTTCTTGCCCCTTTTTAAGGAATCCCAGTGGTCTACATACCTAAGGGATTTCTTATTAGCTTGGACTCCTCAAAAGAAGCCACAGAGGCATATTACCATTTTTTTGCTTATTGTTTCAGTATGGGAACCAAAGAAGAAAGTTTGCAGTGTGAAACTTTGTGTGCTGCTTTTGGCCACAGAAGTTTCCAGTGCAGAAGAGGCAAGCCACTCTTCAGTATAAAAAGCAGCTTGTCTCTTTGGCAACAGAAATCTTGTGAAACAAATAGAAAAGCCAAACTGTGTTATGCCCATGTAGGCCTTATCTGGATCATGGCAGCAGTACTGAATTCTGAGAGCTGATGGGTGCAATCACTGATTCCCTATGTTTTGTTAGCTTTTAAATGCAGGGTTTTGGATACTGATTTTTTTGTTTGTTTGTTTCATTAAATAATATATAAACTGCCCACCATTCAAAAATATTGTGGCGATGTACAAAAAAGAAATAAATAAAAATAAAGTACAAGATACAGAGATACAAAAGAAGAATATATTAAATCCACTTGTAAAACCCATCATTCTTTTAATCCCATTATGTGGTCAGATACCATCTACACATAATTTTAAAAGAAATTTCCAATAAATGACTATTCGGAGATAATTTAATATTCCATTTCCTTACGGGTTCCTACATCTTAAGGCATATTCCATCAATGGGAGGAGAATGAAGTGTGTAACTTGATAAGGTGCAACTTTTTTTGTTGAAGTGCTGGATAGTCGTCATTCATCATCATTCATCTCCCAGGGCTGTCTGTCTCCTTCCTTCTTCCCCCTTCTCTCTGCCCCTTCTCTTTCTCACTTCAAAGTGGGCTTGATCCCTGCGATCAGTTTCCCACCAGCTTGCCAAGTGAGTCGGTGCTATTAGCTTCCCCGTCTTCACTGGTGGCCACTGCTGATGTAGAGCACAGACATGGGAACTTGCCCCACGATCACCTTACTTGTACAGTTAGTTCCGCTTCATGCTATGGCCAGGAGACTGGCAACTTTCTACAGGGGTGCTGATTTCCTGTGGTGAAAATGATGTCTAGCATGGCTTTCTTCTTTAAGTCTGCCCTGTGCTGGAATAGTTGGGAGCGGAAACAGTTTTCTTGCCAGTGCATGCTCAGTTGCTATTGTGTGATCTGTCTGCTTGCTGGAAAAAATAAGCGCAGAGTTTTTAAAAACATTCCTTGCTGGAAAAATAGAAAAAAGCAACACTTACGAAGTGAGTATAAGGAAATGAACGGATTAAACTGTGAGGACTCACCGCTTACGGTTAATGCTCTAGTGTTAAGAGATTTGTGTTGTTATGTCAGAGCTCTTTGACTCTTGGGGAATATTTTGCACTATAGATTACAGGGTTCTAACAGTAAGGGAAAGGAGGCTCTCCAAAATTTAGCAGTGACTGAACTGATGAAGAGAGATTTTGGTAAATTCAGATCTAATCACTTCTGGTAGATTATATTTATCATAAAATAAAAATTCCATTTTGCTTTGAGTTTATATTTAATCCGTCTTCCCAGGGTGCTGCCATGAAATCGCCTTGACAACAAAGGATAATTTATTTTACAAAAAAATTGGATTAGATTCTGTTTGCAGAGGGTGCACTATTTGTGGGAAGAGTTTCAAACTGGAAACACTCTGGATGAGAAACATTGTCTTTGCAAAATGTATCTTACTGGCTCTTCTTTCCTTTTTTTTTTTTTAAGCGTCTCCCTTCATTCCCGCTTACTGTTGTTACTGTGCCATAAATTTTCCCTTTCAGTGCAATTTGGTGCATGTTTGCTTGGAAGAAAGCCCCACTGTGTTAAATGGAACATACTTCTGTGAAAGTGTGCATAGGATTGCAGTCTTAACTTTTTGTCGTAATGACTGTGTTTATTTCCTCAATTGCCACTATTTCAACCGAACATATATTGTGAAAGTTCTTTTTAAGCTTTTAAACTATGGATGGATGGATAGTGTGGATCAATTGACTATTATACTGGAAGTCTGCAAAGAGATATTGATTGATTGATTGATTATTAAATTTGTTTACCGTCCTTCATCTGTAGATCTTGGGGAGGTTCACAACATAAAAACACAAAACATATAATAAAAACATGAACAATAAACCCCCTCCTGCTTCTTAATGGCTATTAGAATATTGCGTAACCTCCAGGTTGCAGAATCTTTGGGTTATGACTGCGCCGCACGTGTGCGCAGAAGCAGCACCTCTAGTTACGGGTTTTACAGGGTGCGCATGGCACCCTGAAATGAATTAAATCCATAACCAGAGGTACCACTGTAGTTCATTGTATCCTGCATGTAAATAAAAGAGCTATGCTGACACAGCGCGTATTAAGTGGACTACTAAATGTCATTTCAGGATTTTGGTCACATAAAGTTGCAGTTCTATGCCTGCTTCCCTGGTAGTGAGTCCTGTTTATCTTTCCTTCTGACTTCCGTCAGAGTAGACATGTATTGAACTGTGCTGTAAAAGGCTTTGAATGTCCTGCCCCCCCCCCCCAAAAAGAGGAATGTGTAAAGTAAAGGCTGTGTAAAATCCTGGAAGTAAGCCTTTCTCTTCTAAAACCTGGTGAACCGAATGCTGCTCCCCACCCCCCTCAACAACTTCCATGTACTTTAGATTTATTCATACCATCCTGCAACTTCAGTTTGACAACAAATGAATAATGGCTACGTTAGGTAAAGGTAAAGGGACCCCTGACTATTAGGTCCAGTTGTGGCCGACTCTGGGGTTGCGGCGCTCATCTTGCTTTATTGGCCGAGGGAGCCAGCGTACAGCTTCCGGGTCATGTGGCCAGCATGACTAAGCCGCTTCTGGCGAACCAGAGCAGCACTGCGTTAGACCTTTGTTAATTCCAGTGGCAGCAAATTTTCCAGATTTGAGCCCTTTAGATTTTCTACATTTTGAACAGCGAAAAAATGAGATCTGTATCCATTGAATAATTGTACTCTTCTGTTCATCCTACGTAAATTTTCATCTCTTTTGAAAATATGAAGAGTAACTGTGGACATAATAAATAATAATAGTAATTTATTATTTATACCCCGCCCATCCGGCTGGGTTTCCCCAGCCACTCTGGGTGGCTTTCAACAAAGTGTTAAAAATACAATAAAACATCAGACATTAAAAACTTGCCTAAATAGGGCTGCCTTCAGGTGTCTTCTAAAAGTCAGATAGTTGTTTATTTCCTTGACATCTGATGGGAGGGTGTTCCACAGGGCGGGTGCCATCACTGAGAAGGCCTGGACAGAATCCAACATTGTGACTTTAACTCTTGCAATGAGACAGTACCATCCTGTTCTCTGGCAGCTCCCACAGACACCCCTAGTGCCCCCCCAGCAAATTTTCAGGGTGCACAAATAGTTGCAGAGAGGAGGAGGTGCTGTTGTGTGATCCCTATATCACTACGTGAATATCTTCTAGAGGGAAAGCTGTCTGTTGAAGCAAAATGTATGAAGTGTTTTGTGGCACCCTGAAAACTCATAATTGTGTTCGTCTTTAAGGTGCCTCAAGACTCTTTTTGATTATGTGAATACAGTATCTGTTACATTCTTAAAAAAAAAAAAAAGTAGTAGCTGTAGTCTGTATTGGTCATGTTGCCTCCTAAAACATGTATCTAGTGAAACCTGCCAGAAGATGAAATCCACCACGCTGTGCGATTTGATGCATTTCAGTGGACTACCACACAAATTCTTTCCTTTGAAAAGTGTGATTGTGCAAAATAAACCTATTAAAGGAATTTACAGAATCTTCTTGACAATCTTTAATTTAAGCAAAATCAAATGATACTGAAATGTAAAATACAAACTTGCTGTAGATTTATTTTATGATTTCTTTCTCTTGTGGACTCTTATCTAGCCCTGCTTTATAGCAGCCTGATAAAAATCAAAGCATAAACATGCCACTGAGATTTATAAACTAAAATTACTGTTCTTTTCAAACTGAAAACTTTTTTTCCAGTCTGTTCTAATCAAATGCTATATTGGCCCTTTCAAGTCTGTCCACAGGGTTCTGCCTTCTGAAAACGTTTCAGCTTGCTAACTTTGCCATACCTGTCGACAGCCTTTTTAAACCAGTAGTGCACACCAGGAAGTATAATTTTATCCGTATCCTATATCTGTGCTCTCTGCCCCATCTCTGCTGGAAATTTTCCTTTTCTTTCCTTTCAAGGAGGGCAGACAACGCATATCCTCATAAATCTTGGAATTTCAGAAAATGCATGGGTACCTACAAGGTGGGAAGATGTGATTATTGCAGCCAGCAGCACTGACAGTGTTACGCTTTAGGTTGTTCTTGGCAATTTCTGAAACTTCAGTTCGTTTCTTATAAAATGCAGAGGTCTTAAAGTGGGGTGTGTGTGTGTGTGTGTGTGTGTGCACGCACAAACACACACTTTGTATGTAGAAGTGACTGTTTTGGTACAATCTTCAAATCTTATTGCAGCCCCCAAACTGCTTTGATCTTTCTCTGCCGTTCCCCTGAGATACCAGTGATGCTGTGTAGTGATTTTGTAGGGAGTGTAACTTTTTAGAACAGCTGGGAATATGAGTGAAAGCAGACTATAAATAGAAGCGGGAAGTAGCAATGGGATTTTCCCTTAAGCCTAGGTGCTTGTCGCTCAGTTCTGCTTTCATGGTTACTTCTGTACTGTTTGTGACTTATTCTTGCCTTGCATATTGGCTATTGCACATTGGTGATTAGGATGCCTCTTCTGCCACTGAACCTTATTGCAACATTTTTTTTTAAAGCCAATTACGTTTTCAGTTTGGATCTGGACTTTTGCAAACTCGTTTGCAGATAATGATAAGTGATCCCTGAAGCAAGGAAACATGCTTCAGATATGTGGCAGATGAGACTAGAGACCATCTGATTGAGAAAGCATCTAATGCCTTTCCAATAAAAGCGGGTGTGGTGCAGGGAAGTTCCAGTATAAAGCAGACGGCGAGTTATAAAGCAAGCTGGTTGAAAACGGTTACTTCAGCAAAGTCAGTGTTTTTAGTGAGAGTACTGTACATTTTCACTGTAGGCCTTCGCAGTACCTTGCAAGTTATACAGGATATCCTGCTAAGCTGGTTCAATGTACTAATTGTAAAAAAGAGAGGACATTTTGCTGAAGTATATCATCGTAGTCAGTCTAACTAGAAATCACACATAGTTATAGTACCTGGTGTTATTATTTTGAGTGTGGACAGGATTAGTCACACACCTTGCATTATTTTTTTAAGTTTGCCGTTAATATTTTTGCTACAGCTGCAAGGTTACCAAAGGATATGGAATGAATGCTGAATATTAGCTCAGGAATTTCTATATTACCTGAATTGGTTTCTTTGCATTAATTTATGCCATTGAGCACACCAATCATAATTTTGGCTTAGTAGCTGAAGAATCAGATTCCCCAGTGTGATTGTTTACCTGTAAAAAGCGACCTTTTGCTCCTCTCGTGCACCTAGAAGAGTTCTGCATCGTTCTTCATGGCCCTCCTATTCTTGGCAGACGTGTATTTGATGCATTGAATGTATAGTTGAGGGACACATCCCTCCTCAGTCAAGTGCTGCTGCTGCTGCTGCAGGACAAACACAGTTTCAGCTGCATCAGAGCACCAGTGTGAGGGGAAACTTGGCTTTTGTTCTTAAAATTAAACTGAACAGCATGTGATACCTGCAGATCAGAAGCTATGTTGTTTACTGTTCGAAATTAGAGAAGCTGTGTTGGAAGGCATTAAAAACTTGATACGAAAGGGTGTTATTGAGGAGGCTGGTTAATCTGAACTGGTCTCATGATCTAGTAGACAGAATTTTAAACTAGCAAATGTATTCATACTTGTTCATAAGAACATTGGGCAGTACCTTTATTAGTCCCGATAATCCCACAAAGCAATGAGCAGGCTAGAAATTGCACATAGCAACAGTTGGGGACCCTGGGAATGGAGTTAGTGCAGAAATTAGGTTGGATGTGGAAGCCTTGAGGTCTTCATTTCAATTCAGACAAAGAAGATTGCAGGCTGAATTAATCCCTGCTGGGTAGTTGCAGGTATTCAGTAATACCTAATGTTCTAAGATGACAAAACAATGGCTGATCCCCATTTGGAAAAACCTAAAGGCTGGTTGTTACCCAGCTCTGTCTAATGCTTTGAGCAAAAACGTGCAAGTTTCTGGTTAGGCAGGAAGCAGCTGCAAAGTAAAATATGGCAGTATTTATATTAGCAAAGCTGGAGATTAATTGTGGGTAGTACAGTAGGTAAAAGTCATCTGAAGCCAAATTGTGTAGTATTGGTCATTGGAGGGCATGTAATCCCTCAGTAGTAGTAGTAGTAATAATGATGATGATAATAATAATAATAATAATTTATTTATACCCCGCCCATCTGGCTGGGCTTCCCTAGCCACTCTGGGCGGCTTCCAACATAGGATGCAGAATCCCAGTTCAGGTGGTAGAAAATAATCTCTGGCTATACAGTGGTAACTCGGGTTACATATGCTTCAGGTTACATATGCTTCAGGTTACAGACTCCACTAACCCAGAAATAGTGCTTCAGGTTAAGAACTTTGCTTCAGGATAACAACAGAAATCGTGCTCCAGTGGCATGGCGGCAGCAGGAGGCCCCATTAGCTAAAGTGGTGCTTCAGGTTAAGAACAGTTTCAGGTTAAGATCAGACCTCCAGAATGAATTAAGTATTTAACCCAAGGTACCACTGTATATTCCACTCAGTATGTTGTCTCCCAGGCATATAAACAAAGGCATCTGCATCTGTTCATAAGTTTTAAAAAAACACCACCACCCAAATCCGCAGTCCCTTCATTGGGACCAACCAAATGTCACAAAATAGCCAGCAAGGTTTCAAGTTCTCCAGTGCTCTTCATCAGGCAGGAATGTTATACAAAGCAAGGGCTGAGGGAAATGAGGAGGAAGAAACCCAAACATGCAAAGAATAGGAGTCGTGAAACTCACTGGGTGACCCTGGGCTAGTCATTCTCATCTAAACTACCCCTCACCCTCAGAGTTTGGTGTGACTTGGCATCGTGAGGTCCTTGGAAGGGAAGGTGGGCGGTAAAAACATAAAATCAGTAATGCAGATTATTGGAAGATTAGGTTTCATCTCCATAAAACTTGTATTGTTTGACAAGCTGAATATTGCAGTCCATATTGTTGCATGTTATAAACACTGTATAGGCTTAGCAGGGACCAAATAAGCAGTCACAGTGTTCCAGCAACCATTGCAGACATGTTTCAGGTAGCTGAAGTTACAGGTCAGCACCTCAATCAGTTACAAGGCCAGCAGTTTACATCGATCCCATTGTGCAGTTTGCAGCAAACAAGTTTGCCACCTGCAGCTATTCTACAACTTAACTTCATCACACTTACAGTTGTCGGCACAAAGGTACAGAAGGGAATGTCCTTAAACACAAATGAACACTGTGCGCAAAAAGGACTGGAGGAAATCAGTTGCAAGCTCATCTCTTGAAGCCTGCATGTTTGGCTTAGCACAATCAACTCCAAGCAATAATATTGCAGAATTGCTGAACTATCTGTAAAAAAAAAATTCTTACAGTCTATTTTTCTGTGTTTTTGCGGAATTGCAGAAATTGACTTCAAACTGTTTAGTGAAAGCTTGTTCTAAAGACAAGATTCAATTGCTATTTGGAGAGAGAGAAAATCTCTGAATGCTTGCAGTTAGTGTCATATTATTTCAGCTTACAAGGATGGTTCCTCCCCTCTATTATTGACCCTTTGGATTGAGGACTGCTCTTTGTGTTATGGTTTTGGTGGGTCCACAGTTAAAGGCCTGTGTTGTATGCACACTAAGATGGTAACAATCATTGAACACCCCTCTCTTTTCCATCTCGTATACATCTCCACTCTGGAGAGAGTGATTGGATCTGACTTCTTCATGTATATTTCTGCATTGAACATAAGATGAATAAAAAAAACCACATTTCTTCCAAACGTTACAGATTAGCAGGAGTAAAACACTTGCCTGTCATTAGCATTTATAATTTGCATGAGCTGAAATTGGAGCTCTTTTTACAAATTATTCAAAAAATGCCTTTTAGTTTGAAATATGATATATGTGAATATTAATGCAAAACAGAAAGCAGAAGCATAAAAAAGAATTTATTCATTGCTTGTGAAAATGTTATTTCACTAAATGAAATGGGGTGGACAACATTTTAAAAAATCTATTAGGATAAACTTGGTAAAACAAACAGATTCAGCATTGCAGCCAACTGCTGCTGCTGCTGCTGCTGCTGGGTTTGTTAGGAGAAACACAATTTAAAAATAATGAACAAAACAAAGCACCCTCCCACACGTGGAAAATATTTAGATCTTATCTGGGAACAGGCAGATCCTAGAATAGGCATGTCTTTCCTTCCCTCCCTCCAAAGGTCTTTCATGGTCACTGAAGTATGGGAATAGTTAGTCCTGCTGATCATTGAGGAAGCACGTTATTCCTGACACCATCAGTAAAGCTTTTGTTTAATATCAATCATAGTTCTATTAAAGAGCCATGCATATAGTTGCAATCCTCCTTTGCAAGTCTTTCATGCTTTTTATTGCTAAAAGTCTTTTATCCCCACCCCTTATCTATTTATTTGGAAAGAAATCTTCCAAATTCAGTGGGACTTTGGCCTAGCTGTGTGGACATTGAATTGTAGATTAAGACTGAAATCCTGTGCTCACTTACCTGGGAATGAGCCCGTTTGAACTTTGTGAGACTGGCTTCTGAGTAGACATGCATAGGATGGTGTTATTAATCTTATGCTACTGACGAACATCTGTTCCCTGAATTATTAAAATATCCAAAGTGTAAAATAATTTCTCCCCCTGCCAGCTCCAGGTCTGGCTCTCTGATTGCTAACTTCAACTGTACATTTTATCAAGATTTCTTCCCAAAGAGCAAGGAGCTGCAAATGCACTTCACGTCAGACTTAAAATGATATATGTCTCCTCTTAAACCTTCTAGCTCATAGTAGCTCCGCCTCAAAGCTTCAGCAGTTTATATTGTACTATGACTCAAAATGATAAAGTGAATTGTAAAATGTCGCTATTAGCAGCTACTGGGGTTTCCAGATTCAGAGCTACACTGGAACTTTCAAAGTTTTTATTATGACCTTTTTAGTTTGTGACAGATATAAATAGCATACCTTGAAGAAGTCAATGAAACATCAGGTATAATGCATGGCATTGAGAATAATTACTCTATATATTAACAGGAATCAGTAACAGGCTGGGGGAGGGCCAGCAAGCTGAAGATGAATCCCAACAAGATGGACATGCTATGGGTATTTGGTTCTCAGGTCTGGGAGATTGGCGTTCTTCCTGTCTTCTTGACAGGCATGGATGCCCCTTTCTCTACTTTCTGACTGGCAGTATGTGCTATTTCCTTAAATAACCCGATCCAAAATGTTTGAGTTTTAACACAACATAAGATGGAGTACAATAGGTTGCCCTAATCCAGACATGACTCCATAGCTATTTGCTTCTGTTTTCAAAGGGAGTTGTTCCGAATTTTCTCACATTGTACGTTTGGAAATGCCTCCTCAAAATATCTTCTTTATCTGAAGCCAGATTGGTTGGGTTGAGGAGCAAAGCCACCTTTGTGGTGGCACCTGCTTTATGAAACTCCTTCCACAGAGAAATCCCATCAGGCCAGCCTGATTTTATATTATTATTTTTCCTTTATTATCTCAGTAGGCGTTTGGCAGTTTTGCATTGAGTGATCTGCTACTGCTGAAAACTTGGTTTACGGTGCATTTAGTTTTGTGTGTGCTAGCTTGGTCAAATTTGTTGGGGAAAGATGGAACGTCAGAGTTTGATTTGTTGTAGGCTGCCCTGAGAGCTCTGTAGAGCCAAGCTGGCGGGAAAGGAACAAACAAATAAATCTTCTGTATGTTTCAAAGTAAATTAGAATGTTAACAGCCCTAGTGATGATTCCGGTTAGACGTTCTCTTTAGTACTTCTGTTCCCCCAAAAGTAATAGCTTGTGGGCTCACGATCATCAGTGGACTTGGGAAACCAGCTCTAGTGTCTTCCTTGTCCTCTAACACCCAAGACTGAAGACTCATTTGGCGGTGATAATTTACTTATAGAATATCTGTGATTGGGAGGATTTCATGGCTGCATTAGAGCGCAGCACTTGGGAAGATTTGGAGACATAAAAACTGTCAGGAAAATAAAGTAGAATTATGTTCAATTGTAAGTCCAAACAAGGCCCATATGCTGCTAGAACAGTAAGCCATTGTAAGGTTATATTATTCTTTGAGGAAGTTTTTCACCGCAGAACGTTTCCTTGTCCGCTCTTAGGTCCCTGGAAACTCGTTGTTCAGCACTGTTTGAACCAAATAAAGCCCTTTTGTAAAAAGTTTAAATGATGACATAATGACCACCCAGGTAAGAAATGTGGTAAAGGCCCTTGGTGGGATGGAGTCCATCAAAGGTCTTATTAAAATGAAAAAGGAAGTTTGAATTACATTTCCTCATAGCTCTTAATGTATAATCAAATCATGCTATTTTTTTAAAAAAACTTGGGGAACAAGAATTATAGTTCTCATTTCTTCCAGAGATTGCTCTGATTTTTCTTAATTGCTTAAGAGATACGAAAAAAGGTTTACAAATGGGTAAAAGCTTAATGGTAAGGATTTGCTGAACTAACAAATTGAACTGGAATACAAAAAAGGGAGGTATGAGGAGGTCTGGGGAAATAAGGGTAAAGAAGATATGCTATGGAAAGTTAATGTGTTTTTTAATTGTTTTTATCTTGTATGTTTTTCTTTTTGTTGTTGTTATATTTTAAAAATTTTATTCTTTTTTCTGTATTTTGTATTTTCTTGTATTTTTATTTTTTGTTTTTGTATTCTTTGAAACTTTAATAAATATCATTTAAAAAAAAAATAATGATTTTTCTTAATTGCTACATCAGATTTTGGCCAGAAGGGGATTTTTTAAAAAAGCTTCACAACTTTTGTATTATTTGTGGGCAAGAGGAAGCTAACCTAAGTAATATGTGGTATGTGTGGTCTGAGTTAGGCTTTTATTGTGCATCTTTTAATAAATATATATTATAGAATGGATTTTTTAAAAAAGTAATTAAAAATAGAACTCTTATTGGACGACTGTCTGGCTTCTTAACTAAACTCCAAATCAGAGATTATAATTATAATAATGTTTTATTTTTATTTTTGCAGACGTATTCATCTTAATACCTTATTATGAGAATAGTGGCAATCTGCACATCTGTTAACACTAAAGCTGCATTGTAAAGTGACCCTCATTACTGAACAGCATCATTTAAGGTCAAAGGGCACAATAAGCCTCCTGCTGTTGTCCCTTGTCATAAATTTCAAATGTACCCATAGTGCACATTTTAGAAGTTCCTTAGTTTAATTAACTGGGACTGCAGAAGCACAGAATTCAAAAATAAAGAGGCCAAGTATACCACTGGCTTTTTCACAGTTGTTATTTTTTATTACAAGCAATAAAATGTATTTGTGTATAGCCTTCCCCCACCCCCGTATTTTGAAGTAAACTTAAATACCAGCACACATACACACTTTTCTTATTTATAGCTACAAATCATGTTTTTTAACCTTAAGCTTCATTTGATTATGTTTTTTTAAAATCCTTTGTCTTATTACAGATAGGAGTGACATATCTACTATAGGATAACTGACATTTGTTTGCATTTTGGTGAACGAATTGATGAATATTGTAAAAACCGGAACGCTTCAAGAAGGTTTTAGGCTAATTGCAGCAGCCCGATGAGGTTTGGGATACAGGCAATGGCTGTTTTGCAGGGGTGGTGGTTTGCATTCCTGACCCCCCTGCATGTTGGCGGAGCGCACACAAGTCCGCCCTGGCCACTTACAGGTTGTGGCGATGCACGGGTGTGCGCAGTCACACGTCAATTGGATGCGTGTAAATTGGTCATTGCCTGTACCTCAGAGGACACCGTTTCATGTCAGAAGAGTCTTGGATCCATCCTGTTAACAGCTCAGGATTCATCCAAACCAAATGCACCCTCTTGCTGCTACTTAGGCCTTCAGAGTCAAATCCTTGTGGTGAGTTGTTTCCTCACCCACTTTTTTACACCTGGGTTGCAGCATTACCAGAAACCCAAGCAGCAACAGTTTTTACATCTCTTCTTCTGTTAATATTTGCTTTTGCACAAAACTAGGGACCTGTTGGGATGCGGGTGGCGCTGTGGGTTAAACCACAGAGCCTAGGGCTTGCCGATCAGAAGGTTGGTGGTTTGAATCCCCATGACGGGGTGAGCTCCCGTTGCTCGGTCCCTGCTCCTGCCAACCTAGCAGTATGAAAGCATGCCAAAAAGTGCAAGTAGATAAATAGGTACCACTCCGGCGGGAAGGTAAACGGCGTTTCCGTGTGCTGCTCTGGTTCGCCAGAAGCGGCTTTGTCATGCTGGCCACATGATCTGGAAGCTGTACACCGGCTCCCTTGGCCAATAAAGCGAGATGAGTGCCGCAACCCCAGAGTCGGCCACAACTGGACCTAATGATCAGGGGTCCCTTTACCTTTACCTTTAGGGACCTGTTAGCTGTTTCTCAGCTTTTCACATGCCCCAACTAGGGCTGGGTGATATATTGATATATTGTCCAAAACCGCTTTGAGGTCCATATCATGATATTGGTTTCATAGTTTTTGACTTGGCAATATATTGCAAATGATGATGTGTGTGCATGCTATGCAGCAATCACAATGGGGAAAAAACTGTGAAGCCAGCCAATGCCTCTACATAGCTCCATCCTTATTTTAGACATTGTGATATATCAATGTTTAGCTGGTGATATATCTTGATGTTGAAAACCAGATATTGCTCAGCCCTAGCGCTAACCACGTTTGACTGTGTCAGCTCAGTTTTAAGTCTTATTTTCTCCAGTGTGGAATAATTTTGATACCTGGTAAGGTTTTAAAGATGCCTGATTCCTGACTGAAGAGGACATACACAATCTCTACCAAGAATGCCTAACCTGTGGCCCTCCAGATGTTGCTGAACTAGAACTCCTATCATGCCCATTGCCCAGGGAAGTTGGGAACTGTAGTTCAGCAACATCTGGAGGGCTACGGTTTTACCACCCGTGATCTCTCCATATATGTTGCACCTTGAATAGATGCCCTATTGAGGAGAGAACTGTGTAGCATCGTGAGCTGCATAAAGGAAAAGAAACTGAGCATTTTCACGTTCCACAGTTTTTGGTTGCCTGTAGTTGCAATTAATACATTAATTTTGCACATGTGATTTAGGTATCTGCTGTGCTTTAAACTCTAGGCTGCATTTGGTATTGCAGCATAACCAGTCTGCATCCAAAGGCCAAGCTGACTAGATTCCAAGTCGCTCATTAAATCTTTCAGGTGTGTTACATTACTGAACTTCCAAGATAAGAGTGAATGGCTTCCTATCTGCCACCAGGTTCAGTCTACAGCCAGAGATATAATTTGAGTCGATAAAGTTTGATAAGATTAATGAATGTAATTGGCATATAAAATATCAGGATACAGTATATCAGAAACTGGATTTGTTTAGAAGCCAATCTCTTTTTTTCTCCAACACAGCAATGTTTTGTTTGGGATGGTGCTGTGGGTACTTGCTGTGTGTGTGTGTGTGTGTGTGTGTGTGTGTGTTGTATTCAAGAAGGGGTGCTGCTGTAGTCATTTGATTTGTGAGCTGGGAATGGAGAGGTGGTGTTTCTTAAAGTATTTCCAGCAAAAGGACCTTTCTGGTGGGCTTTGTTTATGTCAGGAACTATAAAAGCAGAGGTGGATTAGGCAAAGAGATGGTGACTACACTGAAGTTTTAACTAGTGGACTTCATGTCTGAATGGGGTTTTGAACTTGGGTATTCCCAGTTCTAGGTAAGACAGTGGAGATGGCAGGCCAAAAAATCCAGTATCAGTTTATATCAAGCTCCAGTGCAAAATAATACTTCTATCTGGGAATACTTGAATCTAGTATGTATGGTTTTGTAATTAATACTTAAGAATTCAATTGCACAATAAAACTTGGTATAACAACAACAACAACAATCAACAGCAACCATTGTAGCCAGCCTATCTAACTGGGTTGCCCCAGCCACTCTGGACGGCTTCCAAAACATAAACATAATAAACATAAACAAAATAAAACAGTACACATCAAAAGGCCGAAGGTTGGCTTGAATTACAAGGAATTGCAAAACTGAGCATTTACTGGCTTCTGTGTTACTATTATTGCCATCTTTGATATGGAGATCCTGGCTTATTTTAAACCAGAGTTCCCTGTTACTGCCAAAACAGAGAACTGGTTTAATGTGTTGGCCGAGGAGCCAGATTCAAATCCCAAATCAGCCATGAAGCTCACTTCATATTAACTTAGCCTTCTCCCCAGGCTCTTGTTCTCTCCCTCCTCTCCCCATCACTTTCCTCCACCACAGGAGACCGGAAGCTTCTGTCTTAGATGAACACTTCAGCACGCTGTCCAAACTTAAACTGTGGTTAATCTTAGCTGTGGCTCATGAAAACAATTTAGCTTCGTTAATTATGGCTTGTTTCCACTAAAATTAACCACGGTTTGTCCAGCTTTGGATGCCACAGTAAACTGTGTTTAATCAAAAATACACAGCAAAGTTTCCAGACTTCTACTTGTGGCCACCCTAGTGAATGACGGAGTGTGTGCAAGGCTTGGAAGAGGCTAGGCTCATTTTCATTGACTCTGAATTAGCCTACTACTTCAAGGTTATTGTGAGGTAGAAAGGAGAGGACCGTGTATGCTGCCCTAAACTCCAGGTAGGAAGGACAAGATATATAAGTGAAATTAATTAATTAAGAGGAGTTGCTTTTAAGTAATGTTGCCACCTGCAAGATAATTTCAACACAATCATGTAGGTACAGTGGTACCTGGGTTGTCGAACGTTTTGGATTTCGAAGGCCAAAAACCCGGAAGTAAATGCTTCCGTTTTCGAACGTGCCTCAGAAGTCGAATGGCTTCCGAGGCGTGTTTCCCAATTTTCTCAATGGAATTTTCCAACCACCCATTGCACCTCGGTTGTTGAATGTTTAGGAAGTCGAACGGTCTTCCATAACGGATTATGTTCGACAACCAAGGTACTACTGTACTTCATAGCATATATTTCAGTGTTTGGGTTAATAATGGGAAAACCTTTACTTTTGCATTTTTAAAGAAGGCACTTTTAGAAATACCACATTTCTCTCTAACCTCCCCTACCCTCCACACCCCCCTAAATATGTGTATGAATAATCAGCTTTTTGCAATCAGGGATGTAGATGCTTGTATGCTGTTCAGAATGAGACACTGTGTCTGGGCAAAATTACTTATCAAACTGAAGATACTTTTTCACTCTAGTAACTTCAGCCAAACTAGGTCATTCAATAAATGTCAGTAAGACAGGAAAGTAAGTTAAATGTCACTTGAAAGAGGCACGTATGCATAAATTTGCGAGGCACTCTAAAAGCTTTTATAGGTAACATGACTAAAGTTTTTTTTTGTATCGGTCTCTAGCGATAAATGAGTGAATGATTACATTAATTTATCAGGAGGTTTTCTTGCTTGCCTACTTGTTTATGTAAAATACCTAACAGTGATGATAAGTAGTGGCGAATGAGAGAGCTTCTATCTTCTTGAAGTGGGTTTGAAAAGGCAGCTAGATTAGAAAAGGTTTCATGAGTGGGTTATTGTAATTGATATTGATTTAGGAAAAGTAACCTAATAGAAGTTACTGTTTTGTTGTGACTGTTCAAAGCCTTGCCATCTTCAAGCTATTACCTCTTGAATTCATGCCATGCTTTACACCTGTCACAATAAAAATATTTTCAGCATATATTGAAATAAAATTACAAGGCAGCTGGTTTTAATTTCTCCTTCTAAAGTGGGTATCATGCCTATCTCATACAATAATCATGCGCAGGTCTTATAAACAGAAGCTTTGTACACTTATTCTTTCTTTCCAAATGCTCAAAACTTAAAAAAAATAGATACAATGTGCTTCCTTTTAGGAAGCTCATTGCTGCAAGTGGCAGGCGTATGTTTCCGTCAGCTACTTGCATTATGTTGGAGAAGCTGTTGCCAATCAGGTAAGCAGTTTTCATATTGGAACCCAAGATGGCTGCCACAAATTCACACTTGGTGAATATTTCATTCCCCATAAGCGTGAGAAAATTAACTCCAATTACAAAACTAACAAGGAGATCAATCATAATGTGTTATTTTTACTAACACATTATGATAATGTTATGTTTGTTATATGTTATGTTAAATAACATAATGTGTTATTTTTATTGTATGCATAAAATACCGCTATTCATACAAAAAAAATGCAGCTAACGAAAACCACACACCCATATACACAATAAAAACCATGTAAAGATTTCAAATAATAGATCAGTTAATTATTAAAGGAAGATATTTTTTTCAATGCTTATAATAAGCTTGGTTTTCACCAGATTTTAAAGGTTAAAACAGAAGATACCTGCTGAATATCTATGGGCAGAGCATTGTGCAGGATTAGGCCAATTGTACTAAAGGCTTGATTTCTTTTTGCTATCATATGAGCTTCATCAACTTGTGGGACAGTCAGCAATGTTCCTGCAGGTTATATTGTTGAGTAAAGCTTCCATGCGGCAGCTGATGCATAGTGAGGTCAGTCTTGCTCATTTGGATGATGGAGAGAGCTCCCTGTAGGGATCTTTTGCTCACTTGAACCCAACTAAGTAGGATGGCCTCCCCTTCTAAAATGAAGATTTTATCTCCTACGCTGGCCCTCCGGTGTGAGAAGGTCTGGAAACACTGGTTAGATGCCGTGGTGGCTTTCATGTTTTCTTGGTGCACCAGGGTCTTCTTGTGATTCCTACTGTATCTTCTTGAGGGTTATGGCTTGAAGAGGCATTAGTGGGAAAGGCAAACAGGAATCAGTCCCTTGGACCAGTTTGTGTGGAGGGCATCCGTGGCTTCTACTTGTGGGTGGTACCTGGAAAAGAACCTTGGTGTTTGGTTGCTGAGGTGAAAAGTGGACAGCTCTAGTTGGATCAACTTGAATTTCCTTTGGACTTGGCAGAACAGTTGGTCAGATAAATGCCGTTCCCCTGGTTGTAGGGTCCCCTTGCTCATTTGCTTCTCCACTGACACGCTCCACATTGACCTCTGCCCATGTCAGGAGCAATGCCTCTTGTTTAGAGCAGGTCCAAGATGTTGGTGTGAAGATACACCCTTCAGGTGAGTCCAGTGGATCTTTCCATTTGTTTCATTTCTGGAAAAGGTTGTTCATAGAAACTTGCTACTAGAAAGAAAGGTGTGTGTGTGGGTTATTTTGTTTTAGCAGTACTTTGTTGGTTGTGAGGTCCTTTTGAAGTTCTGGCTTCAGAACTTCAAAGTGCATAATCACCTGATGTGATGGCTTCCTTCCCCAGACTGTGCTCACCATAGTACTTTAGGTGCGTATGTGTGTGTATTTTTCATTGCGGTTTATGTTCCAACAGCAAAATGAAATTATTTTGGTCCAGGACCGAATGTGCCTCTGTATTAAGGAGCATTTGTAAAATTGACCTCTCTATTTTAGTAGGTATGTGATCTTACGCTGCCACTCTTTTCAGGGAGGTTATTTTTTTGGTAAAACTTCCTAATGGACTACATCCACAGCGGGTGATGGTAATTTAACCGCTTAGTGCTTTTTCTGTCCAGTGATATTTCAACAGAAGTGCTTTCTCTTTAAAACTTTTAAAGACAATGCTTTTAGAAATACTGTGTTGCAATCAACTGATAAGAATGATCAAATAGTAGCATGACAGTTGCACATTTTTATATCCGAACATTTGCAATGTTTGCATATGTTGCGCTCCTTTGTATGCAGAATACAAAGGGCATTGCGTCCTTTTGATGTTGCTTTAAAGAAGCTTTTTAGACATCTGATTTACTGAACAGTATTGCCCACTGCTGTTTGTAACGGTTGAGTTGGTTTAGGAGATTTTAACTGTATTTTTTTTTAATTAACTGTTTATGATTATGTGTTTTATACTGTTACTTGCAAACTGTTCTATGGCTTTAATGAAGAGCATAACATAAAAAAATGATTTTTTTTTTTAATGTGCCACCTCGCACTATGAGAGTTTCATGCAGCAAAATGCATAAACATACATACAGCTGAAGGAATGGAGAGAACCCCACCGGAGTTGATACATGCTTAAAATTGGAGCATCACAAGGGTTGCTTTTGGCCAGCATCCAAAGAGCTACTTTAAGCTTATTCAAGAGTTTGTACCCACCCAGTGGGATTTTAGATTTCAACAGCAGATTTCATCTCCCCATCCCTCCATGCCATATCCTAGATTTCTTTTGCTGCTCCCCTTGGTTTTGAGAGCTTTTTACTATACAGGATGCAAGGCAGCTGTTCATAAAACACAAGTACAGCTTTGGGTACGCGAAATTTGCTTTGGGGTCTTGGCTTCTATGCAGAATAAGAGAAGGCTTTTATTTTGTCCAGAGTTTATGCCATTTAATATGCCTATTAAATGAGGAGTTACTCCTGACTTTTTAAATTAAGCAAGCAAGGGTTCAGCAAAATATTTCCAAACCAAAAATGGCATAATTTGAATTTATATTTTGATTGCATATGTTAGTGCTTACGATGCCAGTGATATTTTTAAACTTCAAAGTCAAATAACTTTGTGGTAGCTACGCACACAAGCTCAAAGGAGTTTAGGTTTGGGCAGATTACTAGTCTAAACAATTTGTCGCGTTAAACCGATTCATATTGATAAATGACAAGCATAATATACTAACTGTACAAATTGTAACTAACATCTTGTAGTATGTGCTTCAGAGTGAAATACTACCTTTTGGGATTATGAAGATAAATGTTTTCTAGCTGTGACTCTATACACATTTACCTGGGAACAAGTCCTACTGAACTTAATGGGACTGACTTATGAGTAGGCATGTGCAATATTGTGCTGTCACTGAAACTTTTATGCTTGCGTTGTGAGTTAACTGTTTAAGATAAGACCTTTACAGAACAGGACATCATCCGTTCCTGACAATCTTCTGGGTAGCTGTGTCAACATTAAGCTCTCTGATCCAACAGTGAATCCCTTCTAATAGTTTTTTTACTCTATGACACATCATGGGAACATGTATTTTAGGTGTGTCAAATGCTTTTCAAGTTGTTCCCCTATCAATGTCTAGTTTTCAAATGGTTTTTGTAGGCAATGAAAGCTTTATTAATTTAGCGACAGCAGGTTTCCGGCAAGATCCGTTGCCTACTTTCCTAGTGATCTCATTATCTTCCAGTCCAATTAATGCAGATCTTACTGTTGCAAGTATCCTTTCCTAGCTTGACCTGCCTCAGAATAGAAATTATTCATTTCAGCATTAACCACAGGTGATTGGAAGCACAACAAGGCCACTCAAAAAGAAGGGAGTGGTCTCTATATGCTTTGGGGGCTTTTGCAGGATGCAGAAGTATATGTGCTTATAAATTGAAAGGGTTTTCCTTTTTCTTTTTAAAGACCAAAATGGTTCTAGGACTTACAGAATTCATTGGCATTTGAAACGTGAGAGAGTAAAGGGACTTGAAAAGAGCATAAATTAGACTCCTGTAGACAGACCATCAATTGAGTGTATGAGGGAGAGCAGTGGAGATATTGAATGTTACAGTGTAAGCCAAGGGGGAGAAAAATGGAGGGCAGGTGATGAGAGGCAGTAGGCCGCCTTAGAGCCCTAACAGCTTATATTGAATCCTGGAGGGAGTATGGGGGGGTTGTCCCCCCCCCACAGCCCGTGCACTTATACAAGAATGTTTCAGCAGGAAATGAAGGAAAAAGGAGCATGTTTCCTTTTCCAGTCTCCAGGACCCCCACCCACCACTATGCCGCTATTAAATGTTCTGCAATGAAATCCTTCTGCTAATACAGTGGTACCTCGGGTTAAGTACTTAATTCATTATGGAGGTCCGTTCTTAATCTGAAACTGTTCTTAACCTGAAGCACCACTTTAGCTAATGGGGCTTCCTGCTGCTGCCGCACCGCCGGAGCATGATTTCTGTTCTCATCCTGAAGCAAAGTTCTTAACCCGAGGTACTATTTCTGGGTTAGCGGAGTCTGTAACCTGAAGCGTATGTAACCTGAAGCATATGTAACCAGAGGTACCACTGTATATGGCACAGGGCTTGGGGTGGGACCAGGATGTGTCCTTTCCTCTTCCTATCCCCTCAAACGTCTCCCTCTCCCGAGAGGCCTACACTGGGTCCCTGTTCCAGGCTAGCTGAAGCCCTGACCAGGAACCCTCCTCCGTTTAGGGACCGGAGATAACTGCAATGCTTTGTTAAAGGTTCCACTGGATAATGCTATATATAATCAGCTAAGCTTCCAAAACAAAACAAAACAAAACAAACCTTAGTGACCCTGAATATTACTCAGAAATCTTTGGCAAAAACAGCCACAAGTAAGTGTTTGACACTGTCTAGCAGTCTTGGAAAATGGGAGCAGCAGACTATGATGTTGTTGTTATCTGTGAACACAGTCTGTCCCTTTCTCAGCTCTGCTCCACAAGCTCAGGCAAGTGTCTTATTCTTTTGTAAACGGAGCACTCCTAGTTCAGGTCTGATCATTTCTGTATGCACATAGTAATGTTTTGCTGATACTGAATCTAAAGAAAAAGATTTCTACTAATACTTCGAACTCCTCTAAGCACTAAACTCTGCGAGGAAAAAGAAGCAAATATAATATTTGGGTTATATGGAGTTCTACGGGTTATATTTGGATAATGTGGAGTTTCTTTAAGCAGACATTATTCCTGCAAATCTTACTAAAGTTGTTCTCTGTGCGGATGTTTCTTAATTTACAGGAAGCACCACTGCAGGAAGTTCAAGGATGTAGCATCCTGTTGAGCAAGAGGGTGTTACTATTTTTTGGACTTACTTCTTGGTTAGTTGGCTCATAATTGACGAATTGATAAAAACAGGAAAAGCATAACTTTTAGACAATATAATCACTTGAGCTGAGATTTTAAATCCCCTTTTGCCAGGAACTCCTTGCTATACTGCATTGTGCTTCTTCTCTTCCTTTAAATTTAATCTCAAAGCCTACTTAGACCTTGCCAAATAGACACAAGGGAGATCTACAATACCCTTGTGGTTATTGTATACATCTGCACAGAAGAGTCGTGTGGGATAGCCCCATGAGGAATTTGACTTCCACATGGTGGGCCTGGGCGATGTAATAAATAAAATAAATAAATAAATTTTATTTATATCCCGCCCTCCCCAGCCAAAGCCGGGCTCAGGGCGGCTAACAACAATCAAATAATCAATCAATCAAATAATCCAACATTCTAAAACATTTCATTATAAAAATTAATTAAAATCAAATTAATGGCAACCGTTAAGCAAAGTTCTGTGCAGGTTGCCAGAGGAGGGAGTCAGGCTGGGCCCTGACCAAAGGCCTGGTGGAACAACTCTGTCTTGCAGGCCTTGCGGAAAGATGTCAGGTCCCGCAGGGCCCTAGTCTCTTGTGACAGAGCGTTCCACCAGATTGGAGCCGCAGCCGAGAAAGCCCTGGCTCTAGTTGATGTACCGATGTATGAGGCAATGTATGAGGGCCAGAGTGTTCTGGTGGCTTCACCCAGCGGTATACTGTGAGTGAAACCACCACTGCTCCTGAGTTCCTCTGCCTCCAGCGCCCAGTGGCAGGAACAAGCAGCCTTGGCCAGGCTTGAAATGGGTGGATGAAGGAGCATGGAGAATTGGGCATGCAGTGCAAGAGGTTTGAAATCGGGGTGGGGGACACGCACCACAGCCCAGAGAAGAAATTGGCTCCTTGGGAAATCAGCTGCCCTGAGGGGAAGATACTGTGGCGCTGGGAAGGTGGCAAACGAACGATGCAAAGCAAGGAGACGGCGATTGTCCTTCCTCTCTCCTAGCTTGCTGGGTGGGTGTGTTGCATCCCCTCTGTTTAGCAACACAATGCATAGCCATATTGTGATGTTTGGCTGGTGATACACTGCAGTATTGAAAAGCTGACATCGCCCAGTTCTACCACATGGTGTATGTAAGAGAGACAGACAGACATGAAACAATGCAAATACCCTGCAGAAGTTTAGATTGCCCATCACAGTTTGTGAGACAGCAACAATCCCATTTACTTGAAACTCCACCATGTCAAATATTTCAGTTGTGTTCGGAGAATGGTGTTAGAATTACTTAAATTATATTATTAATGGTCATTTAATGGATGCACCATTATCATGTCCCATTATGACTTTGCTTCATATTTCTGGTCCCTTTTTACATAACCATCTTTGAAGAACTTGTGACAGTCTCTTTCCCCTTGGGCTAGAAATAGTTCATAAACGCTGCTGTTTTGCTGTGGTTATAAATGTTTCTGGGTAGTAACTTAAAGTATATCCTTGTTGGTGCTGAATGCTTGCCTACTGTTCTGATTTATAAGCCCAGCTCTTTGTGGTGTCATGATTTCAAAACACTTCACAGAATTAAATAGTCCCTTTGGACTAAAAGTTACAGACGACCATAACACCCAGTTAAAGAGTGGAGAGGAAATGTTACAACCCCTTTCTTTAACCTTGAAGGGAAGATGCCATTGCTCATAGGTAGACAATCTGCATTTGCATGCAAAACACTTAATATTCAAACCTGCATCTCTTTTTAAAGGATCTCTGAAAGCAGAACTGGTAAAAAAGACCACAGAGTGCTGCTGCCATTTAAAGACCGTTAATGGACCATGTATATTGGTCCTTTGGTATAAGGCAGCTAAAGGCAACCTGATATAGGTAAGGCCAGTGTGGTTGTAGAGGTTAGAGTGTGGGACTAGGACTTTGGAGACCAGTGTTCATACCCAATATCAGTCTTGAAGCTCTTTGGGTGACCGTAGGCCGGTCATTCTCTCTCAGACTAACCTACCTCATAGGGTTGTTGTGCCAATAAAAGGGGAAAGAGAACTGTGTACACCACCCTAAGCTCTTTAGAGAAAAGGTGGGGTTTATATGAAATAAACAAACAGGGAGTGTCTTGCAAAAGTACTGTATAAAGGTAAAGGGACCCCTGACCATTAGGTCCAGTCGCGGATGACTCTGGGGTTGCGGCGCTCATCTTGCTTTACTGGCTGTAGGAGCCAGTGTACAGCTTCCGGGTCATGTGGCCAGCTTCTGGCAAACCAGAGCAGCACATGGAAACACCGTTTACCTTCCCGCCTGAGCGGTACCTATTTATCTACTTGCACTTTGACATGCTTTCGAACTGCTAGGTTGGCAGGAGCAGGGACCAAGCAACGGGAGCTCACCCTGTTGCGGTGATTCGAACCGCTGACCTTCTGATCGGCAAGTCCTAGGCTCTGTGGTTTAACCCACAGCGCCACCCGCGTCCCAATGCAAAAGTACTGTAGTTGTTACAAAATATGACATCCAACCTAGGGATCAGGTGGCAAAACCAATAGTTGCTTTTTTTCTCCAAATAATGGAAGCAAACCAAGTTTTCACTGAGGCATTCAGCAGAACCTCTGTGGCATCTATAATATACCTTTGTTTGAAAGCATTTTTACACCACTCTTTGCCAGAAAGGCTCCCAGGGTGACTTCCAGATGATCAGTCAAGACAGTCCTTTTTGCCCACAGGCTTGTAATCAAAAGATAAAAGGGATGGGGAGGAAAGAGGAAAACAAGCACCCTCAGGCACCATTTTTTAAACTTGCGAAGTAGTTTTTATAATGACCAGCTGCTCCCAAAACAGCTGAGTGGCACTGCTTCCCATCTCAATTGCTGCTGCAGCCTGATGGGATGGATACTGCCAAGTAGCACTTGAGGAAGGAGCCTGATGGAGCTGCTGCTTCAGCAGAGCTACTGGAGCAACCCCAAAATTTGTTAACCAGAAATGCTAGACCAAATCCAGTGAAAAAGCTATTCTGATCTGGCAAATTTCCAGTTCGTAAAAGCATCTCTAACAGCTTTCGAAATTTGAGCCCGATATATATCTAAAATGTTCTTTTCTCCATTATGGACACAGTCAATATAATAAATGAAGTATAAAAGTGTAACACAAAACATAAAAACAGATGGGTACTGTGTATGGGTAAGTAGGAAAACCTGATCTTTTCACTCTGTTCAACAGAACTTCTGTTCCTCTGCGTTCAGTTCCAAACGACGAGACTTCTTACAAAATAACACATATCCTGTGATTCTTCTTCGTTGCAGTCACTTTTAGGAACAGTTTTGCCATTATGCGAATGATGAGGAAATTGTCCTTTTTTCCAGAAGCAAAGCAGCAAAAGACATATCAGACAATTAGTAATATCAGACTTCAAAACCCATCCCACCCCCTTTTGAACATATCATTCATATGTTTGTCCCAAATTCTGCAACAAGATCCTAACTCCTTCTGTGAACAGAATATAGTCACAGAACGGGGTTTTCCATCCTTCCCCTTTTCACTTCACTGTACCCTCCTAAAAATCTGTCCTGGGGTTTGGGGGATGCTTGGGAGAATGGTGTGTAGGATATGGAGCAGGGGGCTGTAGCAGGTGGGGGCAGAGGAAATGCCATTTCCAGCCTTTGATTTCTCTTTTTAGCAGACCTTCAGGCTTAGGTAAAAATAGGCATTTGAAAGCGTTAGTAGAGATAGCATGATTGCACCTTGATAGCGAAACAGTATTTTGTTAAAAGAAGGGTCTCGCTTAGCGGCAGATTAAATGTTAAGTTGGCATCTGTGGTTTCACTGGAAGGCCCCTTAGGGAAGGGTGGTTAACTGGAGATCAGCTGCGCCAAATTTGGCCCAGGCATCACCACTTGCTCACCCCCAGGCCAGACATATGTTTCCCCCTTACTTGGCAGAGTTCCTGTATTACCTCCAGACAAGTCCATTGATTACAGTAAAAAGGTAAAGGTAAAGGTACCCCTGCCCGTACGGGCCAGTCTTGACAGACTCTAGGGTTGTGCGCTCACCTCACTCTAGAGGCCGGGAGCCAGCGCTGTCCGCAGACACTTCCGGGTCACGTGGCCAGCGTGACGCTGCTGCTCCGGCGAACCGGCACCAGAGCAGCACATGGAAATGCCGTTTACCTTCCCGCTATAAAGCGGTACCTATTTATCTACTTGCACTTAAGGGTGCTTTCGAACTGCTAGGTGGGCAGGAGCTGGGACCGAACGACGGGAGCTCACCCCGCTGTGGGGATTCGAACCGCCGACCATGCGATTGGCAAGTCCTAGGCGCTGAGGTTTTACCCACAGCGTCACCCGCGTCCCACATTGATTACAGTAATATATGGCAAAACTTACACTTATTTACTATTTAAAAAATCATTTTGTATGTAAGTTATTGTAAGCGATTGTATGCTTGTATGAGGGCTAGTTGAGTTTGAGTTCAGACTGTTGCAACAAAAGTTATGCTATGCTTTTTTTAAAAAAGTTGCTATTCCAGGTTATTAATTCTCACTCTTTTCATCTACTATATTTTATAAACCTTTCAGCAGAAACCGCAATATCAAAGCAGTAGGTAATTATTGTTTGGCTGGTCTGAGATCTATTCAGGAGTTCACGCAGCTTTAAATTGTAGTCGTATGTTCATAATTATGAAGTCCTGTGTGGAAAATAAAATAATCTACTGCAGGGGTCCTTCCTGCGAGTTATTAGTGAAGGCATGCACTCACTGTGAAACTGAATTTCTAGTTATAGATCTTTTTGTCATGAACTTTTGTATCCAAACTGAATAATTAGTTAGTTCATCTTCTCATATACATTCATTTCCTTTTGTTTGGGGTCATGAATGTAATGTTCTTAGAGTGCTATTAAAACCTGGCTTTCTACAATTTTGGTCTTGTTTCCTGTTTGTGCCGGAATTTTTATTTTGTTTTTAATGTCATTGACATATATGTACCAGTGTATGTTCAGGGCACAGAGTGCAACCAAAGGACGTTTAGTTGGTTAGACTATTTTTAGCATGTCCTGAACTGCATGTTGCTCATTTCTGCTGATATGTTAAAATATAACGTGCATTTGGCCACTTCTCTCCATGTGGTTGTCGGGATATGACCCCATGCAAATGGCTTCACCACAGGTAATCTACTTAAAAGCACTCTCACTTACGTTATGGCATTTTCCTCCAACACTCCCGGCCCACAGCTAGCCATTACCAGATGGTTTCAAAACCTGTTCGGTTCTCTCTAAAAATCTCAAACTAATGCACTTGGTGTCGTGAAAATTCTACTCATTATTGATCCAGAGTGGATTCCAATGTATCGTTAGCAGAGTAGCAAATTAAACACGTTGCAGGATTCCCCCCCAAATAGACCAGAGGCCATTGTATTTCATCCAGCAGAGCTTTACTGCTACTGAAGGCAAATGAGCATAAAGGTCACAAATCCAATACATTCAGGATTGGCCCTGACCATAAGATATCCAGTTGCAGCAGACATAACCTTACAATAACTTATAATAAGTTCAAACGCTAAGCATACTATGTACAGAACACCACAAAAAGAGATAGAAAGAGAATGGCTCCTTCTGGCCTTATTATTATAGTCAGCATGACCTTGACTGAACAAGATAACCGTACCAGTTCAAACCAGCTGTACTCGGCTTATCTGAAGGAATAACCCAAACATCATGGACCTTCTGCTTGTTTCTTTCACACAGATAAGCTTCCAGAACCCTCTTGAACTAAGTAGAATAGGAAAGATCTCTGCACACCAGATCAATACGTTCTGTACTAAGAAATGCAAACTGACCTTGGACTATTTTAATGACACAGAGTACTTTTTGGTGACATGAAAGTCTCGGGAGTTCTGACAGTATCCCTCAACACTATACAATGCTTGCAGGATTCAGTGGTTACAACCCTGGAACCTGCAATGGAGTACAGATCGGAGATGATGTATCATTTGGCAAAATGAGTGACCAAATTAAAGTTAGGGGATTTTTTTTTTGTCATTCCAGAAAGGAAAATGTGGAATGTTGTTTCTCTTTCTCCTGTACTTCCTTGCTTAGACTTGGTCTACACATCTACCAGAGTGAGGTGTATCAGTACTTTGAACGGTCTGTAAATGATTCCATACTGGAAAAAGTCTGTAGTGTTTTCTGGATATGTTTTAAGAGCATGGAATTAGCAGTAAATTAGTCTCCTACGAATTTCATGGATTTGATTTTTTGTTGTTGCTGTTTTGCATAAATACTTTAGCTTAATTTTTTTTTTAAAAAACCCACAAATTTATATTCAGTAGCTTGAGTGTTTATTTTCACCTTTTTTCCTCAGTTCCAGGAATATGTTTTCATCCATATTTGAAGTGTTATGGTCATATGTTGAAATTATATCAATTTGTTTGATTGTGACATGTAAGTAAAGGTATAATCATAGTTAATTTAAAATGATCTTGGGTTGTGCAAAGTGGTTAGCGTTAGAAGGCGATTCAGGCTGGCATGTAAAGGAGATTCAGACTGGCAGCCAACTTGCTTTTCCGGTGTACGACCTCTTCTTATTAAGAGCAGCAATAAAGGGCCCATACTAATAGCCTGATTATTATTAATATATGCTGTCTGCTACTGACCCACTTTGTTTAGAATGTGCATTGGATATGAAGCGCCAAACACTGAAGAGTTGTAGATTTAAAAAATTCAGTTTGAAAGATGCCCTACCATTGTACATTTTAATAAGAGTTAACAGAAAAAGGTCTCTGCATGTTGCCAGGAGCAATATAGTAAAAGTCCTAAGTGCTAGGCCTCTTATTGTTATGCAGAGGAATTGTTAATCTGGTCACTGAAAATTAATTTTCCTAGGATGGACAGGAAAGCAGATGGGCTTGTTTAAAGCCTGCATACCGATTGAGTCAATTTTTGGAAGGGAGAAAAATGTAAATGATACTGTAGGACTTTGAAAAAAGGATTTTTGAATTTGTTTTTTGATGTGAGATACTATGCAACAGCATAGGGTTAGTAGTATGTGTGTCACTCCCCCTGCCCCTTTACAACTATATTGTTTTACTGATGTGGTGAGATGGCTGGAGTACAGTCAGTATTTCTTGTGTTTATGCATATTTTTTTTTAAATGTAGCCTGTGGCTGTTGTTCAGTACTCTTAAAACAGAAAGTTGAGCTAGTTGATTCTTCTCTGAAATGCAACCACTCCTTTAATTATGAAACGCCATGTCTTCGGTAGCATTTCTCCTTCAGCTTTTTCAGCAGCAAAAACTGCTGATCCTTTGCTTTTAGTTTTATAGCCAAGAGAGAAACTGCAACAACACGCAACCCAAACTGTCCTATGCTCTGCCCAGCAACAGTTGCTATTAATACACTCCATAGCATTAAACTGTTATTTACAGATGCTGTTAAAAATGAACCCAGCCATATAGTTAACAACATTCCCTTGCTTACCTTCTCTTTTTTACGGATTTCCCCCCAGGGTCTTATTATGAGCCTTTTAAGAAAGATAAAAGCAACTCCGGGCTAAATAGTGGCACGAGGAGCTTGTATTAAATGTTTCTATGAAATGGTAACAAACAAACAAACAAACAACATATCTCAACCATTTCAAGGTAGGGACAAAATTAATGGGAAGGTATCTTAAAAAGCAGAGACATCACCTTACCAACAAAGGTCCGTATAGTAAAAGCTATGGTTTTCCCAGTAGTGATGTATGGAAGTGAGAGCTCGACCATAAAGAAGGCTGATCGCCGAAGAATTGATGCTTTTGAATTATGGTGCTGGAGGAGACTCTTGAGAGTCCCATGGACTGCAAGAAGATCAAACCTCTCCATTCTGAAGGAAATCAGCCCTGAGTGCTCACTGGAAGGACAGATTGTGAAGCTGAGGCTCCAATACTTTGGCCACCTCATGAGAAGAGAAGACACCCTGGAAAAGACCCTGATGTTGGGAAAGATGGAGGGCACAAGGAGAAGGGGACGACAGAGGATGAGATGGTTGGACTACCAGCATGAGTTTGACCAAACTGCGGGAGGCAGTGGAAGACAGGAGTGCCTGGCGTGCTCCGGTCCATGGGGTCACGAAGAGTCGGACACGACTAAACGACTAAACAACAACAACCAGTCTTGAAAGTGTTCACTATATGCCTTTAAAATGCTTTATCCTTCTCTCTCTCTTTGTAAGAACAGTTAAAACATCGGAGGACCTGGCTTGGCAAGCCTGGCAATATCACACTCAGGGTCTGTCTGAAGATGTCACGGCATGGCATGGCTGTTTCCAAGTCAGACAATTTCTCATTTCCCTTCATTTTTATACCCCTTTGACCTTTATGAAAGAATTTTGTTGCATCTCCTAGCTATGTCTGTGTTTATAGACTGTGATCTTTGGGCTGTACTGACTTAAATGGTACTTCCCAAATATGCTGTATAGACAACTGTCTTTTTAGCTTGCTATTCTTCAGTGTTTTTACTCTACAGAACAAACATTAGAACAAAGGGTACCATTCTACTCATAGTTCTTCTGATTCTATCCGGGAGCATGCCCTTAGCAAAGTCATTCTATTTTGCTGTCATGGCAAGCATTTGGTACAGGACTATTAATATTTAAGCATCAACAATCAATCATAAATGAGAAATAGTCACCATCTGATGGACACCAGGCTTTCCGTAGTGTCAGTTTCAGAGACTGTATTTAGGTAATCAATATATCCTGAAAAGTATAAAGGAGGCTCGGATTAAAATCCTTAAAAATCCTTGAAAGCGAGGCCATTGCAAAACACACAAAAATGACTGGAATGTTAAATGGCCAATGTGTTAACTGGTTAACGTGTTTGTTGTAGAGAAGATGTACCACAGAGCAAGACCACAAATTAAATATTTTTTTTTTTTTTTAAATCATAATTGTAAGATGAAAAATTGAACCCTGAATTGAGCTAGTCTGCTCCACAGGCCATAACGGGGAAAAACCTTATTTGTTCTGAAGTAGAATCCCATTGCTTGTTGGGGAGCAATGCTTTGTGGTAGCCCAGTCAACATTTTGTTGACCACTGTGAGAAGAATGTTAGACTTGAGTTAGATGCTGTAGCAATTGTCTTATAATGTGTCTACAGTGGTACCTTGGGTTACATACGCTTCAGGTTACATAAGCTTCAGGTTACAGACTCTGCTAACCGAGAAATAGTACCTCGGGTTAAGAACTTTGCTTCAGGATGAGAACAGAAATTGTACTCCTGCGGTGCGGCGGCAGCGGGAGGCCCCATTAGCTAAAGTGGTGCTTCAGGTTAAGAACAGTTTCAGGTTAAGAATGGACCTCCGGAACGAATTAAGTACTTAACCCGAGGTACCACTGTATTGATTACAGTGGAGCCTATTTTAAGAAAAATATACTTAAAACATTGGTGTGCATTAATGATTTAGCATCACATCACTAGTTATGGCAGGTTCTTCATCGTGGCTCAGTCTTCCATTGTCTTAAAATTTGAAATGTAACATTTCCCAGTAGACCTTAGGCCTTCCGGGATAATCATGTCCCTGCTTTTGTATTTTCATATGGCTATCATATCACCTACTGTCATTATGAATTAGGGCTCATATCCCCTGATAAACAAACCGTAGTTCTGAAATGCACACAAAAATGGCTCAAAGTTCTGTAAATAAGATGGGAAGATGCCTGTCTTTAAAGTATATAGTCTTCAGCCTCTGTTCATAAGGTTGTTCCAGGAACATCAACATTGTTTATAGTAATGTTACTGCTTATAGTAATAAATGTGTTCACAGGACCAGTATTTTAAATGAAAATACAAGCTTTGGGACACTGATACACAAAATATAGGAAGACTTGGATTATATTCCAAACAAAAAGTGGTAGAGTTCAACCTCATTGATATGAATGACCCAGGGGTATTCATAATATTGACAACAGATGTTTAAACAAAGATGAGAGCTGTTGAGATAGATGTACTTTCTTATGGAACTGAATGGTTAGACATGTTGGAGGACATATCATGGATTAGATTAAATGGGAGATTGGAGTTAACACGTTTCTTACAGAATTGCTGCCGATTTTTCTTTATACAGCCTTGCAGAAGAAAACGTGATGAGTCCAAATGTCCAGTAAGGTATCAATGAGAATCCAAATCAAAGCAACCTTAGCTGCTTGGTGTTGAGCCTTGGAATTAACACTGATTGGTTCAAAAGTTTTTGCTCACCTGGTAGACCTACACCTGATAAAGGTCATTGTTCAAGGGCGGTCCTAATATATTATGATGTACATCACTTCATCCTTTTTTAACCGCTCTTGTAGCAGCACTGAGAAGGTAGAGACTGGCTGTAGGATCTGCAGCCTCTTCTTGCATAGGTTGGAAGGAGGGGAATGTGGATTGCCAAAACCAAATGGATCTGACCTTCAGAACCTGAGTGTTATGACGAAGGGCCCAGAGTCAGATTGGGGTGTGTGTGTGTCCTGATGGGAGACGCTGGATCCCTTGCTATTGCTGCATCATTTGGCAGTGAATCATCTCCACTTTCTCCGTAATTTTATACCCTTCTGTCATGTTGCCTCTTCCTTGCCTTTCCTCTAAACTAAAACAGCTATGTTGTTGAGAAATATTAACTTGCTTTTCTCATTGCCTTTCCCTCTTGTGCTGTAACTGACTTCATTACTCCGGAGTTTAGGCAGTAATGTAATTTAAAAGATGAAGTGGTATGTTGATTCATTTCTGTGATTAAAATATTACTGTACCAAACAAAATGGATTTTGACTGAGGAAGGCAGAGCTTTGCCTTTTAGCCTTTCTCTCTCAAATCTCTAGCTAATACAGTGTGATTAAGGTGTGTGTTATTGCATTTGATACAGTGTGCTTGGGTAGGAAAAGAAAAGTTCATTTTTAATACGTGGGATAAGATAACACTTAAGGAAAGAGTTGTTGCAATAGAACCTCTTTCTTAATTTAATCAGTGATTTTCAGTTAATAGTAAGAAGTCCGATTACAGAGCAATGCTAAGCCTTAATGATTTTCGAAAAGCAACTCTTAACATATATATTGCATTTATGTTTGTGGCTAAGGTTTTTCCTAGTGAGCTTTTAAATCATAGTGGCATATCTGCACACACAGACACTTTTATACACACACACACACACACACACACACACACACACAGCAGTAAATGAATTCTCTATTCTGATTGGCATGTCGTTGGTAACCTAATTCGTTCAATGTGTTGTTTGAGAATGTAAAAAAGCAGAAATACTGTGCCTGATAAGAGATCAGTACAGAAGGAAAGTAACTCTTGAATGATCACAGTTTGCTCTTGGCAAAATTTCTTCAGCAGGTAAAAAGGTCAAGGAAGTCCACAAAATGTTTGCATTTCTATCCATGCTAATGCAAGTAAGTATCAACTTGTACTGTAATGTAGTGGATTTGGAAAAATAAAATAAAGCTGCTGTATAAAAACCAAAACTATCAAAGTTGTTTAATTATGCCCAGACTAAATCTTAATATAGAGTTCCATAACAGATAAAGACAGCTTCTGTTTTTTTGTCCTATTAATTGGATGAAATTGCAGTGGACTCTGTTCCCATTGAAATAAATGGGGCAAATACCATTTAATTTCAGTAGTAACTAAGTGCAGCTAAGTAGTGTGATCAAGGAACAGATCCTGGCCTATGAAATATTTATTATTATTATTATTATTATTATTATTATTATTATTAGGGTTCCCTGAGCACCATCGAGGGAGGGAGAGGATTTCCATCCTCTCATCCATGTGGAAAACACTATGCTATTAAGGTTTTCTCCAACCTTCCCACTCCTTGCACCTGAAAACAGGTCAGTTAGGCAGCCAGCTGCTTCACGCCATACCTCCACTTGTTCCTCAAAGTGCTGACAGTGATGATACTTCAAGCCATCTAGTCAGATTTGTGATTTCGTGGACAGGGCTAGAAGTGCAGTCAGGTATCTTGATATAAGGTACTGCATAATCTCTGCAATCTAAAATAAAGCTTCAAAGCTGTATTTTAGCTGAACTCACGTTTATTTTCATGGGATTAAATAGTATATTGGGCAGGTAACACTGTGAAATCCCAATATTATTAAATAATAAATTTTGTTTTTACTCTATATAGTATTAGACTCTTAAAAAGTAAAGGGTATATACTAGGCTTCCATTAGTTTCTACCAACAAACTATTGAAAATTCTGACTGCTTCTTTTGCAGCAAGAACTATTTTGCAGCTCATTCACAAGCCAACCTGTCTCTCCATCTGCCTTCTTTAGATGTGCTTGACATTAATTTGCCATGTTAGTGCCTTTTTTTTTAAAGGTAGCTTTTAGTTTTAAAACTTGACATCTGTCAGTATTATGCCAGTTTTACTTAGAACTGAGATGACTTTTTCATGTCAGAATCTGCATGTTTGATGAGGGGTACTCGTCTGACAAACAGCTAAAATATTTCCCAAGAAAAGAAAAGGGAAAAAAAGTTTCCTTCAGTTTTTATCCAGATCCTGAGCACAGCTCAGATGAAGCTGTGCAAAAGGCCCTAAAGGCTGGTTTATTTTTGAAAGACTTCAGGGAGCCCTGCAAGCTTGGAGATGCTCATTCCTTCCTCAGTCCTGCTGCTGCTTGTTGTTGTTGTTTAGTCGGTTAGTCATGTCCGACTCTTCGTGACCCCATGAACCAGAGCACGCCAGGCACTCCTGTCTTCCACTGCCTCCTGCAGTTTGGTCAAACTCATGCTGGTAGCTTCGAGAACACTATCCAACCATCTCATCCTCTGTCGTCCCCTTCTCCTTGTGCCCTCCATCTTTCCTAACATCAGGGTCTTTTCCAAGGAGTCTTCTCTTCTCATGAGGTGGCCAAAATATTGGAGTCTCAGCTTCATGATCTGTCCTTCCAGTGAGCACTCAGGGCTGATTTCCTTCAGAATGGATACGTTTGATCTTCTTGCAGTCCATGGGACTCTCAGGAGTCTCCTCCAGCACCATGATTCAGAAGCATCAGTTCTTTGGCGATAAGCCTTCTTTATGGTCCAGCTCTCACTTCCATACATCACTACTGGGAAAACCATAGCTTTTACTATACGGACCTTTGTTGGCAAGGTGATGTCTCTGCTTTTTAAGATGCTGTCTAGGTTTGTCATTGCTTTTCTCCCAAGAAGCAGGTGTCTTTTAATTTCGTGGCTGCTGTCACCATCTGCAGTGATCATGGAGCCCAAGAAAGTAAAATCTCTCACTGCCTCCATTTCTTCCCCTTCTATTTGCCAGGAGGTGATGGGACCAGTGGCCATGATCTTTGGTTTTTTTGATGTTGAGCTTTAGAACATATTTTGCACTCTCCTCTTTCACCCTCATTAAAAGGTTCTTTAATTCCTCCTCACTTTCTGCCATCAAGGTGGTGTCATCTGCATATCTGAGGTTGTTGATATTTCTTCTGGCAATCTTACTTGGAGCCAAATCATGGATTGGCTCCGCCTTACATTTGAACCCAGGCCTCTGGCTTGTTTCTCTCCAAACAAACCATGAATGGTAGTGCCAAGAATAAAGCTTGGTTACAGCTTGTGCTTTGGTTTGAGCCTTGAACAAAACAAACCACGAACCAGAGTTTGGGCATAACGCTAAGCCAAACCGTGGTTTGATTCAGCAGGACCTGTGAAGAGTAAAGCAGATGCGATTTTTACACACTTGCTTATCCATGGTTTGTCTTATTGTTACGTGCAAACTGGACCATTGTTTTATGCCATGTTTTATTTTGTAAGCTGAAATGCTAATTTATTGTATTTTCATCTGCTAGAAAGGATATATATTTTAATGCTGCATTTCAGTGGGGTTTTTCAACGTGGTTTTTAAATTATTACCTTGCTTTTTAATACTACTTGTTTCGTAAGCCACCCAGGGAATGTGTGTTGATGGACAACATATAAACCTTGTAGTAATACATAAATAAAAGTAAACACAGCACAGCCAACATTACAAGTCAAGGTAGGAGTCCACCCTTAAATATATATTTTTAGTGTTCACCATGAGTCTCATCATTCATTTATTTATTACATCTTAACAGTATTTATATGCTACCCAATAACCAAGTTCTCTGAGTAGCTTACAACAGTAATAACATTAGTTAAAAAGTAAATGAAATATGCAGCATGCTGTCAATTCCAGGTTGCCAGTCACTAGTACAATTGCACAAAATGTGGCAATATTTTAAATACATAATTCTGTTTTCATATGTGTTCCCTAGAAAGGCAGGGGGGGGGGGAAATAGAACCAAATACATACTGCTTTGTGTCAAAATGCAGACTGGAAGTTAAGAATGAATGAAATATGCAACATGATATACTAGGCTGAGTTGAAGTGTTTGATGCTAAAGTGCTGAAATCTCTCAAGTCAGGCATGAAGAACCTTTTTGGCTTATAAGGATCTAACCTCATGGGCTAAAATTGACAGGTGTACAGAGCTGCTCATTTGTCAGTCATGTGATGTCATAATGGCATCAGGTGATTGGGTGATTTGAAGTCCCAAAGTCAAGATTTCAAAGCACTGTGCACAGCTAAATCCTGCACACCTGATTCAGCAGGCTTTGGCTGTGCCATAGAGTCAGAGTCTGGATTCCCTCACCAATGCACAATTGGAAGTGCACTTTAAGCTCATTGGCGGCTGCACCTCTGCAGGCCCTACACCTGATGTCACATATGATGTCACTTATGGGTCAGGTGACCGTGGTTTATGTAAAAGGGGCTAGATTTGAACCGCTGGAGGTTCCTCACCCCTCTCTTAAATAATATTTCCCTTGCACCATCAGTAGATTATTTTTTTCAAGACCAACTTCAACAGTTTACGTTTTGATGTGTCGTGAGCTATGTTGTAAAGGTAAAGGGACCCCTGACCATTAGGTCCAGTTGTGACAGACTCTGGGGTTGCGACGCTCATCTCGCTTTATTGGCCGAGGGAGCCGGCATGCAGCTTCCGGGTCATGTGGCCAGCATGACTAAGCCGCTTCTGGCGAACCAGAGCAGCGCACGGAAATGCTGTTTACCTTCCCGCCGGAGCGGTACCTATTTATCTACTTGCACTTTGACGTGCTTTTGAACTGCTAGGCTGACAGGAGCAGGGACCGAGCAACGGGAGCTCACCCTGTTTCGAACTGCTGACCTTCTGATCGGCAAGTCCTAGGCTCTGTGGTTTAACCCACAGCGCCACCCGCGTCCCTTGAGCTATGTTGTACTGTTGTCTTAATGTTGTAATTGCTTTTTTCCTTTTACTTTGGTTGTCAATTGATCCAGGACTTCTTTTTAGTGGAAAGCAATGTAGAAAATGTAATATACCTAAACCCTATAAAGTATAAGAAGTTCTGAATGTTAATGTGTGCCAAGGATATTACATTTAAAACAAAAATTAAAGTAAAGCAAAATATCCAGCCAGCGGTACACTTTCACAGCATTGTTATATAATTATTTGTTGAATGGTTTAAAAGATACACGCAAAAGTATATTGAGGCTTTTCTTCTGTGACTTTCTGTGAACAGTTTTGGGCAACATGGGGTCTGCGCTAACCAGTGCCAAATCTCAACTGACAGTTGAGCAAAGCATCCAAGTTTTGTTTGTTTGTTTGTATAGCGTGAAGAGCAAACTTCCAGTAATATTTTCTAACGTTTGTGTGTGTTTGCTTTTCAGAATTGTGTGTTAGTAGCATTGATTCAGTTTGCAGGTGATAAACTAGGAGGTTGAGACACTACAGTAAGTTGTTGTTTAGAAATGGGTTCCTCTTCTGTTGCTCTCTGTTTCAAGGCTGACAGAACATTTTACAAATCTTTCTCTTTCCTTTTAGCTTATTATGGTATGTGATTTTTATAGAGAGAGGAGCAGCGGGAATCATGGCAGAAAGAACTCCTTTTCCAGGACTTCTATTTTTTTATTCACTACCCCATTCCCAGCATTGCTTTGTTCCCTCCACTAGAGCTAAGACTAGTCTCTCATACAAATTACTGGTCTTTTGTAAGTTCCCCCAGATTGCTAGAATAGGGGCTTTTTCTACTGAAGAGAGGAGGCGGCGTTGAGGTAGACATGCTGGCCCCAGTGATTTTATGGCTGTTAATAGCCACTTTTAAGGGTATGCATTGGGCAGTGTGTTTGCTTATGAAAGTTCAGTATTCCAGGCGCAAGTTCCCTGAAATAGTTGGGCCGGTGGTCAAATCCAATCCTTGTAGTTCCTGTTTTTCTTTCCTGCCTTGAACCGAAGATGCATATAAAGCACATCTTAAACCACTTGGGGGAAAGAAGTGTCATTTTAATTTGTTTAATCTTTTGGTCTGGCATAGTGACAACTGATTTTATACACCCGTTATAATAATAAGTCACTTTACAGAAGGTCCCAGTCTAACCTTTGTACACATCTTATTCAGAAACTCTTATCTGTTATAAAATAAAGGTTATGTGAGTGGGTATTTTAGGAGTATCCAGTGTGTGAGAATGCCTTGGGACCTACTTAGTTGCTTGTTCTTCCCCTTGCTTCAAACATAGCTGAAGAAACCTTTTTATTGTTTTTAACCTTTCTGGAAAGCCAGAGTTCATTCTGAGCTCCCCTGACTTTCTTCCTGTAACTGTTGGGGATGGGGGCAGGTTGGGGGGCAGGCCAGCTCCTCATACAGGCTGTGGCAAGTGATGTATTTAATGTATGTGTCATGTTACATCCATGTCTGAATAAGCAAGAAAAATGCTATATCAAAGGAAAAGGATGACCTTTTACAATATTTTGCTTGGCATTCTGAAAAGCTCCAAAGAATTTTCACCTTAAATCAACATACATTTTGCATTATCCTTGTTTAATGTAGATATACCAAGTAAGCTTATTTTAAAGAGCACCACCCCACAGTTTAATAAACCATTCGTTTACGTTGGGGTTCCAATGTTTAGTACGCAGTAGTCTGGGCACTAAAATCAGATTCTTTAGCCTTCAGAAATTATTTCCTTTTAGGTAACTTGATCAACAATGCCTACTGAAAGATTAGCTGCTAATGCAGTAGTTTTACCCGAAAAAAAGTACACTGGAGTGAGTAGAATTTTCAGTGCAGCCTTCAAGCAAACTGAATGGGGTTCTTGTCCCAATTTGTACCTTAATATCTGTCTTAATTGGGCTGGAGTGTACTTTGTGTGTATGCATGTGTTTGCATTCAATTTGTTTCCTGCACCTCCTTCCGTAGTCGGTTGTGCCAAGAAGAAATTCTTCCATACAGATCGATAAAGCAACACACCAGGATCAATACAACAGTGACAGCTTTTCTACAGGGATAGTTGGGCCACTGTGGTATAGAGAATAGTGTGCTGCGCCTGGGCTGGGGAGACATGTACTTTTGGACAGGTTATTCCCTCGTGGCCTAACCCACCTGCTGGAGTTAGTTGCTGTGTATCCCTATGTACTTCTTCAGCTCTGGACGGGATGCAAGTGTGATAGAAAACAGTGCTATGTAGCTGGAAGCATGTAGCAAGAGATCACATGCATGCTTTTTTTGACTCAAGTAGACCATCAGGTTGGATATACATATGGAAAAAACAACAATGCCTAAAACAATGTATTTAACGCCACCTTCAAACCACCATAGGATTACTAATGCACAGAGCTGTTATCGGTTTCATCCACTGTGTCCTTTTTCCTTTTCCTTTTAGTTTACCACTGCTTTGAAGCAGCTTGGTTAATCGTTAACTTTGACTAGAACGGCTGCGTGAATGGCTGTAGCAATCTCAGCATGAAAAGTTCAAAACTGCTAGATTAATTTGAGGTATTAACTCTGAGCTGATGTACTTGCTTTTAACGGCTCTGTGAGTTCAGTCACATTCACTGCCTGCACAGTCTCCCTGCAATGGAATTTGCCAGCGCTTGAAAGGACTACTGAGAAAGTTGAAATGTAATCTTGTGTTTAAAAAGAAAAGCACAGCGATGAAATAATTTTCTTCCTTTGCATCTACTTTTGTTATGACTTGGAGAACAACTTCCAGAGGAACAAATGAAGTTTCAGACCAAAAAACATCATTTCTCTCTCTCCATAATGTAAATATGTATGTACTGTGAACATCTGTAGGAGTTTGTTGGAGTATTCTGCTCTTTTATGTCCCAAACTGCTGGAGTTAAAACTTTAAGAGTCACGATGCCTGAAGGAAGTGTTGCGGGTAACATCACATTATATGGGCTGACTCTTTTCTTCTCTTTCACAGAACGTGGAGAAAGTGTTTGTGGAATTCAATCATCAAGAGCTGTTTGAGTTCTATAACAAGGTCTGTACTGGTGCTTTTACAGACTTCCTAACATTTTGATAACCTTTCTTTTACCTTTAATAAGTCTTTATTACCAGTCCTTTGGTTCTAGCTGTTTTTGGTTTGCGCTTTCCTTGTAAACATGTAATAGCTTCATCCCCCAAAGCACTGCATCTCAGAGTTATGTCCCCTATAAAGCACTAACTGAATGCAGGTTTCACATTTGCCGCTGAAGTGCTTTTGAACAAGGTGATGCTTGCTATACCCTTTTAAATCTACAAACTTAACAAAAGGACAAGAGACTTTCAGGATAGCATATCCTTATTTGTGCTTATACACAAGGTGAACTCACCCAATCAGACTAAACATTTATATACGTTGCAGATTTGCAGGAATTAATTTCGTGGGGAAACACATTCAGGAGTTCTTGTTGCTGTTTGGATATATTTAATTTGCAGAGTTTATTATTTCTCTTCTACTTTCCATGTTTCTAAACATTTTTCTTTTTTCTTTTCTGTTAAATAGTTGGAGACTATACAAGCACAGCTGGATTCTCTTACGTGATACTGTGTGAAGACTTAATTTCTCCCACCACATTCCTCTCACTTCAATATTGAAGATAACTTGGCTGGCAGTGTTTGCTGAAATACTTAGTTGGCTGTTGTCAATAAATGGCTTATCTCTTCTTTGGCCAGTAACTTAAATTAAATCATTGACAGGAAAACTGAAGTTCTAATTGACTTAATCTCCTCAGAGTTTCCAGTGTTCAAGAACATGTATCATTGGGGGGCAGAGTATAGCTACCTTGTTTTGCTGTTCTTTGAATTACTTTGAAATGTATTGTGTCGGTTTTGGCTTTGGTGACGTTTTTGCAGAGTAGATGGTAACTTAAATATTGGTGGTCCATAAATGAAATGTGTTTATTGTTTTCCAAGACTGTAACCTATTCAAAAATTCTATTTTTAGTGGGGAAACTCCTCAGACTAGGTGGGTGAAGGTCTTGCTTACCTTCTTACCTAACTAACAATGAATCCAAGTATAGTCCACATAAGGTTTTGAACCCTGCATATGCAGATCCCAGTCAGGGATAGTCTCTGCCTTCTGTTCTCCTAGTTTATAATCAAAATGAAGAAATCTAGAAAGTTTAAGGACAGATTTAGTTTGAGGCACAATTTGGGGCAAGCACATGAGATGGGCTTTTCTTGCTTTTCTCCAAGTTTCATAGATTTTATACTCTGACAGAATTTATCTTTTTACTATGCCTATACACCCAGCTGTTCTTCCTTCAGAATGGTCTTTTATGTGATTTCCAGGCATTCTCCCACTTAAGGCAGTAACCAGGACCAGGCTCCTCAATTCTAGCTGGTATATTTCAATACCACTATTCTTTAAGACTATGCCTATTCAAGACCCTTAATTCTGCTAATGGAGATGAAATTTTTCCTTAGCTAATGAGTAATAACTATTTCCACCTGCATGTTATTGTTCCCATCCTTTACCATGAGGTCCCAGGGTGGGTTACAACTATTTAAAAATACAGTGTTTTTTTTAAAAAACAGTTAAAACAGATTACAATCAAGAGAATAGGGTGGGTCTTAAAATATATATCTCAGGTGTCAAAGGCAACAGTAAGGAGGTGTTCTTTAAGCATTTGGCAAGAATTATACAACGAAGATGACAGATACACACGTGTGTGTGTGTGTGTGTGTGTGTGTGTGTGTGTGTAGGGGGGAATTCTGCAATGTAGGGACTTCTGGAGGGAATGCCTTCTCCTGGAGTGCCCCTTATCTCCCAGAAAAGAAACTTCTGAAGGTGGTAGAACTACAAAGTGTTTCCTCTCTGCTGATGTTGGCACCCTAAACCCCTACCCAACCTGGTGGCAAGTCAGCATGTCAAAGTTCAAAGACCAGGGGTCAATCCACACAGTCAAAGTCTATCCTGAAGCGCAGTCCCATAGAGCACCAGGCACATCCAAGCCAAGGTCTATCAAACATGGGCAGTTGAGCAGACACAGCACCTCAGCTCTGCTTCCCTTTGGTACTTTGCATGCTGATTGCAGCACCTGGGCTTGATGAGGCTTGTGACCCTCACCTGTTCCAAGCCTACTGCAGCTGAGGAATCACACCTCTCCTCCCAATGCTAACAAGCCTCCAGCTAGTGAGCTGGGCTGTGGGCTGTGGCCTGCCTCAGTCTCCTGGATCGCCTCTCCTGCTGCCCCCTATGCCTTAGAGCCTGCCATGTTCATGGAGAAATGGGTCCTTCTGGCTCTGGTGATGGGTCCTGCTGCTCTGGTTCCTGTGCACCGACCTTCATCCCCATGCCATTCTCCATCACCCTGTGAGTACTTCTTTCCCCATTCTCTGTATGTCCTGGTGTGTCCCAGTCCCGGCTACACCCCTTGCCGGGATCCCCTTCCTCCTCCCTGTTGTCTTACCAGTTCATGACAGCCTATAGTCTTTTAGATGCATGGGGCTTGTTGCTGTAATCGCTAATGGTCTGCTGGTCTGGGAAGAAAGAAGATGCTTGTGTGGTATATTACTGAGCAGGGACAGGGACCTTTTTTCCAGCCTATGAGGTGCCTGCTCTTCTGGGCAGCCTGCCATGGACCATGTGCGTTTGGTGGGTATGGCAAGACACAAAAGCAGCCAGAGTAATAAATGTAAATTTCACCTTTGTGCAGCTTGGTTTCTACACACCCACCTTCTCGAGCCTCCATGCAGGCAGGCAAGAGGCATAATCAAGCATTCAAGGACACATTCAAACCAGGCAAAAGGGACTTGGGGTGCAACTAGAACCAGTGAGCAGTGTGGCTTGGGGGCGTACCAAGGGCTTGATAGAAAGGCAGAGAGGGCCACATTTCCCCAGGTCTGAGTTTCCCTATTGCAACGCATGCAAGAAACAAGGAAGGAGCAAAGCTGGACTCAAATCTCCATCCCAACATGCAGAGATTTCTCAGGTTTGTAGAGAATTTTATGTGGCGAGGCGTTTACACACTCTACCCTGTGTCTGCTATCTGACGTCAAACGGTTAAGCAAAAGTTTGTGCGCAGCAGTCCTCACTTGTTACTTACTACATAGTGGAGGGACCATTGTTGGAGGAACTGGACATGGAGGAAAGGGTTAATTTCCTTCATGAGTTTAATCCCTCCATGTATGAGATAAGCTAACAGGTGCAAGGTCAGCCAAGCCAGTTGCTATGACAGCAGTCCAGTGTCATCTATGTTAGTGATTAAGGTATGTCCGGTCAGTGAGTCCGCCCGTGAGTCGGGAGTCTGTGTTACATCTTGAATTGCTGGAGCAACAGAAATGCTTTCTAATTATATGTATCTGTATCTGTATCTGCAAAGCCTACAAGGTGTGTGTGTATCACAGAATTGTAGAGTTGGAAGGTACTCTGAGGGTCTTGTCCAACCTTCTACAGTGCAGGAATCCTGCCCACAGCTGTCAACATCAGGAACTGTATTACTGAAGCCTAACCTTGAAGTCCAAACTATTTTGGACCTTAAACTGCCTCTGTGTAGTGACTGGAACTGGGGGGAACTTTCGCTGTGTGAGTATCTCACCTTCAATTCCCAACGACCATCGCCCAATAGTAGGGCATAGGCTTTCTAGGGAGAAGATTCCAGGTTCAGTCCCTGCCATCTCCGGCGAAAGGGGTTAAGTAGTCAGGGAAAAGACTTTTCAGCCTTAAACTACAGAGAGCTTCTGTCGGTCAGAGTATGCAGTACTGGCCTGGGTGGATGAACAGTCGCATCTTGGTTAAGACAGCTTCCTAGGTTCCTATTTATTAGTGCATATTAACTCCCAATCTATGCAAAACAATTTCCCTTAGAGATGGCATGGTACATTGCCATCAACCTACCGTTGTCTTTTAGTAATTGATGTGAGGTTACTTGGCTAATTAAACATGATGGTAATAGCATGGCTACTGTTTTAAGTATCTAAATATGATTCAGCTCTGTAGAAGAAAAGAGGAGGATGGGACATAATGTTGAAGAAGCAGAACAGATACTGTGTCCTACAGATACAGTGGTACCTCGGGTTACATACGCTTCAGGTTACAGACTCCGCTAACCCAGAAATAGTACCTCGGGTTAAGAACTTTGCTTCAGGATGAGAACAGAAATCGTGCTCCGGCGGCAGCGGGAGGCCCCATTAGCTAAAGTGGTGCTTCAGGTTAAGAACAGTTTCAGGTTAAGAACGGACCTCCAGAATGAGTTAAGTTCTTAACCCGAGGTACCACTGTACATGGGCATTTATGACAGAGCTGAAGCAAAAAACAAAAAAGAATGTGCTGAACTGTAACTATGAATCATTTCCAGATTTTGCAATGATTTATGTTCCAGGCTCAACTTACATCTGCTGAAAAGCCATCAGCAGTGTTTTTGCATTTAGTAGGCAGCAGTATAAAATCTCAATTTACTGGTGACTTTAATTTCCTGCTAAGAGGTATATGGTTCATGATCAAAAGTAAGATAATATAACCTGAAGTCACTGAGTGGATTATATGATTCTTCTCAGTGATAAGGATGCCAGATATGTGTACCATTTTGCGTGCTTTGTGTTGTTTTTTATGTTAAGATCTGTGGATGAAGGGCAGTATACACATTTAATAAAAAATAAAAAATATTTTAAAAATAATACCATAGAGCTGAAGACAATTCCATACTTCCTGGGCATGCAGTATTGATCCATAATACACCCTTTACATATTCTGCGAAGATGCTGATACTGTAATTCCCTACATTGTCCCGGCCTAACCTAATGGGTGCTCTTACTAATTTCTGCCTGACTTGAGGGCCAAAGCAGATGAGAAGCCATTCACACTACTCTCAGATGCTTGAACGACTTAAAAGTAATTACCGTAGCAGGCACAAGGCTCCCCCCCCCCCAAAAATCTGGAAGTGGATGGCAACCCACTGTGACTATGGGGGTGGGATGGTGCTAATTCCTCTGTGCTGTGGTCAAGATAAAAAGAAAAGGCCCATTCACATCAATGGAAGCTTTTCTTCCAATGTAAATAGCAGGCATGATCCTCTTGGTCAGGACCACCGCAGGGGGCAAAAAGGTAATGCCCCCTACTACCCATACCAAGGTCTCAATTGGGATCTTCCTCCCCTCTGCTGCCCAGCTCCCTCTTATTTTATTTAAAGAGATATTTACACTATTTCTAATTGTATGAATGGTGCCTTGTCTGTTTTAGCCAGGACATTCGATGAAACAGTGGCATTAGTTCCAGTATTCACTGCTGACCATAAAATGACAACCATCTCTCTCTCTTTTTGCTTTTTCTGTGTTAAGGTGCTCTCTGAAAGATATAGGAAAAGTGGCATTGTGCCTAAATGACATTTCAGTGTGATTCGGAGTGTATTTCTCTGAAGTTGGAAAGTTCAGGCTGGAATTCATTTGGATTTCTTCAATCTATAAAAACAAGGGGGATAAGGGTTTGGATACAGTGCGGCATTTCACAATATCTCAGTTTAGACAACTTGTTTTGTTTTAGTAAAATGATTCCAGAATAGATACACAGATGGAATGGTGTTTTCCTAATATACTCCGTTAAAACGATTCAAAACATTCACACACAACCTTACTGCCTGTTATTTCTTCTGATTTCAATTGCCTCTCTTAACAAGCCATTCAGAAAACCTCCCTCAAACAGTCAAATACAGGAGCTGTTTCTCCAGGTGGGCCAGGTTAGGAGAAGCTCCGCACTTCAGATAGATTGTTTTTCCATTTAAATGGATTGCAGGCCAGTTCTGGGATCACTTAGGCCAGTGTTAGCTTGCTAGTTCTCTCCTGGTGCCCTTTTCCTGGTTGTTTCCTTTGCTTAGAAATCCTGATCTTCTAGAAATCTTTTCCATCAGAGGTTTCCCTGAATTCATAGAATCAAAGAATTTTAGAGTTGACTCTACTAAGACCCCTAGACACCTTTTCACATGTACTACTGGCAAACCAGGTGTCCGCCATCTTATATTTGTGCTGCTGGTTATTCCTGCCATGGTGCAGAACCTTACATTTGTCCCTAATCAAATTCATTTTGCTAGTTTTGGCTCAGTTCTCCAATCTGTTAAGGTCATCTTCAAACCTGTCTTCTGCGACATTGGCTATCCCTCCCAGTTTGGTGCCATCTGCAAATTTAATGTTTCCTGTTTTGCTGCCCTGTAAGTACGCGGGTGGCTCTGTGGGTTAAACCACAGAGCCTAGGACTTGCCAATCAGAAGGTCGGTGGTTCGAATCCCCGCGACGGGGTGAGCTCCCATTGCTTGGTCCCTGCTGCTGCCAACCTAGCAGTTCAAAAGCACGTAAAAAGTGCAAGTAGATAAATAGGTCAGACTAACCTGATCTCGTTTTTTGACAGAATTACAAGCCTGGTAGATGAAGGGAACGCAGCGGATGTAGCCTACCTTGATTTCAGCAAGGCATTTGATAAGGTGCCCCATGATATTCTTGTAAAGAAGCTGGTAAAATGCGGTCTTGACTATGCTACCACTCAGTGGATTTGTAACTGGCTGACTGACCGAACCCAAAGGGTGCTCATCAGTGGTTCCTCTTCATCCTGGAGAAGAGTGACTAGTGGGGTGCCACAGGGTTCTGTCTTGGGCCTGCTCTTATTCAACATCTTTATCAACGACTTGGATGATGGACTCAAGGGCATCCTGATCAAATTTGCAGATGACACCAAATTGGGAGGGGTGGCTAACACCCCAGAGGACAGGATCACACTTCAAAATGACCTTGACAGATTAGAGAACTGGGCAAAAACAAACAAGATGAATTTTAACAGGGAGAAATGTAAAGTATTGCACTTGGGCAAAAAAAATGAGAGGCACAAATACAAGATGGGTGACACCTGGCTTGAGAGCAGTACATGTGAAAAGGATCTAGGAGTCTTGGTTGACCACAAACTTGACATGAGCCAACAGTGGGACGCGGCAGCTAAAAAAGCCAATGCAATCCTGGGCTGCATCAATAGGAGTATAGCATCTAGATCCAGGGAAGTAATAGTGCCACTGTATTCTGCTCTGGTCAGACCTCACCTGGAGTACTGTGTCCAGTTCTGGGCACCACAGTTCAAGAAGGACACTGACAAACTGGAACATGTCCAGAGGAGGGCAACCAAAATGGTCAAAGGTCTGGAAACGATGCCTTATGAGGAACGGCTAAGGGAGCTGGGCATGTTTAGCCTGGAGAAGAGGAGGTTAAGGGGTGATATGATAGCCATGTTCAAATATATAAAAGGATGTCACATAGAGGAGGGAGAAAGGTTGTTTTCTGCTGCTCCAGAGAAGCGGACACGGAGCAATGGATCCAAACTACAAGAAAGAAGATTCCACCTAAACATTAGGAAGAACTTCCTGACAGTAAGAGCTGTTCGACAGTGGAATTTGCTACCAAGGAGTGTGGTGGAGTCTCCTTCTTTGGAGGTCTTTAAGAAGAGGCTTGACAACCATATGTCAGGAGTGCTCTGATGGTGTTTCCTGCTTGGCAGGGGGTTGGACTCGATGGCCCTTGTGGTCTCTTCCAACTCTATAATTCTATGATTCTAGGTAGGGAAGGTAAACAGCGTTTCCGTGCGCTACTGTGGTTCGCCAGAAGCGGTTTAGTCATGCTGGTCACATGACCCGGAAGCTGTACGCCGGCTCCCTCAGCCAATAAAGCGAGAAGAGCGCGCAACCCCAGAGTCGGCCACGACTGGACCTAATGGTCAGGGGTCCCTTTACCTTTACCTTTAAGAACCAAATTGAAGCCTGCTGGAATTACGACCCATAAAATGCTGGCGTTTGGTGCTTTGGAGAGTGCAGTCTTAGACTTCTCTTTCTCTTCGGTGATCTGCTGCTTGTGAAATGAAACTGCAGTGGTGCCCCGCAAGACGAATGCCTCGCAAGACGAAAAACCCGCTAGACGAAAGGGTTTTCCGTTTTTCGATGCGCTTCGCAAGACGAATTTCCCTATGGGCTTGCTTCGCAAAACGAAAAAGTCTTTCGAGTCTTGTGATTTTTTTTCGCTCCCCCCCTTTTTCTAAGCCACTAATAGCCTTTTAGCCGCTAAGCCGCTAAGCCTTTAATAGCCGCTAAACCGCTAATAGCGCTAAGCCGCTAATAGGGTTGCTTCGCAAGATGAAAAAACCGCTAGACGAAGAGACTCACGGAACGGATTATTTTCGTCTTGCGAGGCACCACTGTAAATGAGAACTTAGCAGGTTCTAGGATAACATGTCTGAGCCATTAAGTTCTGCTGCCATATGTAACAGGATAAAATTCAAAGGTGAGAAACCAGTTGGAAGAGTTTAGAAGTGTGCGGAGAACAGAAAATAAATCTGAAGAACTGGTGCTACTAAGATTAAAGACAACAAAATAAGAAAGTCATATATTAAAAGGTAAAATATAAAATGCTGCACTCCGGAATGTATTAAGAATGGCGAGAGAACGTCATTGTAATATAAAATCATTCCAGAACAACTCTAATAATTATTTATGGAATACCTCTGCCCAAACCAGTCCTGTAGGCTGCAGTTCTGTATACACTTACTAAGTGGCAAGTGCCATTTAATTCAGTAGACAGGCTTCTGAATCAAAGCATTTATAGTATGTGCTTAAACAAGTTAATATTTATTTTATTGTAATAAGTAATAGTATTGGTTGTGGCCAGCTGAAATGACAGAGAATAGAATCCACATCTTGAAACCTAACACTAAGGAGCTCAGATTATCTAGTTCAGTCTGTTGCATCTTACATGAATTTCCAGTACATGGATCTCTTCAGATATCTATCTAGGCTCATTTCCAAGCTTCCTTCCACGCAGCTTGAGTTTCAGTATCTGTCAGTCTTTTGTTGGATCTAGTTTACTGTTAAACTTTCCAGTGTTTCGCCATACTACTAAAATTGAACATTTTCAGTGCATTTAAAATGTATCAGATGCTTGTAGAACCTTGCAGTTTTTTCTGCACAAAGTCATTTTCATTCGGTTGCATATAACTTAAGTTCTTCTCAGAGTAAACCCACTGCAATTAATGGACCTAATTAGTCATGCCTATTAATTTAAATGTATCTCCTAACATATGACTTAACATTGGATGCAACAAATAGTTTTTAAAAGAGCACTAGTCCCCTTTGGTAGAACCAGGTTTTGCCTTTTGTGTCACTAATTTTAAAAGGCTACCATAAACTCAAAATTATGCTCACAGAGGAAGAGAAATCCCATGATCCATTCCTATGTTCATTTACCTGGATAAAGTCTTGCTGTGTTTAGCAAGACTTAGTCTAATGTAAGTATATGTAGGATTGAAGCCCGAGGATTCAGAAGTCTGATAGTGGAAAATCCAGTTTTCACTCCATCTATTTCAGAAACCTTCTAAAATTCAAAACATATAAATTCAATAATCAATTAATGATAAACCAACTGTTATTTTAACACTCTATATAAAGAAAAATCACGCAGAGCTGATACACATTAGTAATTTATATATCATTTTAAATTTCCAAACTGGGACTAAGACACAATGAATGTTCAGGAAATGGTAAGCAAAACTGTCCCTTCTGAAAAACTGTGTTGGACCATTATTTTCCCCGTTTTATAAGATGGGGAACTGAGGCTGACTTAATGAAAGCCTTCCAGTGAGCAAGTTTGTAGATAACAGATTGGCACTGCATTATTTTTAATCCATTGGATCATAGTGCTTTTTATGATATTATAATTAATCTGAAGTTGTGTGTGAATGCTAGTGAGTGACACACACTATATGATTTAAGAGAGAGGAACTTCAGGGCAATGTCCTATCCACTGAACCATAGTGTCAGATTTTACATCTAAGCTAAAAAGCTTTCAGAATTCTGCCAAACGCTAAAGAGTAAACCAGCATGGTGATTTCAAATCTCTATTCGGCTAGAAGCCTGTTTCTTGAAATGTGGCAGATTCAAAGCCATATTATATATCTGCTACAACCTGTGCTATTTTTATAGAAAGATGATGTTCCGGAACTCACCTGTGAGCTGAGTTTCCCTTTGGAAAAAAAAAGCCCTAGCTACAGCAATGCTTCCAGAAGGCTATACCTGTCTAGTTAGAACTTCTGCAGTGAATTACTGTAGTTTCCATATGTTCTTACACACTGAAGATTGGGAGTGGGGTGGAGTATGGCACAGCTTAGAGGTCAGATTGGTAAGACTCATCTGACCAGCATTATTTAAAATGGCTTATTGTTCAACGAGAGAGAGAGAGAGAGAGCGAGAGAGAGAGAGAGCGCATGTACCTGTCCATTGGAAAGGAAGGAAAAAACAGCACAGTCAAGTCCTGGCATGCAGTTCCATTCTGAAAATGAGTAATTGTGGTATGAAATGACATTAGCATTTAACTCCCTGTGTTGAGGTTTTTATACAGGTGAGGTGTTGAATAGAAAAAAGAAAAGCAGACTTTACAATCCCACAGGGAAGTCATGTTTTGCTTATAAGGGATAATGAATTCATTCTTTGGAGACCAGGATGCTTGTTCTGCTTGCATTCTGTACTGTCAGCTGAATAATCGCCTAACAAACTATGCCCATAGCCCTGCGATTTCATTTCTTTCCTAATATGTACCATAAAGCTGCTAACCTCTTCAGCAAATACACCTAGGTCGGGGAATGTCAGGTTGTACAAACACCATTTCCCACTTGTATCTTTCTTTTAAGTAGTATTGATATTTGATTAAAAAACATATCTGAAATAATGCTGATGGATAGCACAGGTTTCTCTCCCAGATGTATTTTACAGACTGCTGAAGCAAAGCGTGGAGGGGAGAAAATGAAACACTTTGTCAATACAAGATGTGCTAAATAAACCAGCTAGAAAAAAGAAGAGAAGAGAAAAAGATGGGGAGGGAGGTTTATACTTAAGCAAAACCAACAAGTTTCTTTAAAGCAGAGATCTTGTGAGACAAGAGGGCTGAATCTACTGAGAATTTCTCTGATACCACCCCTAGTGAAATGTATAGGAAACATGGTGAAAGCACAGCTATGATCTTGTGCGGTTCCCATTCAGTTCAATGGCACTATGCTCGAGACATTGCTGTTTTACTTAACAAACTGAGTATATCTTAGTGAGGAACACATTCAGACAAGTTCACACAGCTATTGCTTCCAGCATGAGCTAACTTTTTCTTCTTGTTGTTGCCTTCTGTTTTGTGCATGCTTTGGTCTTGCAGTGATTCAGCGCATAGTCAGAGTTGTGGGCCAACCAATAGTTAGGTTTCTAATTAATAATTGTTGTTTAGTCGTTTAGTCATGTCCGACTCTTCGTGACCCCATGGACCAGAGCACGCCAGGCACTCCTGTCTTCCACTGCCTCCTACAGTTTGGTCAAACTCATGCTGATAGCTTTCAGAACACTGTCTAACCATCTCGTCCTGTGTTGTCCCCTTCTCCTTGTGCCCTCAATCTTTCCCAACATCAGGGTCTTTTCCAGGGAGTCTTCTCTTCTCATGAGGTGGCCAAAGTATTGGAGCCTCAGCTTCAGGATCTGTCCTTCCAGTGAGCCCAGGTTTGAAAACAAATCAGAATCTATTTACAGCACAAAGAGGTCTGATGGCATCCCACCAACATAAAAGTGTGTTTTATGTGAGAGTAGGAAAATGGATGGACTTAGTGGTGTGAATCCAACTTTATATGCAGGAAACACAGGACTGTATCCAACTAAATCATTGAACAAAATGAAATGCCCCCCATCCCCCCACTGCCTCCAAATCTGCTCTGAGGTTTTCCCCAACACTTTGGAGCAGGTTTGTGGACAGGGGAGGACCACAATACCTCACGGACCGTCTATTTCCATATGAACCTACCTGGACCCTGAGATCATCTTCTGAGGCCCTCCTTCATGTACCTCCTCCTCGAGAGGTCCAGAGGGTGGTAACACGAGAACAGGCCTTCTCTGCAGTGGCTCCTCATCTATGGAATGCTGTCCTCAGGGAAGTTCGCCTGGCACCTTCATTTTAACCAGGCCTTGGGTTGATCTGATTTACATCCTATGCCCTTTTGAAATGTGTGGGGTTTTTTGTTGTTGTGGGAGGGTACTATTGGGTTGTTTTTATTTTTATTATGTTTTATTATTGATTTTATTCTGTGAACCACCCTGAGACCCCGGGTATAGGGTGGTGTGTGTGTGTGTGTGTGTGTGTGTGTGTGTGTGTGTAAATAATAATAATAATAATATAGGAAGAGGAAGGGAAAGCTACATTGGGCATGCAGTGATTTGGGTGACTACGTCCCATAGACTTCAATATTAAGGTGAATAGCTATTTTATAATTGTATTTCACCCTTTAAGGGATTTTTCTAATAATCCTGTACTAGAGCGAACACTTTCAAGAGTTAGAAGAACTTCATAAGTCTCTAATTATGGTGCCTTTGTGAACTTTCTCTGGTGTCCACAAAGCCTCTAAGCCCAGGGGTGCCAACTTGAATAAAATATTGGAGGGGGAGGTAAGCCCTGCCTCATATGCACAGCATTTGAATGGCAATGCCCATCACCTTGAGGGAACTGGCCCCCTCAAATATTTTAGGGGGGGGGGGCTGAAGGGACCTTGACCCCTAGGATTTGGCTCCTATACCTGAGCCTCCAATCTGCTCTGTAAAGCCACCTCTGCGGGTGTTATGCTAGTGTCAGATACATAATACGAACTGCTGCTTTTTCTGTGTGCATATCATTCAATGGCAAGCATGACTCTAGAGGTCAAGCTATGACGACAGTGGGGTGTTCAAATCCCAATATATTCTGCTTCAGCTATCAAGCCAATAAGTGTTGTGAAAAACAACCGGCAATAAAATTCAGGGCCGTTTCCTTAGCTGTTTTTGCTCTGTAAAAGTACAGTTCTATTTAAACACGAAAGTCAGCAGTTGCAACTCTGAATGCAGGCGGAATGGGTCTGTTATATAAGGAAGTGTCATTTCTGCAGTGATGTTTTGTTGTTTTTGCAGAGTAGAGGTGTGCTTTAATTTCTCACCACCCAGGGACAGCAAAATGTTTATGTAAAAGGACTTCTACTTCCTCCCCTGCTTTATAATAACTGCTTGCCTGTAGCTCCATAGGGAAGCTAGAGATTGGTTCTAACCGGGGTGGGGATAATGCTCCAGATTTAATCCTGACCATAAGAAGGTAGATCGCAAGGTGTATGGTTGCAGAATGTGTTTTCCTGAGATAAGAAACACAAACCATTTGGTAATCTGAAACATTCAAGGCTCAGCTTGGTGAGCTGAAGAAATGCAGATGGAAACATGTCCAAAGATTCGCCTTACAGTGGACACTGACTTAAATGTCTTTTAGAATACAAGGTTATTGTCATTTTTCATTAATGAACCCTCTGTGGACCCAAGCCTAGACTGAGTATAGAAGCAGGAGCATCGGAACAATGAAAAATACACAATAAAGTATTATTAATATATACAGTAATATATTTATTATTTTGAAGTAAGACTCAGAATAAGCAATTTTCCTGTGTGCCTTGGATACATCTATTTATGCCTGTGTTTATTTCTTTATTTTCTGACATTTGTACCCAACCTTTCTTCCATCATGAACCCCAAGACACCATATATATTATTTATATCGATAGCTCATTTTTTCCAAAGAATGTATCCTGTGCTATTCAGAGACATTAAAAACTGATATAAAAGCAACCTAAAATACAATAATATGCATAAAAGAGCAATTCCAACTCAAATTCACTGCACTAAAATAATATGTGGAGAGTTAAGCTACAAAGGCATGGCTGAATAAAAATGTTTTTACCTGGCACTTAAAAGCAGATAAGGGCAGATGGAGCAAAGCAGAGCCGGCTCAAGACATTTTGACACCTGAAGCCAGTCACAAAATGGCGCCTCCCCAGCCAGGGAAGATGGGGTGATCTACATCAGGAACAAGAGAGAGAGAGAGAGAGAGAGATCTGCATAAGGAACAAATGGGAAGGGAAGATCTACATCGGGAACAAGAGGGAGAATCGAAGCAACCTTACCTGATGGTTTAAGTGAGAATCAAATTCTGTTGGGATGGGGCGAATGCTCTGAATCACGCTGGATGTATGCAAAGCCCAGGAGACTCCAGAGGGCAGACCCTGCCATTTCTTCCCTAGGGGTTAGAGTGCCTCTCCAGGGTCTGGCTATGATGTTTCTGGTATTCACCAGGACACTGCTGTAGAAGCTGCGTTGTAGGGGCTGCTGAGGAGATAGCAGATCCTGCTGTGGCAGCAGCAGCAGCGGGTGATGCATTCCTTGGAGGCCAAATAATAATAATAATAAATAATAATTTATTATTTGTACCCCGCCCATCTGGCTGGGTTTCCCCAGCCACTCTAGGCAGCTTCCAACAAAGACCAAAAATACACTAAAATGTCACACATTAAAATCTTCCCTGAACAGGACTGCCTTCAGATGTCTTCTGAATGTCAGGTAGTTGTTTATGTCTTTGACATCTGATGGGAGGGCGTTCCACAGGGCGGGTGCCACTACCGAGAAGGCCCTCTGCCTGGTTCCCTGTAGCTTTGCTTCTTGCAATGAGGGAACCGCCAGAATGCCCTCAGCGCTGGACCTCAGTGTCCGGGCAGAACGATGGTGGTGGAGACGCTCCTTCAGGTATACTGGGCCGAGGCCGAGGATCTGCTGCTCCTATGGATCCTGCCACCTGAGGCATTGCTACACCTTGCCTCATGGGTGGGCTGGCTCTGGAGCAGAACATTCTTCAAATGGGCAGTCACCCTCCACACCTTCCTCAGAGTCAGGGCTTTTTTTCCAGCCAGAACTCCCTTCCATCACCTCTCAGATGGGTGCCTTTGCCATTATAAGAGAACATGGTGAGTTCTGGTGCTTCTTTAAGCTATTTTTCTATAAAAAGAAGAAAAAAGAGGACATACACAGAGTAGGGCCTCAGATATGAACAAAGGGTACCAGGAGTTGCTCCAAAATCGAACTCCAACTCTTTTGGACAGCAATCATATAAGAAATATGCAAAATAACTAAAGTATTAGAAGTCACCCCAGAACTGGCCCTACTAAACATCTTCCAAAATATTAATGCCCACTCACACCATAAAGAGCTCATAACCCACCTACTCTTGGCAGCCAGAAACATCATAGCTAGACACTAGAGAGATCTGCCAGGAGTAAGCATGGACCAATGGTACCAAATAGTATGGGAAACAGCCTTATTAGGAAAATCTAACCAATAAACTGAAACTGACACAGGGCCAAATAGAAGAAGACGCCTTCACCCTGGTTTGGTTCCCCTTTATCACAAACACAGCCCAACAAGACAACGACAAGAATCCGCCAACAGCATACGAATCAATATGGCTAACCTGATCCAAAAATACACACACAAAACCAACTCTCACTACAGCCAACCAACTATCTCACCACCAAGGAAATACAACAAGTGAATAGTAAGAGAACCCATATAAGTAACGCTGACACAACCCACCCCCCAAGTAGAAGAATAGAAGCATAATCACCCGACTCCACCCCACTCACCATTCCATCTCCCCCTCATCCCCCCTTTTCTTTCTTTCTTTTTCTTTCATTCTTCTTAATTGTTTAAACCAATTCCTGAACCAGGAACCTGTACATTGACCACTAAAAATGAAACATATGTTGTAGATACTTTCCCACATTTATTATGCTATTTTTGTGATATACAAATGACATGAGAAAACTTGGTATACTTGTTTGTATAACATTATTCTTGTTTATAACCCCCTCCCCCAAAAGAAAGGGTACCAGGAGGCAAATGTTTCCTAGGAGGTTTCCTATCCAGGCACTGAGTAGGCCCAGACCTACTTAGGTTTAGCAAGGCAATACCTTCACGTGACTCTGGGGCAGACGTGTCACATATAAAGCCTTAAATTAAAATGTTAAGTACTATTGTTTAGCAAAAGAGCATAATTCACTTCAGCTCCATTTGCAGCGCTCCCGCTATTATCAAATGGGCTTTAACGGAGGAGGGAAAAAGCCCAATGAATTGCGCCTTTTTGCTTTACATCTGTATGCCTCAAGTAAATGGTTGATGGACCATGAGAATCCTACATGAATGATGAATTACTAGCTCTGAAACCAACAACTTGTTAGCAATCACTCCTGTTCCTAAACTCAAAAATGACTGCCTTTGTGTTTGCCGATTTAATGACTATCCTTCTTGGGAGCACAGTCTGTTGTGCTTTTCCATACACTGTATCACCAAAGCAGAATGATTATATATAGCACATATGTGGGCGAAAATACCAAGTGTGTGGCGTGGGACACATTTTCTTCTGAGAAACTGCAGTATAGCTGTATCAGCGTCAAAAAATTCAGGCACAATATTTATGTATTAGCTGATGCTTCATCTATGTGCATATGTGTATGTTTGGATATAATTAAGTGTTTAAAAAGAAACAAAACTAAATAGCCGCTATTAATAATGGTTCATTGGAATAACATCCTTGAATACCCAGTTCTTTGTCAAGAAATAGAAACTGAGGTAAATTTGCCACTTATTACCACAGAGCAGCACGACACCCCTTCATTCCAAATTTCAAGCTGCCTATCCACTCAGCAGGAAAGAGATTCATTTTAAATTAAACATGCCGGGAAGTGGACTTCAAAGGGAACAAGGCAAAATTGTTGCTTTCACGCTGGAAATTCTCAGAAATGTCTGCACCAGTGGTCTTTGGCCCCCTATATTTCTTGCAAAAATTAATTGCTCCTCTTACTTAGCCAGAGCAATTAACTCGCAATAAAGGACCCTCGCAGAGAGTTCTCTTGAAGAGGTGAAATAACTGTCTAAGTGCTGGCTCCAAACTATGTCCGAGAAGACAAAATAGGGTAGCAGGCAGGGCGAAGCTTAGCAAAACAAACACCCCGTGTTTTTAAAGAGCCAGCTGCCCTTCAAGGATGCAACAACCTGCAGTGTTGTGGAAACTGTGGATTATACAATGGACAAGAGACGCATGGCCTGTCTCAACATGCCTCTATTAGCTGTAATTAATGTTGTTGCTACAGAACTGCCCACTACTACCGCTATATTCATGCTTATAATTAGATGAGGAACACACATTTCCCCCCAAGAGTTTTTAAGTACAAGAGACTGGCTTCATTCAGTCATTTGGCTGACATCTTTTGTTCTTTTTCAAGCTTTTCTTAGAAAGCAAACACACTTTCTCTCACACACCATAATTTTAAATGGCAAAAGGCAGATAGTTGCTAGAGTTGACTTCATTGAAAGTGCCAGTAAGTCTCAATGAAACAATAATAATGAACCATTGAGTCTTGTTTTCGGATCAGGATCCAAATCATTGATTTAAAATGAATACACCATTCTACTAATTTTCTAGGTTGTGAATGCTACAAAGGTAGAGCTCTTCCCTGCCACTGAAAGGATTACGATTTCCTTTCAGTTGCTTCAGATATATAAACTACAACAGAGCAGAACTGTAGAATATCACGTAAGGGAGGGGAAATTTTTCAGCTTGAGGGCCATATTCCCTTGTAGAGAATCTTCTGGGGGGCAGATTCAAAAGTGGGCAGGGCCAAAGCTAAAAGGGGGTGGAGCAATGGATTTGACTGATCTCCTATACAGTAATAATAATAATAATAATAATAATAATTTATTATTTGTACCCCGCCCATCTGGCTGGGCCTCCCCAGCCACTCTGGGCGGCTTCCATAGAAACCAAAAATACAGTAAAATATCACAGATTAAAAACTTCCCTGAACAGGGATGCCTTAAGATGTCTTCTAAATGTCAGGTAGTGATTTATCGCTTTGACATCGGATGGGAGGGCGTTCCACAGGGCGGGTGCCACTACCGGGAAGGCCCTCTGCCTGGTTCCCTGTAGCTTTGCTTCTCGCAATGAGGGAACCGCCAGAAGGCCCTCGGCGCTGGACCTCAGCGTCCGGGCAGAACGATGGGGGTGGAGACGCTCCTTCAGGTATATTTTGTATATTCCATACAAAAACCAGAGGTTTCTGCACACAGGCAGACATATTACTGTCCAGGCAAGCAAGCAATCTTCAAGAACATATTGCACCCAGGTAAAAGTGCTTGAGGGCATGGAGCAGGGCTGAAGAAAGAAGTTAGGGGCTAGGAAGAGCCCCAAGGATGAGAGAGAGAGCGAGAGAGAGCTAGAAGGTCTCATTTGATCTCACAGACCCTCCAAGTGTCTCTGTTTTCCAGGGACATCCCTGATTTAGAGAACCCATCCCAGTTTCTGATTTGATCCAGGAATGTCCCACTTATCCTTAGGATGTCCCTATTTTCATTGGAGAAATGTTGGAGGGTATGGAGTTATCCGCGCCCCCAAACCGCCTGAAGGCAATTTTGTATAAGGAAGGTTCTTTTTAAAAAAGTTAATGTTTTATTATGTCTTTATATATGTTGGAAACTGCCCAGTGTGGCTGGGGCAACCCAGTAAGATGTATGGAGTATAAATAGTAAAATTATCATTATGGAAGGGGACGTCCCTATTTTCATTGGAGAAATGTTGGAGGGTATGGTCTCAGGGTCCGAGGTTCCCCACCTCTGCTTGACATAAGGTCTTTGTATATCAGAAACATGTGGCTTGTGCAGAAGTGGGGCATGCACTCTTTAATAAATAGCATCTATGGAAAAAGCAAAAACTAATTCTGCAAGTATGCGCATGTGTGCGCGCATTGTGCAAAATATGTCTCTTTAATGTCTGCATGAGAAACAACATGTGTTGCTTTTCCTATTAGCATATCTCTATGCTGGAAAAAGCTTCACCTGTTGAGTCCTATGACCTGTTTCTGGAAAAGGCATCAGCGGTTGAAGATGAGAAACATGCAACGGTGTGTTATTTATTTCTTTAAAATAATTTTGACAGTGTTTTGTATTGTCCAGAAAATATATCTTAAACAGTTTACGGCCTGTGTAAAATACGTGTGTGCGTTTCTGTCCGCATGCCCTCTGATTATATTTGAAAGGAATAATGACTTATTCTGATAATTACCTCGCATGACATTTTTATAAGCTTAAAATTGGTCAGGTGATTTTCCTTTGTGACTAATATGTGGGCTTGCTTAGAATGATGGAATCTATGCAACAGCTTCCTTCCATAAGAAGCTCATAATTCTGTCAAGGAAGGTGCCAACTGTAAGCAGCACAGATGAGTAATGAATATATTTTTAAAAAATAAATTGTGGACACAGAGAGGAGGCACATGGAAAAAGCTAAGCAAAAAGAAGTTGCTAACAAAAAGCTAGGAAGGAGAGAAATCTTAAGATGCTAATTAGCCTTTGTGTTGTCACATTTGTATTATCCCTTCCATTGTTGGGTTAACCTTTGCTAAGTAAACTGCACAGTAGCTATATGGGAAAGACTTTTGAATGTGGGCGAGTGTGAAAGGCAGGTGTGGTCTTCCTGCAACTTTAATTGGCCTCTTAAAAGATTTGCAGCTTTCAGAACTCGGAGGGATAAGATACACACACACATTTATAAGTACCCACTTTTAAACTCTTACTCTGATTAACGGGGTATTGTGTACTTGGTGCCACATGCCAGTCCCATATCTTCCCATGACATCACCAAGTTCCCATTTAGGTTGGATTAAGGTTACCAGAGGGACACAGGTGGCACTGTGCGTTAAATCACAGAACCCAGGACTTGCCGATCAGAAGGTCGGCGGTTCGAATCCCCGTGACGGGGTGAGCTCCCATTGCTCGGTCCCTGCTCCTGCTAACCTAGCAGTTTGAAAGCACATCAAAGTGCAAGTAGATCAATAGGTAGCGCTCCGGCGGGAAGGTAAACGGCATTTCCGTGTGCTGCTCTGGTTTGCCAGAAGCGGCTTAGTCATTGCTGGCCACATGACCCGGAAGCTGTCTGCAGACAAATGCCGGCTCCTATAGAGCGAGATGAGCGTGCAACCCCAGAGTTGGTCACGACTGGACCTAATGGTCAGGGGCCCCTTTACCTTTACGGTTACCAGATTTTTTTTCAATGAATCCAGGGGCACTTCCTACTAAATAGATGGATTTTGTCAGGGGACTGATCTGTAAATCCGGGGACTGTCCCTGGGAAACAGGGACGTCTTCTAACCTTAGGTTGGATTAGATCCTGTCACCTTCACATAAAAAAACCACAACAAAACATGGACTTAGGCCCCCAGCTGTGGGAAGGCGAGGGCCCTGGTACGTTACGATGCAAGGCACCACCTCTGGGAAACACAACAGCACCGATTTCTCAAGATAAGCACCAAATAGCATTTCAGGCTTGTCTTAGTTGAGCAATGTGATGACTATGAAACATGGGGTTGAGATAAGAACCTGAAGCACACACTTCCTTTCCTGTGCCCTTCTGTATCTTAGAAGTGCTGGTTCAAACTGACTAAAAACCTGGATGCATCACATTTTGCACATCCTGTTTCTACCTGGGCAAGAATGGAGAACACAAAGAATCCATAAATAAACTTGCAGCATCTAGTACTTCACTCTTGAGCAGAAACAACTGGAAGCCTGGTTCTCGATTCTTCCCAGCAAACTAAAGGAAAACTGAAGAGCAACTCTAGTTAATAATCTGTTATGGGTCTGAGAGTAGTTCCCCTCATAATCCTCCTCCCCATCTTCATCCCTCTCTCCCTCTCTCCTGGGGGTCTGGGAGTCCAGAAGCCTTTGCCTCTAAAAGAGAAAGGGGTTGTGTATCAGGAGTCTGTGCTGTACAGCTTCAAAAGATCTGCTTTTGGTGAGGTGAGATACCAGCAGCTGCAGTTTTAGCATCTGCTGTTTCCTAAGCGATGCCTGGATCGAGAGAGGAAGATAGCGCTTGATTCTGTTAATTCACCTTTGCTGCGCACATATTTATGGCTTGGTGACACAACTGCAATATGTGTCATTCTTGATCACAGTTAGCTTCTGACATTGCATTAGCTTTTGTGCCGTGCGCCGAGGTAATTTAATTGAACTGGGAAGTGAGAGCAAGAGCATCGCTCAGCTCCATTCGCTCTCCTCCTTATTTCCCCCTCATTGCTCTCAGCCTCAAAGAGGAACCCTCAGAGGATGCAAAAGTTTTTAACAGGAGCCTGCTAATTGGCAAATGAGTAAAAAAAAAAAAAAAAAGAGGAAGTGAAAGATTTGGTGAATATACAGTCCTTTCTCAGTTAACTCTCTCTCTCTCTCTCTCTCTCTCTCTCTCTCTCTCTCTGTGTGTGTGTGTGTGTGTCCATGCACACATATGCATGTGTGATGAACACTGACATCACTTGCACCATCCTCCAGATGTTGCCCTATGCCAGAGGGATTTTCTTTAGCAGAAGACATTATCCTCAACTAAGGATGACTAGCAGACCAGAAAGCCTCTTGTCAGGTAGAGTTTTGATATGTTAAGCACTGCCCTAATTCTATCATGCTAATTTGATCACTTGTTCGTTCATTCAGCTATAGCAAAAGGTACCTAAGAGTATTTCCTGCTTCTCCAAAAAT